AGAAAAAAAGCTGAAAATCTATGTTTATTCAAAATCATATCCCGATTTCTAGTCCAAAGATCTGAAAATCATTTCTAATTAGGAAGGCCTAACTTGATCCACTCAAAGATTTCTGTAACTTTTGAAGTCAACCTGATTCTGAAAGTGTTATCAACAACCTTTCCCTACTGAATCAACTCCAGAATATTTCTGATTTCTCTAAAATTATATATTCTTACACATTGCATGTTCCAATGTTCAAATGTTCCATTCCGTTCCACTCAAATAAAACGGAAATGAAACATAATATTGTTTCAATTCAAAAACAATGAAAAAAAATTGATGCAAATTATAATGCCTCTATTATTGTTATTAATAAGGCATACATGAATAATCGCGGGGACCCGAGCAACACAAGACAAGAAAAAGCAGAAAATAAAGAGAAAAAGAGGCGTATGTCGAAAATGCGCCTAATAGACCACCTCAAATGATTTATTTCCTCAATTGAGACCATTATGTATATATATATTTTTATTTAGAGATATATATATTCATTTTTTTGTTCATTTCATTTTCAACTTTTCCAATAAAAAATACTTTAACATTATTAAGTTAGAAGGTTAACGTTATCATTTTAAAAATGGGCCATAATCCGATATAATCCTAATTAAATGTGTGATAGTACATACAAAGCAATTGAGAAAATGCACATTTTTCTTATTTATTTTTGATATGATTTCAGTTTTGATTTGAGTTTACTCGATTTGTGAATATCTCAAAAACTCGCGTCACTATTTTCCAAATCTAAATTTAAATCAAATTTATCTAATCATGCTAAAGTTCCGGACAATAAATATTCTTTTATCCAATCTTGCTAGCTTTTCTCCAAAAAATTCTAGAGATCACTAGCTTCCTCCTGAAAAGGAAAGTTTTCTTTTCCTTTTGATTTCTATTGTTTCTTTGGCTCCAAATTGCATTAACTTTTTTTTCCTAAAACAGAGTGCTTTTAATAACAAATTAGTAACGCTCAATTATTTCCCCACAATTTTTCTCTTTTCATAAATTTTTTTGAGAAACGTCTGAAAAAAGCATATTATTGTGTTGTAAATATTAATATGAAAAATTGTATTTCCTGTTTCCAAGGTTTCTAATTATACTAGCCCGTAAGCACGCGAATTGAATGAAATTTTGCGGAAGATGAAGCAACCAGCAAAGAAAGAATTCCAAAAATCATATAATCCGATTCATATTATCCATCCAAATTTAGTTCTTATATTAGATGATGTGTCCCCTTTCATGTGTCGATGCTTTTCAAAAAAAAAAAGAAGTGTCGGAACAAGTAAATTGACATAATTTTTAGCACCTGCTTGTGAATCAGATAACATAATAAATGAGCGTAGTAATTAGTATCAAATGTTCTCGTTAATTATCAAAAGTAATTGAACTATTCATCAAACTTTGTGGGTGGTCTTTAATTAAAAGTGCAACAATTTCGAAATTCAAAATTTTCTGTTTTTCACCAACCTGTCCATCTACCAAAGTGCATTATTTTTTAAATATTCCGAATTTAATGAGCATCCCCAACCCGACCCGCGCGACAATTAGACCACCCATCTTCTTTGACTTATTCATTAGAAGGTGTGTAATCCACCTGCCTATTATACTATTATTATTCATCATCTCTCATTTAATAGACACCTACCGTAATCTGGGACCACACACGATGAAAAACTTGAAATTGTGCGTTGAGGCGGCACATGCTTTTGATCCTAATAATGAATAGAAAAATAATTGACCGAAACTGATTTTCTATAGATTTTATTTTCAAATAAAACTTTCTCACTAATCAAGTGTTGCCGATTTTTTGTCGACGATAATTCTTTTTCTTTTTCTTATTTTTTGCGACTTTGAACTTTCCTAAATATAATGTTAAGTAAACAAATATTCCACGTGGTGCTAAACGCATTGTCACCTTAATCGGAGAACAATGAAAAAGTGAGCCACTCTTATTTATGCCGTTAGTAAGTAAGTAAGTAAGTAAGTAAGCAACCAATTATATATTATTTCGGGTTGTTATTTGATTTTGGTAGAATACGAATACTTATAGTTTCCGCTTTGATTTCCGGTGTCAATTCAAACTATTTTTGAGATGTCTAATTATGTCATATTTTCTTTTTCTCGTGCACGTTGTTCTGACTTGTGGAGTTTGATTTTTCTCAGTTTAAGAGGACAAAAACCGGATGTTCTTTGAATATTCAATTTTATGAAATTGGCCACCTAGACATTCATAGAAAGAAAAAACTTCAATTTGGAAACTTTTCTGGCCGGAGGCATTGAGTGTTCCCCAAATAATTATTACAAAAACCAATTTTGGCTCAACAGTTTTGGGCAATTCTTTCAAATATGCACAATTCCGCGCATTTCAAAATTTTGTTGCATTTTCAACAAATCATCTTCCTTCTCATCCTTATTCATGCCTTGCCTCATTTTATTTAGTTTTTTAGGAGTGTGTTTGTATGTGAGAGGATGATTTGTAATGCATAAATAAGTGCGCGAAATGTGATAGAGAAATGAACCAAGAAAAAAATTTGGTAGCTTTTAGCTTTTCAAGAAAATGTGTGTTTTTCGGCCATGATTGCCTACAGTAATCCTTAATGGTTTTTTATCATCAATTTTCGATAAGCGTTTTTCTTCGATGCTTTTTTTATTATTTGCTCGCTAGCTTTGCTAGAACATCATAATTAATAAATAGACCGCCTCAGACAAATTGGCCTCATTTAAATGCAATCTCTAGATTTTTACGAAATAAATAAATAAGGAGACGAATAAATATATTTATTGAGTTTTCCTGTAGGCTTTTTTCGTCTTCTTTTTTTCTTCTTCCTATATTATATTTCCGAGAAACACGCTAACACATGTTTTGACACATTTTGACAAGTTATATGACATGTGTACTATAATTGTTATTATTATTATTTATATGATTATCCAGTAGTAATAGACATACAACTTCTGTTGTTTATAACGGTCAATAAAATTTATTGAGCAATCCACCGGATATCCTTATTTGTTTTAGCCATGTTCTTTTTTTTCTCGCTTGAGAAATATTGAGAGAATATGAAAATGAAAATGGAAATGGGAGGAAAAATGAATCGAACACGCACTTACAGATAATTTACACTTTACTTCCAAGAGCGTAGGCTAAATTATAGAAAAAAAATGATAATTTCTGATGAATAAGTGTGGTAGAACAGTTGAAATTTCAGATTTCTGAAATGTGGTTCACTGGGTTCAAGAAATTTTCATATATTTTCACTAATGTAAGAGTCTTCCGAAGTTCCAAAATTGTGACTTTGATGAAAATTCTTTGTCAAATCGTCTGAAAACATTAATACCGCCTTTCCGGGGAACCAATTTGAAATATATTCTTCTGCTCAAAAACACTCAGACGTATCCAGTCTCGACTTCTGTTATTTTTGATGTATTTCAAAAAAATTCAAGAAATCTACTTCAACGATTTGATCTAAATTATGTTTTCAACCCCTGTCTTCAGGAATTCCCGGAATCACGTTCCCCTAAATTCCTACCAAAAAGTTTCCCAATCTCCCCCCATAGATCATTCATAGATAAAATTCGAATGTGTCAATCCGACTTCCTCCTACCGTACTCTCCATTTTCTTTCCGTGTCAAAAATTATCGAATTACGTAACGTAATCGTCGAAAAAAGACACCAATTCTCCCGCAGAGTCAGCGCCAGAACTCAATATCTTCTCCATTGTTTCTTATTCAGTTTAACAGTACTTTCTTCTTTTTTTTCATATTTCTGACAGATTCGGATGTCAATAATTAACACTTCAAAATCGGTTTGACAAGTTCATAGGCACAAAAATGTGTTAGCATGGAATAATATAAGGTGTCAAATGTCCTTAAAAGGGGTGGAGGAAGTAGACGATTGTTAGTGGTTGAAGAAGGAAAAATGGGCGGGACTTTGCCATATTTTCTGGTTGTTTTCTTCTTCTCATTTTTGGTCAGGTCCTCATGAGCACATGTTTTGTACTACTAATAATAATCTATTTTAATTAACACTTTTTTATCATTGAAATCAAGAAGGATTTGATATCCGAAATGATGTTGAGAAAATAGATCTATGCTAATCCGCTAATGAAGATTTCTCTTGAAATCTGCACGCTTTTCACCTTGATTTAATTAGCAGTTCTTATTATATATAATATTCTTCTTCCTCGATTTTTTTCATTTTTTTTGACTTCTTCATTTTATTTTTCCTCCCTGTTAATATATAATATATACTCATCATTTTGTATGTTGGCGGTTCAAAAAGCTTCTCATATTTCATTTTATTTTCACACATTTCACCTGCTGGAAAAATAATAGAATTTACATATTTCATTAACAAAATGACATGGTAATTCGATAGTTTTCTCGTTTTGAAACACAGGTACATTATGAAGGCCGCCCTTTTTTTCTCAATGCATTTTCCGTCCGAGACATACACATTAACTAATTAAAACGATTTTCTCGTCATTTGTTGAATTAGGTATTCTAACATTTTTTGTTCATTTTTATTTTATTCATTTCATTTTATCTCATTTCAATAATTTTGTTGGATGAATATTTTAGCTGGCTGACTGATATATTAAATAGGATAATAATGCTTATTGCGCAAATGAGAAATCCATTCAGAAATATTTTTGATAAGCCATGTTGCTAAATCCTATTTTCGCCCACAGCGATTGAAAAATCATGTGTATTTTTAGTTATCCGATAATATGTAATCCTAAAAATAGAGCGAAATAGAAAACATCATTTTATATATTATTCGAAATTTTTTCCGCTCTCATTTATATTTGTTAATGAATTCAATTAGCGACATCTCACTTTTTGATTTTTTATTCTTCTTTTTTTTTTCTCATTAAAAATTGTTCAACTTCAATGATTTTCCTGGATTAATAAAATTTTTTCAGATTTTATAAATATAAACTCCTGGAATGAACGTTGCACAAATGATGCGTCCATCTGCAGCTGAGCTCAACACATTATCCAAAACATTCATGGAACAGCTGCAAGCACAGTTTTTGACAAATAAAGTTCCTGCTGTTGGATTTCAAAATTTCCCGAATTTCTCGATTGCTGCTTTGACAAAATTAGAAAATAAAGATGATGAGGAGAAAAAATCACCCATCGGAGGTAACATTTTTTGTTTTCTTAGGACAGTTTCATATTCTGTGTTTTTTCAGATAACAGCCTTTTGGAACCCACTTCAACTTCAGATAGCCGAGAAAATGGAAGTCCATCAGATGGAACAAATTCACCAGATGAGAATGGCAAACGAAAACAACGGCGTTATCGAACAACTTTTAGTGCTTTTCAGTTAGATGAACTTGAAAAAGTTTTTGCCAGAACCCATTATCCAGATGTTTTCACAAGGTAAGATAAATGATAAAATAATACTTTTTTAATGAGAAAAAAAAAGAAATTGAGAACGAAAATAGCAAAATCAAAATCCGATCAAATTTCAAAAAAGCGTGTCGAAACACCTGCAATTAGACGAAATTTTTAATTGCCATTTTCCTAAAATTTCAACATTTTCTCTTTTTTGGCCCAAAAAGGAAGTGGTTTGACTAATCCAAAAACAATAACCAATTGTATAAGTCGGTCGGCAACAAGGAAAAGAAAGATCCGGTGTGCCACCCAATTCAGATCTAATTGAGCGCGCACAATTTCATCCTCCCCCCTTTACTCCTTCTGTTTAAAGTGCTTAATTATAATAGTAATAAAAAGAAACCGAGATTTTTTCGGGATCAGATTAAAACATTCATTTTTTGCAGAGAAGAATTGGCTGCTCGTGTTCAACTCACCGAAGCGCGTGTTCAAGTAAGTTCATTTACCTACAGTAATCTGATTTTTGAGTGAGAGAGAGAGAGAGAAAGAACTTCGTAATTCAATGATAATAATAATAAATGCATGATGAGATTTACTAACTCTTTTTTGCTAGAATTAGGCACGCGATGTTATCTAATATATAAATCTGCTTCACGCGAGCGAATACATTTAATCCCTTTACTAATTGAGATATTTGAAAAAAAGAACGAGAGAGAGGAAAAGAGTAATTAAAGTATCGAATAGGTAATTAATTACCTAATAAAACGATTATATTCTTATTCTTATTCTTAAGGTGTGGTTTCAAAATCGACGCGCAAAATTTCGAAAACAAGAAAGAAGTACAACACATCATCCATATCAAACACCAATTGCTATGCAACCAAATAGTAATGAGATGCCATATGCATTTATGTTGAATCAGGAAGCTTTGATGGCTGCATTGAATCAACAGGCTGCAGTTCAAATTTTGAGTGAGTTATATATTCTGAATATTATCATTTCACTCAATGTTTTTTAGATGATCAATTGTTGTTGCCACAAGGAGCCGGATCTGATGCACAAAAAGAGCGCACTTCTCAATCACCGGTAGCAATTTCACCGGGTTCACCAGTTGGTGCTACACCATCTACACCAACTGCCACTGCAACAGCTACAGCACAATTCAACGATGCGGCTGCACTTAATATGTTGTTCGGTGGAATGAATCCACAAATGTTGTATATGCAACAACTCACAAGAGCAATGGAAGCTTTTCGATCACAATTTGTGGCGGCAAACGCAGCTCCAGGCGCTGGTGATCTAATAGTTAATGCGTTAGCTGCGGCTGCATCAAAAGATGAGGAAACTACAGCGACACCAACAACATCGCCAGCGCCAAGTGATCGACCAAAAAGTTCGTCGACTCCACCAAAATCACCATAGACCTCTCATTTTTCTGCATTTGTAAAATTTATTGACAAACAAACCAACAAAAAAACCACCTCTTTTTAGGCCATGTCTTCTTAAGCTTTATCTTCCCTTTGTGTGTTGCCGGTGAACACTTTCCCCAATTTTTTATTCAAAAATTGAAGTTTTTGATCTCCCATCTCCCGCTCGCCCCCTGCTTTTTTCTTTTTTTTTCATATTTTTTTGACCTGATTCCATGTCAGTATTTTCTTTTCATTATAGAATATTTGACGCGTCGTGTTATACTTATATAGAACCCCCATTTTTGAATTTGAACAACAATTCTGATTTTTTGACAACAAAAAAAAACATTGATCGATTTGCGTTTGATTGTAATAATATATAATAACCATTCTTGAAAAAAATGACAATAAATTTTTTCGTTTTTTTTTCCTTCTCCTTTTAGAGATTATGAGTTTTGGCAAGTTGGGGGTAAATTAGAAAAAATGTGTCAATTTAATATGTGCGCAGCTTCACACGCAATGTATGTGCTTCAAGCATATTAAAAAATTATTACTCGAAAAATGAAGATTTTTGCGAAATGAGATTTGGAGAGAATGAATGAGCAATTGAAAATGGACAATTTGATGAGGTTACTTTTTTTCAGAAATATTTGGGGATTTTGTGGAGAAAAAGTACAAATCTGAAACTTTTTTATTTGAAAAATGTTTTGATTGTGAGTTTCTATAGAATTAGGATCTTTCAACGGGAATCGGAAATTGAAACTAACAAAAATGTTAAATTTTTCAACTTTGTTATTAATTGAACTTACTTTGATTCACACCATAGAATTGAAAAAAAATGGAAAAATTACTTGTTATGAGATAAAACCATTTTTTGTTCAACAAAATGTGCCAAAGTGACGTTTTTTGAATGAATTCTCATTGATTTGAAGAAAAATTTTGATTTTTCGCACGTGAAAAGTGTTTCTCTGCCAAAAAAAACATGGAAAACAACGACACTCCATGTGCCTGTTGTTTATCGTAAACTCACACAAGAAGATGTTTCTCATTTTCAGAACAGAAAACATTTATATTGCAATGGTATTTTTCCAAAGCTCCGGACAATGTTTCTTTTTCAGAAACAAATATTTTAATAATTAGAGTTCTTACAGGATGCATCATAACTACTCGGACCAGAAAAGCACAAAATATGTTGCAAATCGCAAAGAACAAGCGCACAGAAAAAAAAAACAATCAGCGATGAAAAATATACAAATAGGGTGAAGGTAGCCGGGGAGCCCTGTGGTCTAATGGCTAAGCTGGTTGATCTCCCGCCGCAAGGCCAAGAGTTCAACCCCGGCCCTGGGATTTACTCATCCCCAGGGAGGATTAGTACCCGGGCTCTCTTTTGCTATTTTTGTTGTTGGTTTTAAAAATTAAAAAAAAATATGTGTCAATAACGTTAAATTTTTTGTGTCTTGATGTTACGCTTTGAATCTTAAAATTAACCTCCCCTAGATATGGTTTTTTACAACTTGAACACGAACGCCCACGTGAAAAGCTGTTCATTTTTGTAATTTATAAATGATGAAATAAAAAATCAAAAAAAAAAGATTTTCTTCATAACTTGGAATTTTCAATTAATTTCCAAACTGTTTCGCCTAGGGGTACCACCCCTAGTTTTGTGAGAAACTATATTCTTTATTTTTTATACAACAGTAATTTACATTGACATTTTGCAGTTACAAGAATGCGCGCAGGAAAAAAAACAATCAGCGATGATGAATATAAAAATAGGGTGAAGGTAGCCGGGGAGCCCTGTGGTCTAATGGCTAAGCTAATTGTTCCTTGCCCGCAAGGTCAAGAGTTCAATTCCGGTCCTGGACCTAATACCCCCAGGAAGGATTAGCACCCTGGGCTCTCTTTTGCTTTTTTCCTTGTAGGTTTAAATATGTTTTCAAAGTTTTTGTGTTTATAATATTCACATTTTTGTACGTTCATGAAAAAAGAAAATTCAAGAGCGTTTTTCAACAAATAGACTTTTAACAAAAATACGAGTAAAAGAAATGTTCACAAAAAAACAAGCCATCATAAATATGCAAATAAGATGAAGGTGGCCAGGGGGTCCCGTGGTCTAGTGGCTAAGCTGGTTGATCTCTGCCCATAAGGCCAAGAGTTCAATCCCGGCCCTGGGATTTATATCCCCAGGGAGGTTTAGTACCCGGGGCTCTCTTTTGTGATTTTGGATATTCTGAAAAGAGAGAAATTCTTTTCCAAAAAAGAGAGAAATTTTTTTTCCGTCTTGTGTTTTTTAGATGGTACAAATTTTGTTTTTGTTGTTCAGTGCCAAAAAAAGGGTACCACACAAATGGAGCTGAAGTTCACTAAAGTTTGATGTCTCCAATGAAAATTAGTTTATATTTACAGGATGTAGGCTTCTCTTGATATTCTGAACAATGTTCATAAAATATGAAACCCTGACAAGTAATCTTGAAAAAAATGAAAGGTTAAAAGAACTTTTTTTGCGTTTGGTTATTGTTAGGTACAAAAAACGCTAAACTTGTATTTTTTTGTTGTGAGACCTATCATACAATATAACTCTTGACTTTTTTTTCCAGATGGTTCAAGCATTGAAAACAACACATTTTTCTGTAAAACAGTATTTATTTGTTACTAATAGAAACATTTACTGTAACTTGATACGATTTCTCAATTCGTTTCACTTCGATGACCATAAATTATTTCGAGGAACAGATTTATTTGAAATTGAAAACTTCAATTTCACAAACTCTGTCTAAATTTCTTGGAAAAAGCTCTCATTTTTCCGTTATTTTCAAAAAAAAACTGTTTTTTAATGTCTCTACAATATTTTTTACAGAAAATACATTCTATATGAATTATTCATAATATCGAGAAAACAATATTTTTGATTTATATTTCCATAATTTTCTTGTTATCTCCAAAAAATCCAGCAGATTTCGCAATTTCAAAAAAATTTACAACAAAAAATACGCACACAAAATTATTCCGTTGATAAACAGCCAGTAGTGTCATTTTGTAGTCTCGTTGTAAACCTAAACAATTTTCTGTGGCCTCATTACAATAAAAAAAGGAATTTTTGTTGTGTCCTTCCCCTTTTCTAGTTGATCTGGATATCGATTTATTCATTTTTTGTTTAAAAAAATAAATATGCATGTTTCTATTGTATTTTTATTTGTATCAACTTTTATCGAAGGTAAGTTTTCAGTTTCAGCCTTTACATTCTAAATTTTCTGGATTTTTTGCAGTCCAATCACGTCATCTTGGTGAATTGATTTGTCGTCAATGTGGATTGAGCATAACAAGACAATCTGAATTGATAAATGCAACTGGAGTTGATGAAGAACAATTGAAGTATAAATATGAATTTCCGCTGGTTGGAAAAAACACGAGTGTTCATGTGTTGAAAAATCCAGCTGGCGAACAATTTCATGTTTTTGGCGCCAAAACGGCGAATTTAAAATTCCACGGACCGGTAGGTTGAATCCAGAAATTTAAAATTATGTTTGAGGTTTTCAGGCTCAATTGGAGGCAACCTGGTATCCAGGAATGCAATGGACAATTTGTTTATGTAAATCTTGTGGTGCACACATGGGGTGGTATTTTCAACCAAAAACACCGTTCACGCAAAAAGATCAGAAAAGTTTTATTGGAATTGTGCTAGATAATGTGATATCTGCAGATTGTGAGTTATTTATGGGAGGAAGATCAAATTGAAAAATTTTTGAAACAAAAAACATACAAAATTACTTTTCTGTTTCATGAAATATAAAAGAAATAGTCAATTTTGTGTTTGACCCATTCCGGATTGTTCAAACATTGCATTTAATGTTAAAAATTAATTCCTGACTAATGAAGTGGCAATTTATTTTTCAATATAGAACTTATGAGGAGAATTGAAAGGTTCATTAAATTTTTGATGAAATGACAAATTCTTAAATATAAAATGCTTTCTATATTTCAGCTAAAGAAAAATATCAAAGAATATTTTTTTCTAAAAAAAAGAGCAATCAAGAATCGTTATGCGATGTCCAAAGTAAAAAAAATAGCAAAAAATGCGCAAATATTGTCCAAAGCTCGCCTTATATTTAAAATTTTCATAAAGGAAATACCTGTGTTTACAGAGAAATAGTGTGTATATTCGAGAGAAACAGACAGTTCAAATTTAGAATTTTTGAAAACATCCTATCAAAATATTCTTTCAGATAGTGATACGTTAACAAGAACTCCACTTTGAAACCAAACACTCAGACAGAACTTGCTAACATCTTCCTCATAATTGTGCCTTTGTCATTCCATTTTTATTTTGTTTTTTTTTAAATTTCAATCAAATATAAAATTCAAAACTTTTATTTCTATTTTGGTGTTTCTCAAAAAACAATTTTAGAAGTTGAAAAAAATGATGTGGTTGATGATGTGTCAAAATCAAATTGAAAATCTATGAATATCAAATGTGTTTGTTTTTAGATTCATAAGTCTGTTTCTATTTTCTCTTGACACTTCATACTTCTATGACGTGGAAACAATGAAAAACTTTGGTCGATCGAAAATGACAAGTTGAATTGTCTCAAAGAAATGAACTCAAACGGATAATCGGATAAAGAAAAAGGTGCAGAAAACTATTTAATTTTTTATGAATTGCAAGTTTATAAAAACTTGCGGATGGGTTTAATTAGCGTTTTTTTTTCTTGAAGTGACATATGTATTTTCGTATTCACTTGTATAGTCTTGTTTTGGTCTATCACATTTTTTATTCTGAAAAAACGTAGTTTTTGAATTTTAGTCTTTTGGGTGAGATGTAAAAGTTATTACTGATTTTTTCAAAGAAAAAACTAATTAGGGCTCATGTTTTTGGGCTTGTGTTTTCAGAAATATATTTTTAAAGATTTTCTGATCAACAGTGCAATTGGAGATTTTCTTCGTATTTTTTTTTGAAATGTTTTCATTGTGACGTGATAGAAAACATGGTCTGAAATTTTTCATAACCGAAAAAGTTTAATCTTTCCTGGCATTTTCATATTCTCAAATTGTTATTCATTTTCTGTCCAGATTGAATGCAATTTGTGAGTTTCCCATTATTTTTCACTTGCACGTTATATGACGTTTTTCAAAACATTTATGAACCGTAAAAGTACCAAGATTTTTATTATTCTTTGTTCAAATTTATTATTTAGATTTTCTCCTCTCACGATATTCTTCATGTGTTTTTCTCAAAAAAAAATGCTATTTTTAATTTTTGTATCCACCGGTTTCTACAAAAGGTCACGTTTCTATGTATAAAAAAGAGTAGGCGTAAAGGTAGTGCTTTTTTTATCTGAATCCATTAACTCCAACTCACTATTATTGAAAATCAACGTAGCGTGTAAAACAAAAAAGCGCCGCCCATTTGTTTCACCCAAACTTTTTTCGACTTTTTCATTCATTACTATTATTTATATCCCATTACCTGATTTTTTGATTCAAGGTAACCGAGAACGAATGATGTGTTCGATTCTTAATCTGTTGATCTTCTCATTGGTTTTGGCTATTGTTGTTGAGGCAATTCCAATGATTCAATCACCGCCGTTTGATACAAATGAGCAATTTATTCAAAAACGTCTCTCAAATGATGCTCTTATTCGACTTATGATGAGGTGAGTTATCTCAAATTATATAGTTTATTCTGCCAAGTTGATCTGAGGGTTTTTGTGATCGAGTGTCGGAATCTCTCATTTTACACGCTGTTATGTAGTTTGAACCGGAAATAGCTTTCAAAAAATGCGGAATTCAGCGAATATACATACAGAAATGAATTAATATTTCTATAATTTTAAAAACAAATTTGCAGAAACCGTGGAAACCAAGTTGGATACGCTGATGGTTCAAAACGTGGAATGAAACGAGCTGATGTTGATAGACGTAGCATTGATGAAGAGTTCTCAAATTGTTTCCTATCGCCTGTTCAATGTATGTTGCCAAATAATCGAAAATAATTGTGTGTTATGTGTTTTCTTTTTAAACTTTTAATTTGATCTCTCTCTCATCTGTGAACGGTAAACCAAAGAAGAATGTTGATATTCACTTGTTCATTTTTTTCACATTAAATTCGTCATATAATTGGAATAATATTGCGTGTCGGAATAATGGTTTTTCGGAAAAAATGCTTTCTTGAAACTTTGAAAAGCTGAAAAAAAAATAATTTTAAATTTCTGAGCGATGGTATTCAATTTTCAACAAAAAGTAAATTATCTTGATCGCCGAAGACACTGAAAATTAGTTATGATTCGATGTTCTTCCTTTTGTAGATCAATTTTAGAGTCAAAAATAAACCCACACTAGACTTTTTCAAGGAAAACAAAATCAACCATAAAGTTATTACCCGGAAGTCCAGCACTTCACATATTTGCAATAACCTTCCAGGTAAAATAGGGAAGTGCAATTTCTTAAAGAATAAAAAATTGAATTCAAACATAAACACAATCTATAAATTTGTGTTTTTTTTTGAAGAAATATACAAAAAAAACAATAAATTGTATGTTTTGAAATGATATGAAAAATGTTTGATTTTTTCCACGGAATTTGTCTCATTTTTCCTCATTTCCTCAAAAATAAATATTTCTGATTTCTTCGAAAATGTCAAAAAACTCCGAGTTGACAGAAGAAGAAGTTTCTGAAGCGTATGTTTGATAAAATGTCGAAAGTTAAAAATGTTTCACTCTAAAAATAAATTAATTATTACACGTTTAATGAATAGTTCAAAAAATTAAATTGCAAATTGTTTAATTCCGGATTGGAAAAAGGCAAAAGATTTATCACTTGTATTGCTTTCGAACAAGATTTTTTGAAATTATAAAAAGAATGTTTTAAATTGTTCGAATTTGTCTCGTTTTTCTGGTAATCTGTTACATTTTTGTTTGGTTTCATCGAAAAATCTTGTTTGAGAATGTCAAAAATTTCTGACACGTTTGATCAAACATTTTTTCCTGGATAAGTCAGACAACAAAATTAACTTTCAAAGTATATATCGTTCAGGGCTTTGATGGTGCTAATGAGTTTCATTATTTCGATTATCATTCTGATAAATGCATACTGTATGCTTGGGAAAAGAAGCAGAAAAAATTAATTTTTCGAAAGTAAAAATGGAATACATTATAAGAATGAATTGTTTATTATATGTTCAAAATAGTTGCATAAATAATTTACAAAAAATAAATAAATAAATATATTGCACATGTCATTTATTTTCGAATTGGTACAACCAACTGTAGAATATCTTTGCTGAGTGAGGTCAAGTTTGGAATTTCAATTTTACCGTGTGTTAAATTGCCGAATGCTTCAAGAATATTTCGACGGAATTTATCAGCGGCCTGCAAAATTGATAGTTATTTTAAAAAATTAAAGAAGAACATGTTACCCAGAAGAAAGTTGTTTGAAGAGTTGATTGTTGAACTTCGCTATAACATGAAGCTAACATATCATTTACAATAATTCTACCATTTGAAGTTAATGGAGAATATATTCCTTTTCTCACAACTGTGAAAATTTCTTGAATTTTCTGCTGCTCAAATCTGCCACGTGTCAAAACAACAACACAATCATCAACCTTCAATTGATCAGCAAAAACAGCTTCTCCATCAGCTGGCAAAGTATCGATATATCTATCAAACTTTTCTGCAAAAAACATTTTTATTTTTTATATATTATTTGTTCTTCCTGCTTACCTCCACATTTATTTCGGAATATAAAGTGCTTTCGAGTCATTCGTAGAGTTTTTCCATATGTCGTCATAATTGTGATGAATTGGTGCAATGTTTCCGGTTCACGGTGAATCCAAAGAATTATTGGAGCGAAGAATGTCTGAAATTCATTTGTTTTATTTTGCTGAATGTGATAAATTATTAGAATATGAGAAATATAATCAGAATACCGATTTTTGACTCGCTGTCAAAACATAGTCCCCGATATCCAAATCATCCATTCGTTTTTTGCCAGTTGGTGTCGTTACCCAGGTGTCAAGTGAGAAGCAAGCTCCAGCACCAGCTCCAGCACCTGCAGCCCATCCAAGCCAACCAAGATCATTTTGAGATGCCAATCCAGCAGCTCCAAGATCACTGTTTGCCAGAGCGGCTGCTCCAAGGTCATTGTTTGCAAAAGCGGATGCTCCAAGATCATTTGCTCCATTTCCAAGAGCAGAAGCTCCAACATCTCCAGCAGCATTAGCTGCTCCACCGTTTGCAGCTCCGCCGTTTGCAGCTCCACCGTTTGCAGCTCCACCGTTTGCAGCTCCGCCGTTTGCAGCTCCGCCATTTGCAGCTCCGCCATTTGCAGCTCCGCCATTTGCAGCTCCGCCGTTACCCGCAGCTCCGTTGCCAGCACCTTCACCATTTCCTGCACCACCTCCGTTTGCTGAACCTCCAGCAGCTGCAGATGCACTACTATCGCCACCTCCGCCACCCCCAGAACCAGTTGGGCCACCGAGGGTTGGATCATTTGGAATATCAATAAAATCAGAAGCTGGTGGTGATTTAGTACTTGATTGATAAGTCAAAGCACTGTAACCGTTATTATCAATTTTGCAAGTATTTTGATTGAATTTGTTGGTTCCCCATGAGAAATCTGCTTCAGCAATAACACTTTCGAATGTTGTTCCAAATCGTTTTTGAACAGCTCGAGTCATTAATTTTGCCAAATCTCGAGTATTATGTTTATCAAAATTTGGTGATTGTTTAGCTTGATCAATAACCTTATTTGCCTCAAATTGTAGACCACCATCACAACATGCCAAACCACTTAAACCTCCTAATCCAGCTGGACAATTAAACGGTTTTGCACTTCCAATGTCGTTATAAGATGGTGTATGTGGCGGATACTGTAAAATTAACTTTTTTTTTTGTTTCAGACAGCAAATTGAGATTTTGATTTCAAGTAATTGATAATATATTTTCAAAATAAGAACATTCGCGTTATCAAAAATGTATGTGAGTTCTCTAAAAAAAACTTTGATAGGAAAAATAATTCCACCCATTAATTTATTTTGAAATTTTTGAAACTTACTGGTGATTCTCCAATTTGCCTCTTGACCCTAGCAAACGAATTTTGATACCATGGTTGATGGAACATTGGTTGGAATTGTTGATAGCTCAACGGATTATAATATTGCATTACAATTGGTGCTGGAACTTGTTGAATTTGCTGTTGAATTTGTTGAGATTGTACTTGTAATTGATGAGAATATTTTGTTTCTGTAAAAACAGGTTGCACAATCTCAGCATCTGGTTCATTTCCAATCTCAGTGATTTTTTCATTATATTCTTTTTCTTCTCTGTCATCTCTTGGTTGTGTTGGTGTTAAATAGGCTAGAATATAATATTTGTCAACTCGATATTTACATGTATAATTGTTATCTAAATGTGTTGCATATACAAAGTCATCAAATGAAACAATCACTTCTGCCGAATATTGAAAAACTTCTTCAACATTCCATTGAACTTCCGATGCGATTTTCCGCATTTCATATGGATCAAAATCAGCATTATTTATATGTTTGTTGTATGCTGAGTTCATAGCATTAAACATAATTAAACTGCAACATTTTGAACCAGTTCTTGTTTCAGCACAATGTGAACCAACTGGATAACCAGCTCTATCTCCACTTGGATATAATTTCAATTCTGTATGCCACGATGCTTGATTATCAAATGATGTCTTATTTGATCCAAGCGGTTCACCATTCATTGTTGTCGCAAATTTCGCTTCTTTTTGTTTTTCCTCGACATCATACTAAAATCATGTTTGATCGTTATTTTTCATTGTCTTTTCTTCTGCTAATTTCATACCTGTCTAGGCGTTGCGTAAGCAGCGATAAAAAATCCGCGATTTTGGAATTTACAGATATTATCCCCAATATATGAAGATCTGATAACAAAGTCGTCCTGTGAAACCAGAACCTCGAAAGATTTTTCAAAACGTCTCTGGACTTTTTGTTGAATAACAGAAGCAATTATAGATTCTGTTCCGTGGCCAAAGTCCGGCGATGTCGCCATCTGCATCATTGCATCGCGCATTGTTGACGCAAGACGACCATCACAACAGATATTTCCTAGAAAAAAAAAGATAAATGGTCAGATTTTTCCCTATCTCTGTACATATCTGTTTTGTCATCATACAGTCTTGTTAAGGAAAAGCTACGCAATGCAATGCAATAAATTGTATTCGCGTTTTGTTATCAACTTCAAGAAATCTGTTCTTTCTTTCATTCTCATAGATTTTTAGAATGAAATCACAAGGAATCAAGAGAAAGATTGGAAAAAAAAACTGACCGTCTCTCTTCTTTTTATCACAATGTGTGTTTTCTGGAAGACTGTCTTGTTTTCTCAAATTTGCAAAATTTCTTGGAATTGGTGATGGATTTGGTAATTCAATTTCAGTCACATTTCCATTTAATGTTGAATTTGCAAACACTTCTTTGCCAGCCACAGTTACATTACTTTCCAATGCTTGAATCGTCATATCGGTCAAAGATTCCATTAATTTTTCCATCTCTAGTTTTGCGCGTTTTTCAGCTTCTTCAAATTTTCGGACAATGTCCTCTTCTGTAACATTTTAATACGATTAGCGACATATTGTTTATCGTCAAAGGTGGGAGTGAAATCTAGTTTGATCTGTCAGAATACCTCTATCTTCCTAAAAAATATATGATAAATTGATAAAGCATATCAAGTTTTGAGGTGAGTGTATATTGACGGAACAAATGAAAAAAACACAACGTGTTTTGTATTCTAAGATCATTTTTTATGAGGGTGCTTGCAAACCCAAAAGCGAATAATTTGTGTCTAGATAAAAAAATCAAAAGTACTCACTTGGATCATGTTTTGCAAATTTGTTAGGATATTGTAAAATAAGATCAACTTCAGGTTGAATTGATAAATCTTCACCGGCTGTTGGATCTTGTCGAATGTCCATAAAATCTCCTCGAGAATTTTCAATCTTTGAACTTCCTAAAGGATCAGACGAATCGATTGTTGCCAAATAATCTTCAACTTTCATATCAAATGGGTTATATTTTCTCGGAGTTTCGTAGATCAAATAATATCGATTTCCATCAAAAATTTTGCAAGAATGTGTTCCATGATAATGTGAGGAAATTGCGAAATTTCTAGAGGAAATGAAAACTTCGAAAGAAACTTGATAATGAAGTTGAGCACGCCGTTGAATATATTTTGCAAGATCTCCAAGTTTTGGTGTTTTTTGAGCAACGTTTATAGCATTGCTCATCAAATTTTTCAATTCCAAGTCACAACATTCTACAGTAACTGATTGGTATGGCAATGACCATGCTGAAAATTGACCATAATATCAACAAAAAACCCTGATTTTTCCTAGATTCACTAGAGTCAAGTTTGTTATTCTGAAGAAAACAGTCTTGTTGATCACAAATATTATGATTATTTTGTGATCGTTTGCCTATTTGTTTACACTCTGATTCACAATAAACCAGTTCATAATTAGCAGAAAATGATATAGCACGATTGAGAAAACAATTGAGTCAAGAAAAATAAATAGCTTGCAAATCAGGAAGTTTTTTGAACTTTTTCGAAGTCATCTCTGATTTCGAATAATCTTTCAATAAAAAAAATTGAAGCATAATGATTTTCAGACAAATAAAACACTTTTTAATGCGCAGCACAATTATCATACGATTAACTAAGTTTCTCGAAAAATGTTGTACTTTTTTTGAAGATTAAATTTCAGATTTTTTTAAAGTTTTTATTTATTTCGAAAACGTTCAGAACACTTTGATAATGTTGAAAAGACTATGATAAACTTTGACCATTTTTGGGAAGATCGATTACATTTTTTTGAGAGAGAATAGATTCAAGATTTCTGTTTTATCTTTATCTCGATTTGCGACAAGACAATTCTGACTTTAAAAAGTGTAGGATATTAGTCTAGACTTCTGTGAACATTGGTACTAAATCTAAGACTTAGCAAAACTTACAGCTTGTTTGATTCCAAAAACAAACATTTGATTGTTGCCTTCTCGAATTTGTATATCCATTGGCTTTGAATTTGGTCTTACTTCTTGCACAGTAAATTGAGGAAATTAGAAATGCAATAAGAAAAACAACAAAAATAAATTGATGACTTTTCATCGTCACATAGGAAGCCAAGTGATTTCAATCCAGCAAATAAATATTTATCAAATTAAAATGGGAAGAAAAAATAAAAACGACGACCAAGTAGAAAAATAATGAATGAGACAGATGGATAAGGAGAAGCTTCGCCAACACTCTATTTTTTTCTCTTGTTCTCTTTGTTTCTACCTTACCGTATTATTTCTCTCGTTTATCTTCTTTCTTGCGTGATACGCAATTGTTTTTTTTTATGGGAGGAGATATTTTTGGAAAAACCTTTATCAGCTCATTACCAAAAAGTAAGAAATATATTTTGGAAATTCAATAGTTACAAACTTGTTTATTTATTTTTCTTTTTTCAGTTCGTGTCATCAAATTTCAGAAATTTGTCTTCTTCAAATTCTCATTTTTTGTTCTCGTAAAGAATGCGTTGAGAAAAATTGTAATTAGCTTCTATTGATGCATGTTTCTTTTTTTGTTGTGGTACATGAAACATAAATGTAATAAGTTCTTATTCATTATTCACAAGCGAGTACAATTGCACTTTTTTCAGTTGTTGGAAATAACGTATAATTGAAAAAATAATAATAAAAGCGAAAGTTGGCTGGAATATTCTCGTTATCACATTTTTCCGGTCGGATGAATTTCCAAAATTTTTTAACTATTCTTCTTCTATGCGTTTGGAAGGTTTTTGGTGATCGAGTTCCTGAATTGACGTCATGGCACGAATCAAGATTTATCAGGTTTGATTTCTAATGATTGAAAGATTAGATGTTCAAAAAACATGTGTTTTGGTGTTTTTTTAATTGTGGATTTTCCTAATTGAGTAGTTTCTTTTCTTCAATGTTCACATTATATTTGGTGACATTGCTAAATTGACTCTTCTGAGCAACATACTACTCTGCGTTTGATAAAATTGAGTTTCAATCTCAAGACAAGAATTATTCACCGAACCCAGAAAACTCAACTTAAATGTGACCTATAAAGTCTTTCCGTGATTTGAAGTCTTCTCGATCTCATTATCAAAAAAAAAACACATTTCGCTTTGTTTTTAAAGAAGAAAGATTAATAGAATTTATGATTCCCAAGATCTGTTATCATATCTAGGATGAACTTCTGTTATCACATCAAATTCTCAAGGTGGTCCTACTTTAAGACTATAGAAAAAAAAAGTGTTTTGTTGGTCTGAATAATTTTTCTTATAAATTAGTTTCAAACACCTTCTATTTTACTGTTTACAGTTGTCTATATTGTTTGGATTATGATCGAAGTCATATTCAATTACTCGGCTGCCGAGCTGCGAAACATCCATACAGTTGTGTTGGAAATGCATGCTTTATGAGTGAGTTAAAAATGAGATAAAACAATTTCTTCCAGTTCACTGTATCTTTTTAAAAATCTCGACTGACACACTATGAAATCCAATTAATTATCGTGATGGAAGCGAACATCACTTTCTCTCTCATCTTTTCAATTCTTCCGTAAATGAGAAAAAATATATTTTCCAGGGTTTCATAAAGATTTGGCTAGTCCACAAATAATGTATACAAGTGGTTGTTTGAATTTAACAAATTCGGAATATTCCTCAATTGCAAGATATCAACAAGAATCAAAAGGTTATATAAATGGAGATAAAGATGGGACATTATTATGTGAAAGTACCCGAAAAACTGGAACATGTATTTGTTCGAATATGCATAAATGTAATACAATGGATTTTGCACATAAATTTACGTATGTTTTTTCTCCTCAGGCAATATCTGATGTAAAACAAAGTTTTTTTTCGTGAAAGGAGTGACAATTATAATTAGTGACGATTAAGATAGAATACCGTTTATTGAGTTTTCCTGTCTCTTTTGGTTTTTTTTGCAATGTGATATCTTCCTCATCATTTGCGGCTTATATGATTTATGGAGTGTAGGAAGAAACAAACATTTTCAGATTTTCTGTTTGACCAGTGGCAATCATCTGGAAATAATCATTAGATCGCGTTAGGAAGTATCATGTTTCCACATTTATCTATTGTTGTGTTGAATATATCCAGATCAAAACTATTCTCCTATCTGAAACATGATCATTGAAATCACGTCATATTCAGAAGAACACACATTATGTGAAAATCAGAAAGAATGACGAAAGCGTTTTGAAGAAAAAGAAGTTTAATAATTGAGGGGTGAAAAATGAACTTTGATACTTATATCAGTTATATGTTTGGAAAAAGTAATACATAGATATTTATTTTAATAATTGTAAAGTAAAACATAAAACGAAATAGTAATTGTTTTTTAAAGATTAATTATGTGAAATTTACCAAATAAAGTTAAAAGGGCTCAAGGAAGTCGTTACTTTTTTAAAGGGGATTTTTCTCAAAAACTTAACAATGTGTAGTAACAATATTCAAATTCTCATTAAATTTTTGAGTTATCTTGGAAATCTGAAATCGCATCAGGGTTTATATGACGCACATTTACACTGATATGAGGTTAGTTTTTATCCCAATATCAACAGTTCTCCTTATTATTTATCCAATAAAATATATCAGAAGTTAAAAAAAAAATGAATTCCACCAATATTTTTCAGCGAATACAACCAAACGGAAATCTTCAAAAACGTGACAGTCAACGAAATCAATCATATCAAATATTTCCTTCCTCAAGAATACCACAAACTTCAAAAATCACACCCCCGTCGTAATAATGTGAAAATTCAAAAATCCAATTCTATTTTCATTCCCATTTCATTTTCAATTTCAATTTTTATTGTTTCATCATTGAAAATCATCGTTTGACGAAAGAAAAAAGAATTATGCATGTTTCCATGACATTTTTAAATAAGGACAAAAAAGGTCCCCCAAAGTGTTTTTTTCTGGTATTCTTTTTTTATATTATTCTCATTTTTATTATGACTGACAAATTTCAACGTTATGTATGGGTTAATGGAGAAAGAAGAAGGGCTATTAATCGAGAAAAAATGACGTTACGAAAAACTATTTTTGATGCTAAAAATGGTAATTTGAAGATATATATAATTTAGTTCATTTTTATATTTTTTCAGCAAATGCATCAGATTTTGAAGAGCCACAGAAAGCTCCGAATGTGATTTGGCCGGGTCAATTAGAAGAGCAGCTTGCAAAGGCAAAAAACAAGCGGAGAACAGAACGATTTTCACAAGATAGTGCATATCTTCAAACACCAGATTCAATCATTTCTGAAAATGAAAGTGAAGATGAAATTGAAATCAAAGAATTTGAAGAAAGTCCTCAAGATCAAGTTAGAAAATCACCTCTTCCTCGTGAATTGTCTGACCCAAAAATTCCTGATTATAGTCAATATACAGATTATTACCTTCAACCTCCAATTGTTCTAAACAATAATAATTCAAGCCCGTTTTTTCTTGTTACTACAAATAATTTTGATAAAAATCAATAAACTGGTATATCTTTTTTCACATAAAAATTAAAATTGCATCTCACATTCAGTGTATACAACACTCCGCTAATTTACATTGCTCATTGTTTGGTCAGCTAATATTCCCCTTTTTGCATATTCCTTTTTTCTTGTTTTCATTTGTTTTGTTATTTTTGTCTCGCATCACATTCTTTGTATTTTACAGTAGATTTGCACTTTTTCTTTATATATCTATCCCAAGAGATTTTTTCTAATTTCCTGAACTTGTTAGGAGTATCTAAAAACAAGATAATATGAATGTTGTTGTTCAAAAAAAAACTGATAAAAAACAGGTAAAGTTTTTGAGAGAAATAGAGATGCAAAAAACGCGAGAAAATTTGCTGCTATCTATCGTTTTTTTTCCGAAAATGTTGCGTTTTTGAAGATTGTTTCGTTCATTTTCTCTAGGTGGTTTTATTTCGTTCAAAGTGTTTAATTTATTGAAAAGCAACAAGTTTCAATCACAACAATTATTTTTTTATCTTCATATATGAACTAAAATCCCTTTTTTCTCATTTTTCTTTCTCACCTTTTTTCCCATAAGTTCAAGCATTTTTTATGTGCACTTTTTGTCACCTAAAAATGATATAATTGTTTTCGAGCTAGCCACCTGTTTTTTACCGCATATAAGACACATCATTCCCCAAAAAACCGATATATCCCCTTTCCCATTTCACATATTCGTATTGCCGCGTATTTGTTTCTCTGCGTCTCTTCACTCTCTCCCGCCTCCTACTCTTTTTCGTCTCCTCGCTATGAGACCATTTGGCTGTGTCCCTGTCATCATTGCCTTTTCCAAGCCGAACGAAATATTTTGTGTGTTTTTAGTGCGTCGCGTACTCGCGTCACGTTCATTTTTCTCTGTCCGCATTTTGCTTTATACTGTATTTGGTTACCATATCCTCTCTCTCATTTGAATATATATATTTTTTTTGCACTGCATTTATTCGTTTTCAACCGTTTTTGATGATTTTTGCGGTTTTTTCGAACAAATTTTGGATTTTTCAGGGGTAATCGCCATTTTCAAGCTACTATGGAGGAAATATTCCCCGATTCAACGATGAACCACGGTGTTGATCAACCTGTAAGTTTCAAGATAGGCTTTTCAGATAACTATTGAATTGTTTCAGGTGTTTCATCACGGCACACATTTGGATGACAGTGATATGATGATGGATGAAACAGATTATGGAGGGGTAAGAATTTTCTAACTTATACCGTAATTTCCTTATTCTTATGCTTGTTTTTTTTCAGTTCCAAATGCATTATCCAGAAGAAGATGAGCTTGCTGAAGGTATGATTCCACCAAGAGCAGTTCACCAATGTAATGTATGCAACAAGATTTTTGTGTCATTCAAAGGTTTGTCTTTTTCATTGTTGCCCTAACATTTTCGTATCGATTTTTGTTTAGGACTTCAACAACACGCTGTTATTCACACGGATCAAAAACCATATCAATGTGACATTTGTGCAAAATCGTTTCGTTTCAAATCGAATCTTTTCGAACATCGATCAGTTCACACTGGATTCACACCACACGCTTGTCCATATTGTGGAAAAACTTGCAGGTAATTTGGTTTTTGTAAAAAAAAAGTGCTAAACAAGGGCAATTTGATATATATTTTCTCGGAAAATGTTTTTATATACGAAAGTTCAAGAGATCAAAATTTCAAGATGATAATTTTTCATTTAACAATTTCAGACTAAAAGGAAATCTGAAGAAACATTTGCGAACTCATGTCACAACAAAAGAAGAACTTGAAGCTGCTTGGCGTCCATTTGCAAGTAATCGTCGACCACCGGCTGATATTCCTGATGATGCGATAATTGTTCGTGGCACCGGAGGCACATATTTCCCACAACCATCACGTCCAAGAAAGAAGAAGCTTGGTTTGGGAGTTGATTCGAGATATTGGGTCGAGCGAATTAAGCGAGGAGATATTCTACCATCGATGAATATTGTTGATAAAGTTCAACGATTGGAAGAGAATGTGTTCAATAATATAACAACATCATCGACTCGTGCACTGTTTGAAATTGCCAAAAGTATTTCATTTGAATCATATGATTGCCCGCTGTGCAAAGCCGTTTTTATGACACGAAATGATTGTTTGACACATTTTACCATGGAACATACTGCAAATCAAGGAGATTTGGAATTTTTCTGTGAGGTAAGATTTGATTTTTTGATCGGGTTGATGAGATGCTAAATATTCTGAAGCGGGATGTTGAATCCCACAAACCACAGACAGACATAAACTTTCATTGTTTATTACTTGAAATTCAGTCGCCTTATGGAATTTTTTCGAGGGTTACAGTACAAAACTTATGCAAAATAAATTAAACCTCAATTATTAAAATTGATCTATAAATCCGATGAAAAGAGAAATAAACTGAAAAAGAACTATATACTTTTGATTTCAACTTCCTCTCCCATAATTTTTGAGCCTTTTTTGAAATTAGTATACCCAAATGAGATATAATCAAAGTTCTACTGCAAAATAATTTTTCCATCAAATCAGTCTAGTGAGGTCTGTGAGGGTTACCAGACCAACTTCAAAGTTTTAACAAAAAAATCTAAATATTTTTTTTTCAGAAATGCTGTCGACCATTCGTTGATCAGCAAAGTCTTGAACAACATCAAAGTTATCATGTAAGAGTTTTCAATATGCTGGAAAGTGAATCGATATCGGTAAGATTTCAAAATTCAAAATTCAGAATTCTCAATTTCATTTTCATTTTTTCCAGCGTGGCAATCCTCAAATTTTGGTCCCAACTCCGGAAGATTTATCGCTGATGTTTGGTGAAACAATAATTCGACCTGATCAATCAAATCACGGGATGATCGACAATATGAATGCGCATCAGATGTCATAATTTCTAATTTATATGGTTTTTCTCTTGATATTGCTTCATTTATCAGAAGCTTGCCAGTATTTTGGGTATTTTAATTTTCACGATCAATACTGTATATATCACACATACACACAACTTTCTCTGACCTTTTACCTATTATTGATCTTCATTGCTTGAGATCTCAGTTCATGTCAGTGTTTTTTCTCTGATTTTTTCCTTGGTTTTCTGTCTACCCTGCAAATGCTCAGTTCAGATTGTTTACCCTGTCTATTAGAAGATTTGTGTTTTAGCTAGTCGGTTTTAACACGTTTTGTATTACAATCGCTTCTCTGAAAATATAGCATTATTATAGTTCTTGTAGGTTGCGAAATTTTGTCTTCTTGACGTTTTCGTGCCATTTTAATTGAATGGTTTTTTTTTTCATTTTTTTGTCACGCGTTTTATATATATTTTTTGATTATTTGTTCTTAATTTTTTTAATCCGAATGAAACAATTCCACGTCAAAAGATACAATGTTCGACATATTGGTATTTTTTTACACATTGTTATTTTTTCGGAAAGATGTTGTACTTTTTAAAAGAATTCGTGATCAGAATTATGATGATTGGAAAATTCATTGACGTCATAACTATTTTCAACGTGAGATTTTTATAATTTTTCATGATATTTTTTTGAGGCTTTTATCACGATTAGGGGAAAATACAATCATGTGTCAATGAAAAACACATATCGCGGGTAAATGAGTTTTTTCTGGAAGTTAAAGCAACACCCCTGTATAACAAGCACTTTCTTGAAAAAAAGCCCATTTGTTCTCACATCAGAAATTAGATTTTCGAAAAAGAATATCAATTGAATAGTTTTTTGTTTATACAAAAGTATTTTCTTTCCTTTTTTGACGCGTATCAAAATAAGAGAATTCTGATATGAACCAATGTGGGATTCCTCTTGAAATTTAAAATTTTCTCTTTATTTCATATTGTTTCGTTGAATATGTTTATTCGCCGCTTGAGAAAAAAACAATATCTACATTCTTTATCTTTTTTTGTCCAAATCCCGGAAGCTAGATTAATATCTATCAACTTGTAAAATAGTATATAAACCATTCCATTTTTAGAGATATGCATAAAAAAAAACAAATATGAAAGACTTGGAAGCATCTCAATCTACTCTTTCCTATGCAGTTATTCTTTCTGGTTGCGCGTTTTTGGTGATGGTTGTCACAACTCCAGTAATATTCTACACAATGAGTGAAATGACTATGCAACTTGAATCGACTAAAGTTGGATTTGAGGAAACATCAAATATGTTGTGGAAAGAATTGGTTCAAGGAGAACAAGACAGAAGACGTGTTAGAAGACAAGCTGAATGTTAGTTTTAATCAAAGAGAGAAACAAAAACTAAATAATTTTGTTTCAGACAAAGAAGGTGGTGCTGCTGGAGCTGGTTCGGATGGAGTTGATTCAAGTTGCCCAGCTGGTCCAAAAGGAGAGCCTGGAACTCCAGGACAACCTGGAACAGATGGAGAGGATGGAAAACCTGGAAAAGACGGATCTGACGGAACAAATGAAGCTGCGGCTACTTCTTCAAGTGATAGTTGCACACCATGTCCAGCGGGACCACCAGGAGCTCCAGGATACAAAGGAAAACGTGGACCAAGAGGAGAGAAGGGACCAAAAGGACCATCTGGAAATCCAGGAAGAGATGGTTCACCAGGAGATGAAGGACCGGAGGGAGATCACGGACATCCTGGACCAATGGGACCACCTGGAGAAAAAGGAGCACCAGGAGAAGATGGAAAAGGATTTGCTAAAGGAGCACCAGGACCAAAAGGAGAACCAGGAATGGATGGATTACCAGGAGACGAAGGTCTTCCAGGAGATCGTGGAAATGATGGAACACCAGGAGCTCAAGGAGCACCAGGGCCACAAGGATCGCCAGGAGAAAAAGGACCAGATGGTTTCCCAGGACTTCCAGGAAATTCCGGATCTTCTGGAGATGATGCAGCATATTGTCCATGTCCTTCAAGAAAAGGTGATGGTGCTGCAGCTGTCGGAGGCGGAGATGCAAAACCAACCGAAGAATATAAGGCTGAAACTGAATTTGAAGGAACAACTGCAGCCGAAAGTGCACCAGCTTCAGAGACTTATCCAACCAAGAATCGCGCTAGATTTGGAGCTCGTCAACGTGCCGCTGCTACCAAGAAATCAGCTGTTTATTAAAATTAAATTGGGATTTTTCGTTAATAAATTTTACATATCTGAAGTTTTTCATCAGCTTTTCAAATCCCTATTTGTCAATGAATTGTGAGAATTCCGAATTCCACTATAAGTCTATTTTTCAAATATACCAATTTTTTCACAAGTCAATTTTCAAGTACAATACACGTCCAATGACCTTTATTTCACTTTTTTTCATGAAAATTTGCATTATTATATATTTTTATATCAAACCAAACTGGTTTCTAGTTTATTTATTTTTTTATGGAGTCTTCTCATATCTCATTTCATTTTTCTCACTTTCTTGATAATCAAAGATGACTGTAAGTTTTTTTCTTTTCCAAAATCTTTTCCACAAAAAAAACAAAAATCAAGATGTAACAGTTTTCAAACAAACAAAAAAAAACAAGAAGAAATAAACAAAACAAAACTGTTATGTCACGGGTATTTTCAGTTTTGATTTATTTCAAACAGTTTTATGTAGTAGTAAAAGTATTAGTTTTTTCTGGAAGAAGAAGAAGATTGATGTGACAAGTCAAGTCAAGTCAAACTTCAGGTCGGTACACTTTGTAATGCGTTTTGTTGTTATTGTTATCAAGGCAAAAAAAGAGAAGAAGAAGAAGGTGGCAAAAGCAGACGACGAAATTGCTGCATTACCACCACTATTATTGTTATTATGAGTAAAATTCTAGTTGTTATATTTCTATTGGTTATTTTAAAGGTAGGCGAAGTGTAACGACAAGTTTTCAATGATTTATGATATTTTCACAGACTTTTGGTAATGAAATTGATAATAACAGTGTTGATGATAATATTTGGGATGATCGAGATGAGCAAATTATATCTGCTTTGAATGGAACTGATGAAGGTTAGATATAGGGGATGACTTTCAGCGTGTTAGTGAAATAGTTTAAAACAAGAAACTTCTGAAACCCAAAAAAGTGTTTTTGATTGTTATGTGTGTGAGTACTGTAATTCACTTTCAAAAATATTTCTCTAGATTATTGAAATTACGTTGTGATGTGAGATTTTATATCACAATCAGAAATTTAATCTTCTTATAAAAGTCCCAGATTCTTCAGATATAGTAGATCCTCATAATCAAACTAAAACAAAGAGCATTTCAGAAGCCATCGCGTAATTTCTTTCTTGAAACGTGTTTTTTCAGAAGAACAAGATAATACAAAATGCAGCAATTCGTCGTTGACTCAATTCCAACGTGATATGATTCTAAGCACTCACAATGAACTTCGAAGATCTCTAGCATTTGGAAATGAACCAAACAAAGAAGGATATATGAGCTCAGCTAGAAATATGTATAAACTGGTGAATTTTTTGTTCGAAAGCTCATTTCCAACCAATTTATTAAGGAATGGGACTGTGAACTTGAAAATATGGCTGCAAACTATTCAGCGAGTTGCCCCAACACTTTCATTCCACAAAATATCCTTCGCTCACGATCACACCTTTTCAAACGATTTTATTTCTATTGGGATCAAAAAGATTCCACAAATCATATCAAAAAAGCAATGAAAACGTGGTGGAAACAAGGGCAGGAGAAGGGTAATTTTGATTCGAAAAATCGGTTTTTTGCCAGAAATCAATATTTCGCATGGGCTAATGTGAGATTCTTTTTTTGTTTATTTTCGAATTATTTCAAGTTGTTTTTTTTTTCAGATGGCAAAGGCAAAAACTTACAAAATTGGTTGTTCGTATGTTCTTTGTCCTGATGATCAATCGGCAATGTTTGTTTGCTTGTATAATGAAAAGTGAGATTTTTATTGGGTGTTACAAATTTTATGAATTTCAGATGTTATAAAAAACTAGAACAAGGAAATAATTTTGTTTTGAAAAGCAACACAACAAATGGAGTGTACGAAAACCGACATTTTCAGGGCTCAATGTGAACTTGAGATGATTTATGAACCTGGAACTCCTTGTACCAACGATACTGATTGTTTCACATACCCTGGCTCAAAGTGTATACTTTCTGAAGGTCTCTGCCAGGCTCCAAATCTTCCAAAAGACCGTGAAACTCAGGAAATGTGCAAAGTACGAGAGAATACGAGAATGACAGATGAGACTAGAATCTGGGCGCTAGAGCAACATAATTTTTATAGGTTAGGTTCAAATTTCCATATCATAGTTACATGATCTGAAATAATAGTATTTTCTAGATCTCGATTAGCTAGAGGCTATGAATTTAATGGCGAGACAAACTGCACACAAGCAAAAGCTTCGAAAATGTTGAAAATGGAATATGATTGTGTATTGGAAGAGTTCGCACAAAACTGGGCAGATAATTGTGTTTTTGGACATTCAACAAATGATGAAAGACCTAATCAAGGGCAAAACCTTTATATGAGCTCTTTCATAAATCTTGATGCGAGAAGTTTGATTCACACAGTTAGAAACACATTTTTTTCCGATTAATTTCAGTTCATTCAAAATTACAGGCAACTGAAAAATGGTGGCAAGAGTTGGAAGAATATGGTCTTCCGGAAAACAACATTTTGTCGGCTGATTTGTGGGATGAAAAAGGGAAAGCAATCGGACATTATACACAAATGGCTTGGGACAAAACATATCGATTAGGATGTGGTATCGGGTACTGTCAACATATGACTTATGTTGTTTGTCATTATGGACCAGCGTGAGTTGAACTGAACTGGGTGTGAAAATTCGGAAACTGAAATATTCCATGGAAATAGTTTATAAAGAAATGGATTTTTATGAAAATAATCCCAAACTATATCAGCCCAAAAATATATATGTTCTCATACAAAAAATTTCCCTCAATGCTTTTCAGTTTTTTTCATTGTTGCATTTCTATTGTTGGAAGTTACATTGTTCAATATGACGGACAAATAACACATTTTTGTGATATTTGTCATTCTCTGGAATTGTGAATATCTTTCAAAACCATCCCTGAAACCCATCAACAGAAAAACTCTCAGATGTTTCTAAAAACAATAATAATATTCCAGAGGTAATCGAAAAAACCAAAAAATCTACGAAGTTGGAGAACCATGCAATTGTGATCGTGATTGTCCAATTGGAACCACTTGCGAATTTGACACTTCACTTTGTCAGATCAGAAGAAAATAAGACAACTAAATAATTTCATATATCAAAAATAATTATTAATAATGTGAAAGATAACGGTTAGATTTTAAATAGGAAGAGAGAGAGAGATAATAAAATTGATGCTTATTTTTTGCGAATTCGACGTTCACATGGATCTTCGACGTATTCAGTGCGTTTCTGAAACAAACATTTTTTTGGATTGGCCTATTTTTTGATTGAAAAAATTGAAAAACAACATACATCATCTGTGATAATTGGGACAAGTTGACATGGATTTGTTGGTTTCCTTGGTGGAGCTGGTGGTGGCAAAGTTGCTCGGCGAGCTAATTCTTCTTCTTGAGCACGTCTTGCATCTTCAATACGCTTACGCTCTTCTTCATATCTCCTTTGTTCTTCTTCTCGTATGCGAACTTGTTCATTATATCTTTCTATCTCTTCTTTGTATTTTCTCTGTCGTTCAGCTTCAGCGCGTTCTAATTCAATTCTCTCTGAAATTAAGTTGAGTTTGGAATTCAAATAAACTTAAATTTAACATAAACCAAGAAGTGAGCTCGTCTAGAAATTAACCAAAAGTGAGCTCTGTTGAATCACCATTTTTTTACAAAACAAATAAAAATACTAATAACTATCACAACGAATATTTTACCTAGTTCTTGTCTAATACTTTTAATTATCACAGAGTTTTCTGAATTTGTGTCAAAATCTGAGGAGAGAAGAAATCTCACAATTTTTGTTTTACCTCTTTGCTGTCTTTCCAATTCTTCTCTCTCAAGTCGTATTTTTTCTTGTTGAATTCTGATCAATTCTAATTCATCAGCTTCGGTTTTCCGTCTATCTGCATCGACTTTTGCTTGAGCATCTTCTTCTTTCTTATCAAGATTTGGATTTGGCACAATTTCAATAGTTGAAGGCTCAAAAGTTGGCTCGTCTGTTGGAAGAACTCTTATCTCTTCAACTTGTGTATAAACATTCTGAAATGAATAATTTCAAAACATATATTGAAATTGTATAGCCTACATACCTCTTCATAATATCTTTTGTATTGGACATAATGTGGAATGCAAAATTGAACAGCTTCTTGGAAAGTTGAAGATTGATTGAAACGGCAGATTTGATGATGTTTATGAACTGTTGTGGAGTTCTTAGAAACTGGTGCGCCTTCTTGCCAAAGTTCAATTCCACTGTGATGATAAATCTCATGTTTATGTGGTTTGGCCTCGTGAATATAAGTATCATTGATAAATTCAAAATAATATCCTTTTTCGAGTTGACCTTCATAACCACAATTGTGCTCGATATAAATATATGGTTCAATTGAAGTGAACTAAAAAATGTTTATATTTAATGAGATGTTTCAAGTCTATTGGAAAACAATTTTACCTCACTAGTAGATCCTTTCACACAAAATGTTCCTTTTGGATCAGATGTTGTAGCACCCATGAAATCATCACTATCAAACAGTGGAACTAAAAAATGATTGACGTGAAAGATTTCAAAAATGAAATAAAAAACTTACTTGTATCCTCATCGTAAAGTTGCACCAATACTCCAGGTTGTGGTACCCCGCGACATTTAACAGTTCCTTTAACTGTCACAAATTGTAATGATCCATTGGCAATGCCACCAAAAATGGCCAAAATTATAAAAATCTCGATCATTCTATTAATGATGTTTTTGACGTTGTTTCGAACCATATAAAGCACGTCGATGGGCAGAAAAAAACATAGAAAAAAATTATGAAGCGCCACGCCTTCCGTATTTTTTTCCTCAAGAAACAACAAAAATTGTCATCGATGGATGAGTAATTTTGGTGTATACTTTTGTTGTTTCATTATTTTTCGATTTTGTTTTGTCTTTATTTTTTTTTTGCCTCCCTCCCGAAAAATTTTCCTATACGAATTTGTGTGTTTCTGTTCGAGAAAATGTTTTGAGAGGAGGCAAAAAAGGCCGCTTCTGTGTTGAAATATTTTCAAACTGTACGATTTATGTACAATTACGAAAATATTAGGATGATGCATAATTTTGCTGATGTGAAGACAAAAAAAAGAGAAGAAACAAAAATTTGATTTTTGCAAAAAATGAGGGACTTGATGTAATATTGAGAAGTGACTATGAAAACTAATAAAAAAACAGTATGAAAAACAATGACGTGCACAAAAAACCGAGATTCGCATTTTCAACAGAATATATTTGACACGTCCGAATAAATTGTGAGTATAATTAGGAACGGCATTCTATTATACAATTTCTTGTTTCAGATTTGTTCTCTTTTTGAATAATTTACACATATCATTATCCAATTTTCTTTCGATCTTAGTTTTTCAGGCTTCAGGATCAATGCTCAGAGTTCATTGTGTTAGAGTCGGAAGAAATTTTATCGAAATTCATTTTTTCATCTTTTTGGAACATATTTTTGCTGGTGATTAGATAATCTGCGGAAGGGTACAAACATCGAGGAAATTAGTACAGAAATTTTTTTTATACCTTTCAGATGTATTCTCTCCTTCTACTTCCAAGAACAACTATATTTTGATTGTGGATCAATGTTGTGAAAATATTTATTCCACATCATCGAAATATAACAATTTCTAAATTTTAACATCAAATTTTATTTTTTTTCCATTTACAAGACTTTTCGAATTATAAATGTTTGACTCGGAATGTTACTTGTATTCCAAATTCGAACATTTCCATTCAAACAATATTTGAGTTTTCTCAATTATCAATTCCCTCAGTTTGAATACAAGCATTGATTTCTAATAAAAATAGCTTATTTTCCCCGCACAAGAGAACGTTTTCCATTTCATGTTTTTTTTTTCCTTCAAACCATATATATATATCGATCTACGAGGGGGTGACGACACAATCCCACATCAAATGTTAATGTGGGCAACGAAAATACAACACCGACAAAATTATTTTAATTCAAATTCATATTATGTTTTGTTTTTTATCTGTTTTTTCTTCTTCAATTTTTCATTTCCAAAGAAGAAGACGAACAAAATTTCAGAATCCGATTAAAGATTTTTCTGCCTTTTCACATATGTAAACATGATTTTCCTTTTTTTCAGATTATTATGTGTTCCTCTTTAACTCAAGTTGTTTTCACAATTGTCATGCTTGGTGCCATCGCACTAACTGTTGCATCAATTTTTGGAGAGAGTAAGTTTTTCTGAAACATTTTTGTTTCCCAGTTAGATATTTTTAGAATGGTCTACTGTCGCACAAAACGTTCAGGACTCACTAATCCAAGAAGGTATCAAAGGAACGGAAAAATGGTTGAAATATCTACCATTTTTATGCGAAGGAGACGATTGTGCTAGTTTCTGGAAGGAATGTTTTATAGCTTTTGAAAAAAAATCTCAAATTTAATCAGAAGTTTATTTCCAGGACATGAAACCGTATGAAAAAGTAATTGCAGCGTCAACATTGTTAGCACTATTTTTCGAGATTCTTGCATTTATTTGGAACTTTTTCACTTCTTGTGCTTGTTGTTTCAAAAAGTACTTGATTCATCCATTATCACCTCTCTCATTTCTGGCCCTGTTTTTCATGTCAACTTCGCTTGGTGTTTTCTATTTTTACAGTGATGATGTGAAGTGTGAGTTAATAAAACTGTGTTAATTCGAGATTTTCAAAAAAACAAAGTTCAAGTTTAGAAAAATATTTTTTTATGAAATCCAAATATGTTTTAAATAATTATTGTTCAATGTTTTCCAGCTGATTCTAATGTCGATCACCTTCGAAATGGCGAGATTGATAAATTCACCATCGACGTAATTTTCTATTCACACTCTCCGAACAACTTTTTTCATATTTTCAGATAACTTCATCATTCTGGCTCGCAGTTGGAGCTTGGTGCCTTCTCGCAATTGACACAATCTTAGCTTCAATTGCAATTTTCTTTGCAGACTAGAAGAAGAAGAGAAACCCAAATTCAAATCATGTTAAGGTAAATAAAATATTTATCAAGAAAAACATTTGTAACAAGAACGAAAAATAATTGATTTTTGACAGAAATGATCACACTAATGCATAAATAAGACAAATAAAGAAATTTTGAAATTTGAAATGAAATCACAAGATGTATATCTAGCCTGGATTGCAGTGTTATTTTTTGATTTCATAATGAAAATGAACACATAAACGTATTTGAAGTTTTTTGAAGGGGAAGAAAGGTGCAGATCATTAAACAAAACCCGAATGTACAACAGGAAACTAGATTCGATAATATATAAATAAGGGGAAAAATAAATAGAAATATATAATCAACTGGGTAAAATCACAAAAAAATAATGATTGTTCATGACGACGAAGATGATGACGGTTGTTGCTGATCTTCAGCTACTTGCTAGAAAAATTGTATTTTTTTTGAAAAATAAAAAGAAGGTCTAGCTGAAAATATCTTACCTCAGCAATTTCTACACTAACAATATTTGATCTAACCGGTTCTGGTGGATTCAAAGGACTTTGACACGTGCTACTTGTCGCAGTTGATGATAACGGGCTCACAGTTTCGACAGATGTTGAGCTTTTCGCAACCACTGGCCGATAAAAAATTGGATCTTCATAATCAGAATCTGGAAAAAATATATAGAAATTATTTATTCAAAAACATCATTTGTAGAACTTACATCCTCTTTGTTGTTCATTAACATAATGTAGCGTCATATGACGTCGCAAACTGTCGCGATCCATAAAAACTTTATCGCAAAAAAGTCGCGGGCATTTATATTCGTTGCCGTCCATCATACGAATATGATCAACGTGTAAATGAACTTGAAGATCGATTGGCGTCTCGAAATTTGCATTACACATGTTACACACGGTTATGTTTGGAATCGGACGGGGTTTCATCGTGTTTGGATGCTAAAATTAATATTTGATGTGAAAAAAAAACTAATTTTTATATGACTCGGAGAAAAATGGGCGGGGTTAAGAAAAATCTTACCAATGGTTCTGTTCTTGGCTCAATGCGATATTCGAAGGCGGGACCAACAAAAACCTGATTGTCTGGTTTGGGTGGAGTCCAGACGTTGGCTTGTTTGGCTTGTGGAAGTACGGATACATTACGTGGAGAGATTTTTGGAAGTTCAGCATTCTGGAATGAGATTTTTTGATTAAAAAATTGGTTTTCAAATTTGTCAAATTTTCGGAAGAATGGGAGTTAAGAACTGGGTGAAATTATTATCAACGATGAAAAATGTGGCAGATTGGCTTACGAGTTATAAAAGATCAAGTGCGGCTAGTGAAGAAATCTGCGAATATTTGATTTTAGGACTTTGTTATTTCTGACATTACTACCAGTCTTAAAATCTGTTTCGAAACTAAAGAGTTTTCGATAAATAATTTGCCGTTGAGGAATAATATTTTTCTGATTTGCAACACGGTCCGATTCCCTACTTCTCAAAAAATCATTACTCCATAAAACTCACATGATTTGAAGTCAGGTCTACAACAACAATCTCAGATTTAGGCGGTTGAAGAAAGGTGAAGCTGGTGTTGGTTGGTGCCGATCTTTGTCCGATGATGTTAAGATTGCTGATGAGATTCGAATTACTACTCGTTGATGTTGTTTGACCGCTACTCACCAAAACAGGTGTGGCGGTGACGGCGGAGGCAGCAGCGACACCAATGATCGAAGAATTCGGATTGGCAACGCCAGATTGAATAGCTGTAGTTGAAGAAGTTAGATGAAGGCAGGTTTCATGACGCATACTGTCAACGATGGCTAGAATTGTTCAATTTCGCATTTTTACTAAACTACGAATTCTCGCTTTCTCTAAAAAAAAACTAACCTAATAATGATTGCCTGGCTCTTTCACAATCAGTTGTATCAATCTCATTCAAACAAGCTCCATTATCTTTTTTGGTTATTAGAGATAATGTATCTTCCGGCAGCTTTCCAAGTGTTTCCAATTTCATCACGTGCGTTTTTGATCGCAGATGTTTTGCAAGAATTCCGTGTTTTCTAAATCCAATATCACAATCTGAGCACATGAACGATCTTGGATTATTTGACAATGAATGTGTGCCACCTCCCAAAACTGATTGTGTTGATGCTGATGGATCAATACTGGCAGTTATCGAATCATCCATCTGAAATTAACAAAATATATCTCTCGATCTGTTTGTTCGCTCGACATATTGCTTTGCCCTAGATTTTAATTCAAAATTTAACGTAAATTAGTTTTCTTATTTCTTAATTCCAAAAACGGATCGAACGACTAGAAAAATATGGATTTGTAAAACTGGAAAACTTTTTTTGCAAATTTTTGACCGAAAAAAAGTTGAGCAAAAAAATACTATAATTTGAAGACAAGAATGAAGAGCAGCGTTAGTCGGACGTTTTATTTTTGTACTAGTTTATATTCTGAAAATATATGATAAGCTTACATGAATTCCGTGAATTGTTTCCATATGTTTGGCTAACAATGCTTTTGTTCTTTGTGGAATTCGACATTCTGAACATTGAAACATTCGATTGCGATTTTGTTGCTTCTCGATATTATGTGTATGTTGGTGATAGTTCAAATCCGACACTTTCCGAAATGTTCGATCACACTGATCACATTTCAATGTTTCATCCTTATTCAAATATAACGAATTTCCAGCAGCAAGTGAGACAAGTGGATTTACAGGAATTGTAAAAACTTGTGGAATTGGTGGAGAATATTGAGTGTTGGATGATTGAAAAGGAGCAGTTGCATGAGAACGAGAAGAAGCCACAGGTGATCCAGTAACAGTGTTTGGCACAGGATTAATTGTGATATCATCCGCATCTCTCTGCATTGATGAAGGTGGAGCACTGAAGCAATTTCTACGCATTTCCAAATTTGTTGGACGTGATCTGCTGACACCATCTTCCACCAACATCCATCGCGTTGGAGGCGTATGGGCAGTACGTTCCAATAAAATATGTTCTTGTCCAAAGTTGTAATTGTGTTCTGCGGAAATGTGCTCTTCGCCATCTTCATCGTCTGAAGAATTGACATCGTAATCGAATAGTGAAGTATCACGAGAATCGTTGAGACCATGTTCATTTTCGTTATGATCGTCATTATCTTCGTCGTTTGATGACACTACAAGATTTAATAAATTTTGAATAAAATCCAATTTTTTTCTTGAAAAAACTTACAGTTATTTATACGTCGTAGGTGAGTTTTTGAGCTCAAATGTTTTGTCAAATTGCCTTTAGTTTTGAAAGAAAAATTACATTGTAAACATTTGTAAGGACGAATATCAGTGTGCGACCTGAAATTGAAAACATATATAATTTGTGCAATTCACCCAAGGTCTCCACTACAAGATTGAAAAAAAAACAAAAAAGAAAGTAGAAGAGAAAGATTCAAAAAACAATCATCTTACTTGATGTGTTTTTTGAGCATGCTGGGTTTCTTGCAGCGGATTCCGCACCGATCACAAACATATCTTCCACGCCCACGACCACGAACATACACGTAGACCTAAAAATCATAGATTTATGATTTTTTATGTCAGAAGAAAAAAAGTATTTCAGTTTTTTTTTGAAAAACTTTTGTGTGAAAAAATATTGAAAATAGAGATGTAGAAGTTTTGACACAATCACTCAAAATAATAATGATGATGAAACAAAAATAATTCTGGTGATTTGTGCGAAAGAAGCCAAAAATTTACCTCGTCTGTACGATGGCCACCAATTATTTGATCATGTTTTGGTCGAACTCTTAATTGTTTTGGTTGTTGTTGGGAATTATGAACTGATTTTCTGAAGATGGGTTTTTGTTCAACTTCTTCCTCTTTTTCATCGTCAATCACATTAATGAAGCTGGAAAACTTTTTATTGATTTAGCTCTAACTGTTTTCTGATTCTAAAAAACTCACTCGTTCTCTTGCTTCACAATTGGAACTGGTGACATTGCTATTGGTGAATCAGTAACAATTATCGGCGAAGAAGATGTTGATTGTGGATCATCTTGTTCCATAATTTCAACTTTTGGAACTTTCAAAACCATTCCTCCAAAGTCAGTCATATTTTGAGCAGTGGTTAAAGATCCTCCAATTAACCGTTCAATGAGAACATCATCTTTTTCTTCATCGAATTTCTCTTCATTTATTGATGATTGTCGAATTCTCATTTTCGCACTCAAATCCCAAAATGATGAATGTGTCATTCGATATTGTCCTTGATCTCGATTTGCAATTGTATATCTCCAAAATGGTTTGACACCAGTTCTTGGTTTTGTTGAGCACATTCCCATGAACAATAAATTCAATTTTGATTCAGCCTCATTGATGTTTATTTGTTGCCAATTTGAATACATCGATAAATTGCCTTTTTGTTCAACAAACATTGGTTGTGCTCGATGCATACTAACATATGTCTCACTTGTGATATTTCGACCGCGAAGACGTCTTGATCCAGAACAATCAGTTCCCATAAACGAAGGTCTTTCACCAACTTCATCTTTCAACACTAACCAATATGGTTTATCAACATTTCCATCAAGAACTGGCAATTCACCCATCAATATTTCTTCTTGTCTCAATGCTCGATTTTGTGCATTACTAACTACTGGCATAAAACTTGTTGAAGATGAAGGTGAAGCAGTTGTGATTGCAACTGGTGAACTTATCGCAACTTGATGATGTTGTGTTGGCGGAACAACTCCTTTTTTCGAAGATGTCAGAGATGCAATAGCAGCTGCTGCATCTTTTGTAAATTGAGTTGCTTGGAATGCCGATCCATATCTCCGGTTTTCTTGATGACTTGATTGTTGTTGAGCTTGAATTTGCGCTTGCTGATGCTGTTGTTGCAACTGTGCTTGAGCCTGCGCTTGTGCTTGAGCTTGCTGTTGTGCCAATTGAGCCAATTGAGCAGCTTGAACAAGTTGTGCCGCTTGATAAGCCTGTTGTTGTTGAATCAAAGCTTCTGCTCTTGCCTTCGCCTTTTGCTGTTCTTGCTGCTGCTGAAGTTGCAAAAGTTGTTGCTCGCGCAATTTCGCAGCTTGCAACAATTGTTGCTGTTGCTGCTGTTGAGCTTGCTGTTGTTGAGCCATCATTTGCATATTATGAGCAAGTGCCAATAAGGTTTGCACGGGAATATTGAGAATTGCTGCAAGTTGAACTAATTGTCCTTCAGTCATATTTCCAGCACCAATTTGAGCAATTTGGGCAAGAATTGCAGCTTGATTTAATTGAATCGGTGGTTGCTGTTGTTGCTGCTGCGGTTGAGGGGGAAGAAGAGGAAGTTGAGCTTGAGGCTGTTGGATTTGTGGTTGAGGAGTTGGTTGTTTTGGTTGCGGAGCAGGTGCAACTATCAACTGTTGTTGCGGTTGTAAAGCCGACTCTGGAAACCCTTGCACTGTAGCACGCCGAACAAAATTCGGTTGCATGGTACTGTAATCAAGTTCATTGCTATTTTCCTTCCTCAATTTAACCGGTGGCTCATTATGTGGTTGCGAAGGTGTAGGTGTTGGTCTCGGTGAATTATTCTGCGATGACATTGCAGCTTCTTGCGCAGCATGTGCTGCCAATATCCGCCGTTTTAAAGGGTGTCTATGATGTTGAGTCTCAGAAGATGGTGCTGATGATTCAGCCGAATTCTCTTGCGGTGTCACTACGTGAAGGGCTGATGTTTGTGCCAATGGTTCAGCAGTTTTTCCATTATCCCTCTTCTTGCTACACACCATCTCGTGTGCTTGCAATCCAGCATCATTTGGAAAAGTCAGTTTGCAATAAACACATTCTGGTGCAGTGATTGGAGCTCTAACTGGTTGGCCGGAAGTTAAACTTCCGAGAAAGTTGCGTTGACCAGAAAGTTCGAAAAGACTGTGACTTCGACTAGCTGCTTGCAACATCCGATTGTCTTTTGGTCCCGGTGAAGTTCGTGTTGATCCTGAGAAAAACATTATCATTCGAGAAGATACAAAATAATATACAGATAATTATGTGTTCATGTGTGATAAAATTCAATAAGTGAGTGATTACAAGTGAATAGATGAAATTAGAAGAAGTTATTTTTCTTGTTGTCATAAAAAACAACAACAGAAAAATATTAAAGAAACACAACCACCGCACAACTCACCACCACTATTACTGTCATAATCAACAGAAGATTGCGCACCTACTTGCCGATGATACGGCCGTTTTTTACGAATCATTTGAAACTGTAAAAAAACATTATTATTATTATTATTGGAGGATGAAAAAGGGGGAAGTTTAATTTTTCTTGAAGTTTGATCAGATTTACCCAAAAATCAGGAAATTGTTCGAAAAAAATGACGTGACAAAAATAGATTGAGGACAGAAACGAAAAACTTTGAACATCGCGATTTTTTAAAAGAAAAATATCATGTTTCCTGATATTGTTGATATCAAATTTCAAAAACATATCTTGTTCAGAGTTCAAGAAAACATTTTTATCACACACTTGAGAATCATATTTTGAAAACTATTCATTTTTGAATCAAAATTGTATATTTTCCCCACGTCACAGTGTTTTTCATAAGTAAATTCCGATTTTTTCGAGTAACCAAATTTCAGGAAAATGATTGAACGGGATAATTTTTGATATTTGTTTTTCAACTTACCGGATCACCCTGCATAATAACTTCGTTTTCAGAAATTATTTTGTTGATGTGATCCGTCATTGACATATTTGGCGCTTTTGTTGGTGTCGTTTGAGACGATGATTGAGGTTGACTTGGCTGTTGTTTTTGTGCTTGTTGCTGGGTTGGTTGTGGTGGAATTGTGATAACCATCGGAGTTGTTGCAGCGGGTCGAGCTGGAGTATTTGCTCTTGCAACTGCTGCCGCAGCCGCCGCAGCAGCTTGAGCTAACGCTTGCACTTTTTGCAACTCGGCTTCTCGAGCCTGTTCTAATTGATTAGTCTTGGCGGCAAATAGTTTTGCCTGTTCAATTTCCCTTTGCTGCATTGCAGTCAAAAGATTTTGCTGCTGATGCTCGGCATAATAATTCATCAATTTCTCTTGTGCGAAAATATGATTTTCCATATTTCCAGATGTTGATTGACTTTGAAAGGCGGATGAAGATGATGGCTGGGGATGAGATACGAGATGAGCATATTGAGCGTTTTGTTGTTGGGACTGAGGTCGAATGTGTTGCTGAACTTGCTGAACTTGGTGCTGATGCTGTTGCTGCTTAGCTTGTTGTACTTTTTGTTGTTGAGCAAGCTGGAAAAAAGTTTGTGAATGCTTTTTTTGATTAAAAAAAATGCTATGTGATATTTTTTGAAATTTGGTTTTCGTAACTAAAGCATATTTTTCCTGAAACTGAAAACCTAATGAAAATTTCACAATTTATACAATATTTTTGTACAAAACAGTGCTATAGATAAATTTTATGAAGTCATTTGTGAGTTCAAAATAGACTACGATACAAAATTGATAACCCTTTTGCGAACTCTCTCACAAAATCAATTGTAAGCTTCTCCTTTATCTTCTCCGATTATCAACAAAAAACTATTCTTATCTCTGAAAAAAAACGGTTCAAAACTCTTGAAATTCATCTCACTATCATAATCTTTTTGTTCTCTTTTTCTCTCATTTTTGTTTCCTGCGAACACATTTGATGACGTCATCTCCGCAACTACCAAAGATCATTCAACAACAAAAAGTCTTATCAAACAAAAAAAGGAATCCTTAACGCCAATGAGAGAAAAAGACCAAAGTGATGATCCGCGCTTCATACAACGTACAATTATTTATTTATATCACATATTTTTGTTTTATTTTTCCAAATCTGATTTAAAAAATGACCAACCTGTTGATATGTTTGTATTAATTGATTTTGCTGTGATTGTTGTTGAGCTTGGGCTTGAGCCTGGGCTTGTGCTTGAGCCTGAGCTTGTGCTTGAGCCTGAGCCTGGGCCTGAGCTTGGGCTTGAGCTTGTGCTTGAGCCTGAGCCTGAGCCTGCGCTTGGGCCTGAGCCTGTGCTTGCTGCTGCTGTTGCTGTAATTGAAGTAACTGCAAATACATGCCTGGATTACTGGCAACATTTTGAGCAGCAGCTGCAGTTGCTGCGGATATTTGATGTTGTTGAGAAGGTTGAGGCTGTGGCTGAGGTTGTGATGGTGGTTTCTGAACTATTTGCTGTTGCTGTTGTTGCTGAAGTTGCAAACTTTGTTGAAGAAGCAACAAATTCAAAAGTTGTTGCTGATCCTGAAATAAAACATATCAAATAAAATAAACCTCATGTGAATGACATGTGACAGGTTGGATCAAAGTACACGTTTTTTTCTATTTTTGCGTTTTCATATAAGCTGATCTTTGATGATATAAAATTTTTGTATGTGTTTTGTCTGTTCGGGAAATACAAAAAATATGTCGAATAACATCATTTCCGCCCACAACAATTATGTCGAAAAAAAACGTTTTGTATGATCTTTTTTGACATTATGTATAGGTTTCGTGTGTTTTGAAATTTAATTATTTCAAGTGAAATTCTTGATATAAAAGAAATTTAAGTTTTAGGCATATGAAAAAAGCCTCAAAACCTGGAACTGTGTAAGCTTCTTGTGTCAATTTCAAAAATGATCTATTTATATTCAATTAATTTTAAATGAACCAAGAATCATTTTTAATTTTTTGAAACCTACAAAGCGCAATTTTTTTCTGCAAACCTCACTTTCGGCCCGAAAACTATTTCCCTAATTTTGTGGCGCTTCGAAATCTAATTAATTCAATATTATTCGTGACACTCAGTAGTACCAAAAACCAACTTGATCATGTTTTTCAAACAAAATGAAACTATTTCTGATGTTTTCGAAAAAAATCACATCACTTCCGTCAAAAACAAAAACTTTTCGAAATAATGTCTAGTCAAAATCTAATTAATGAGTAATGAAATTTTAGAAATTTCACAGAATCAAAAACCAAAAAACCAGCTTGATAAAAATATTTTTAAAATGATGAAACTTATATTGTAAAAATAAAATCGCATCACTTTCTCAAAAAATATTTCTGTGCTACAATTTTGTAATAAAGTGATGCGATCCTTAACAATAAAAAAGAATTTTTAATAGTTTAAAGCGATTTCTTACTCAATTCAAACTGAATTTTGTTAATGAATATTTTCAAACATTTCTCGAAAAAAGTCTAGTGTGGTGCTTTAAAATCGGATTAATTTTTAATGAAATTCTCCAAATTCAGCAGACTCAAAAAATCTAATTTTCTTCCCAAAAAACCGAAAATCAACTTAATTTTTTGGAACACACTTGCAAAAAAATGCACACAATGCTTCCTTTTCTTGGCCATTATGATAATTACCACCGACCTTTTCATCACATTAAATGACGTAACACAATGAGTTTTTTCCCTTCTCTCGGTTGAATAGCCCAATCTCGTTTTTTGAACTCACTGGCAGACAATGTTTGTTTTCTTTTTTTTCTATTCTTTGCGCGTCACAAATGCGTGACATTAAAAGTTCAAAGAAAAAAATCTTGGCTCGCTCCACTATTTCTATTCCTAGGACAACAGAAAAAACCGTTTAAAATTGATATAAAATCATATAAAAGTTGCGAAATTATCTCTCTTTTTTTCTCTCTATCATTGTCTTTTTCTCGCGGAAATCACATGACTCTTTGACACAAATGACAACAAAATCAGATATTAGACCAATTTTTGTCCCAAAAATAGATTTTATACAAAAAATCGTTTAATAAAACTCACAATATATTGGGGATTAGTAAATGTAGAGCTCGCAGACGGTTGCTCTGGCGGTATTCCACCACCACCGCCTCCTGATACAAACGCCATCCAAAATCGACTTTTGGTGGCGTTACCTGGAAAATATTGCAACTTTTCAGAAAAGATAAGAAATGACAGCCAGAAAAAAAACAAGAAAAGAAACAAAATTTGAAGGAACATTTCACCTTTTTTTGACAAAAAATTACACAAAAAAACGTCGGGAGAAAGAGATAGTGATGAGAGATGAGGAGACGCAAAGGGTCTAGCAACAAGATGAGAGTGAAGAGAGTGGTAGAGAAATGAGATGGTGAAAAGTGAGATAGTGCGCTTCGGTTGTGTATATGTATGTGTATGTGTCGAGTTTCACGTCATCCGTCGACGGGCCAATAGATAGAAAGATAGATAGAGAGATAGATAGGATGAGAAAAAATAAAGAACAAGAAATGATAGATAGATAGTTGGACAAAAAAGATTTTCGATGTTCAAAACATAAAGAAAATTCAATTCTCTTCAATTTTTTTCAAATGAAATGACAACAAAATAAAAAAAGAAGATAGATTTAATCAATCATCAATTTTGATCGAAACGATCGAACTATTATTGTTTTTTTTTCTGCATTTATCATCTTGTTTCGTTTTGCTGATATGATTAATTAAACGACTTTTAGAAAACAAATGGATTTGCAAATGTATTTTTCTGACTGATTATGTGAAAAAATGAGATAATCCAATTTTCCGACCAAAGTACATTGAAGGATTATGAGAAATATAAATGTTAAAAACAACTACAGTAAGACAAGATCAAAGTATTCAAAATTTCAAGATCAACTTCTTTCTAAAAATCCCTTCATCGACATATGCATTCCAGAAAAGAATTCGAAAAAATATGAAAACAAAATTGTTGTGTATCTGAAAATGTCAAAAATATCATCAATTTTTTCTCATGATAGTGACCTATATTGAAGATAGTAAATGGACGGAATTGAAACGTTTTTGATCTGTTGTAAAGTTGAAATTATTTCATGAAAATATAAAAAAACGAAATTTTTCTTTTGAATTCAAACTAACTGAAAAATCTGTATTAATAAAAAATTGTACACGGCGACAAATTGCCTTCTATTTGAAGTTTGAAAAAATCGTCGAAAACATCAGAACCAACATAAATTTTCAACAAAAAAACTAATTGATGTGAGAAAATGTGTACATAGATCGTGTTTTGAACAAGACAGACATTTCAAAATTTGCGTAGATAATAATCTATTTATTCATTATTGAAAAGAAAAAGTAAAGAAAAATAAGGGGATTTGTTTCCATCAATCACTCAAAAATGCGACAAATGATCCGGGTTCAGACTAGAAACCAAAAAAGGGGGTATACCTGGATTCTTTCATTCAAAAACCAAAACGTTATTCACCAACACAAAAAAAAAGAGAAGCGAGGGATAGGGAAAAAACCGCTAGACGCAGAGAGTTAGAGACTAAATGCAAAATAGTGAAAAAAGTGAAAAAGAGAGTGTGGTGCGACGACCGCCTCGCGCGCGCCTCCTCCTCCTACTCCTCATCTCTTTCTGACATTGAAATGAGAAAAACGAGAGTAACGAGACGCAGATATTTGAATAGTGTGACGAGAGAAAAGAGACACAGGGGCGCTAACACAAATTGATGCACTTGTTGGAGAGGAGAACGAGAGAGTGTTGAAAATACAGAGATGAGAGGGGAGATAAGAAATTGTTGGGTTAGAGATTGAAGAGACGAGAGAGAAAAGAGAAAAGGCCTCGTTCTTCAATGGAGAAATAGGAATGATTGTCGCCGTCGTAAAAAAAATGTTTTGAATGATGAGAGAGAAAAATATAGAGATATCTTGGTTTGGCATTGGATTTGGATTTTCGGATTCATTAAAACAGAGGATTAGATCAAGATTTTTTTCCAATCCATTAAATCTTCTTTTTTTTTTGAAGATGAAATAAAATGAAAAATAGAAGTTGAAGGGAAATTGAAAAATGAAATAATGGGTGTCAACAAAGCTATATTTATACTATTATTTCAACCTTTCCCATCCTAACTCAGGAAATTAGTTTGACATTTTTTGATGATGTAAATGTTATGTTATATAGAAAAATGTGACAGATTCCTAATCGATCAGGAAATTGAAAAATGTTCATATTTATGCAAACATCAAAAATATTTTAATATTATTATTAAAATGATAAGTATTTGATAGATAAAAAGAAGAAGGAAAAGGAAAAGGAGAAAAACTGTATCGTGTGTATGTTTGGTGTGTGTGTCAATAACAAAAACGAGACAAAAATATAAATGCAACATTTTCCATTTCTATTACAAAGTAAGTTGAAAGTAAAAAAAACACACAGAAACAGAAAAAAAGAGAGAAACTTTTCAGTCTCAAACATCAGATGAGTACAAATGCACTCAATATTTTGTTTTATTGATTTGTTGGTGGATTTGTGTACACAATAAAAAAAAGAACAAGTGGAGATGTTTTTTATAGTATTCGTTTTTTAGAAAAACATGTGGGAGTGAATCATTGAAGAGTGGGCCCGATTGGGCTTTATTAGAGAGAAGCAAAACTCTTAGCTTACTCGAAAAAGGCCACAAAACGTTTGCTGAGTCGGTTTTGTGTGAAATACATGTTCTGATTCTTCGGTTGAACTTGCTTTGTTAGTCAAGATTCAAATAAAATTTTTATATTGCTAAAAAAAATTTTCAAAAAAACCACGTGAATAACCAAAGTATTTTTTACAATGGCAAATTATGTCCTTACAATTCAAACATTTTATTTCGAAATTAGTGGAGACAAATATTTTCAAATGTTGTCTCCTCTAAAAATAGAAGGTTGTTTCATTCTCACGAGATTCTCATGATTATATTTGTGGTTGAATTATTGTAAATAGCCGACAATAACAAGACATTATATGCAGAATACTAATATGGGAGAAATGTTATTCAAATTTGTATTGAAAATGAAAAGAACCCTAATAGTTCATTTGTTGTCTGTTGTCTGCTTTGAAATAAAGGTGTGAGAAACCGAGAAAAATCTTTGATCACTCATACGGAGAAAATTAGTCGCAGAGATTTGATAAATAAAATTTATATTGAGAAAATTAAATTATATATCTGATATTTGGTATTTCCATTTCACATACATATCCGTAAACTATAATTATGCCAAAACCTTCTGATCAGAGAAAACGCTTCAAATTATTTTCTAAACCCTCGAAATTAGTGGTAATTACATATGAAACTATGTTATTACCTCAACCTTATAATGCAATTTCATTCAAAAGGTTGCGTCGAACTTTATCTTGATATAATGTCAATATTCAGAGATTTATTTCAAATTTTTTTTTCTCACAGTGGGAAAACTAAACACTCAAAAAACCTTCACGTGATTCCAAAATTTTTATCAGGAAAAAAAATAATATTCACACGCGTTTTCGGAAAAAATGATAATTTTAAAGTTTAAATTACACTTTTTTTGAACTATTGAACAAGTTGTGTAAAGTGTTGTAAAACACTAAATTTTGTGTACTTCGTTCCTGTTCTGGAAAAAAGTGTTCACATGTTCATTTTATTAGATTGATAAGAGAACTAAGATTGAATTCGATATAGATAATCATTGCAAAAAATGGTGTGAGTGTGTGTTTTTTGTTTGCTGAAGAAGAAAAAAAAACTAAACTTTTGTATTTTTGTACAATTTTGTGGCCATAGAATTATGTTTTTTGTATCTATAAATGTACAAAATATTGTGTTCTAATCGACAAATAACAATAATATAATAATGACTCATTGAATACATGTTTATGAATGAAGTTTTAACAAAACTGTTTCAGTTTTCCGGAAAATGATGAATCGTTTTTTTTTCACAATTCGAAAATTGAAAAGAATAGTTATACAATTTTGAATGAAAAAAAAAACATGAGAAATGCAAAAATTTTATCAAGATGAACGAACTTTGAGCTAGTATTATTTGTAGTTTTTCCTCAAAGAATGTAATGCGAACCGCATGACAAAGTAATAAGAGAGATCGAAAATTGAGATTTTGCTGACTCATTTGAAGTCATTGAAGTGAAGGAATAAAAACAATCTGATAAAGTAGAAAGGTCAAGAAAATTTTTGTATTCTTTGTGTTTTGTTTATAGTGGAAGTATCATAGATTCTCACAAAAAAACTAAACTCATCATTAAACACAAGGGTAAAAACGGAACCTTTGTCTTCACAAAACCCTTTGAAATATCAAGATTCCGCTCAATTTTTATATGTGAATACAAAAATAATCTGAGTTTTGAACCTAGTGAACAATCGAAATTTCGAGTGTTGGTTTTCACATAATTACTAGGATTCTAAATTAATGAGTTTCAGAATTTTCCATAAAAATGTTTTTCTAGACCAGCAAAATTGTATATATTGTTATCGTTAGGAAAACGCGAAGAATATGAGTTTGGAATTGAATAACCGAACACTGTGATTGAACTGAAAAAAAATATTTTCGTCGTTATAATTTCATATAACAATAAGAACATGTTTGTCTCCTAAAAATTGTTAAATTTCTCTATGCTCTCGGGGCTATAGTTTCATAATTTTTCAATGTTACATATATGTAGTGACCCCCATCATGAATCATATACATAGTTGTTTCAAAATTCAATGAATGAACCGTTCAAATTAACTGTTTTTATTACCAGTTCTTTCTCTCTCCAACTCCCATATATTTAATAATCCCATTCGAAAAACTAGCCCCCGGCCTACAAGTTGAAAGCATTGAATGACCATAATCCAAACTGATCCGCTTACCTAAAAACCATCCTTTTTGTATTCCATTTCTGGTCATCATTAAAAAAGCAAATATGTTACTGTTTCAACTTTTCCTTGCATTTTCTGGTGTATTTCTCACAGAATCTAACAATTTGAGTATTAAAAATTGTTTTATCAGTCATAAAAATATTCGGATATCTTCATGCGGACCACCAATCACTACAAAGTCAGTTTTATTTTTTAATTTGTTCTGGTTTTTACCTAATAAATTTATAGATCTCCACTTTCCTTGGAAGAATGTCAAAATCTTTGTGTCAATTTGCAAGGAAAATGTCAAAATATACAATATTATTACTACCGTAATTTTTGTGAGATTTTTGATATTCCTTCTCCATTGGAAGTCAATCAAACAGGTGAAAAAATTGATTTATTAATGAGAAAATCAAAAAAGTTTCTGAAAATTTCAGCTGTTTCACCGGAAAAAATTCGTAAACGAGAAACAGGTGCAACAAGGTTAGTTCCAAGAAATCAGAAAGAATATACATATTCATATTGTGTTTAGAGTAGAAAATGAGAAAAAAGATTGTTCAACAGCATCACTTTCACCTGCAATTGGTACTTCTTATTTGATTCCAAGATGGGATTGTTTGACCGAATTGCAATTGGAGGGAATTCAGAAAAATGAGGTGAAAATTGCACTGTACTTCATTCATGAAAATAGCCGGGCTCTTTTCAAAAACTAATCATCATATCTTGAAACAAATGTTTCTTTCCCAATCACAGCAAAACGAATCTTATGAGAGCTTAAAAGCCATGTTTTCCCAAAAAAAACATACAAACACAAATCTAAAGTATAGTGACAATCAAATTCGCTCTATCGCACACATCTTTTACGGAGTTCTCGAGGAATACACAGGATATTTTTTCTATTTTTTCTTCAGTTTTTTTTCCATTTTTAAATTAAAATTTTGAAATTATATATAATTAGGTGTCTATGCTTCACAGAGTTAACTCAATTTATGATAAAACAGAAAATATGAAACGATTTTAGGACACCGCTGTTCAAAATACTGTGCGAAGCGAAGGAATTCGAAATAGACAAATTGAAGATGTTGCCCAAAACCTAGCGGTTGAAGTAAGTTGGTCAAATTAGGCTTACATTATAATTGTCAAAAATAAATATTAATCTAGATCCTCCCTGTGATTCCCGATTGTCCATCTGGAGAATATTCTCGAATTCAAATCATTGATGGTGTAGAAATTGATCGTGCCGCCACTGTAAAATTTGCAGTTCCAACACCAGAATTATGTTTCCAAGCATGTCGAATTAGCACGGTATGTTGAACATTTTTCCTAATTTTATATAAAGGCGTGAAAAATATTTAGTATCCTGATGGCTCTCGCTTGCCACTTCTCTGCCGATCTGCACATTTTGATAGAATTGGACGCCATTGCTCGGTTTATTCAGATGCTTTGAATCCAAATGGTTATCTAGATTATAAGCCTAACCAAAATGCAATTTATGCCGAGAAAATTTGTATTCCAGGTATTTCTAAAAAAGTTATTCTGCAAACCGCATCAATTTTTATAGATTCATCATTGCCAACATCTTGCGATAATGTTTTCCGAAGAATTCCACAACATATTCTTCTCGGACAAGCTTCAGAAATTATATCAGTCACAAGTGAACAAGAATGCGTTTTGAAATGTATCGAATCAACGGTTAGTATTTTTAAAGAAACTTGGGTTTTCAAAGAAAAGAAAAACAACAACACCAATTATATGTAGATTATCAAATGCCAATCAATCCTCCACTATCCAGATTTCCCATTGCTGAATTGTATTCTTAATGTGCACACAAGAAATACAAAAAGTGCAATTTTTCACACCTGAGCTAAAATATAAAGTAGATTACGTGGAAGTTGGAACTTGTACAAAACGGCAACTAGTAAGCAGTAGAGTGATTATTCCACCAAATCCTTTTGAAAAATCTGTAGCACGTAAGTAATTTGTCAGATTTGAACAATCATTTTATTATTTCTTTCAGTACAACCTCAACAAGTTCAAGTTCAACAAAATTCAATAACATCAAATGATATCACTTCGTTGACAACAGAATGGTCGGAATGGACAAAATGTTCACAAGATTCAAGTTCGAGAAGTCGTGAGAGATTCTGTAATGGTTGTAAGGAAATAATCCAAGTTATGCCATGTTTTTCGAATAATAATTTCGACAAAGCACTACAGGAATTTGTGAAAGAGCAACAAGTTAAGGAAAGTGAGACATCGATTAGAGCAGTGCCGGCTCAATCAGCCTTACCGGTTTCTTCAGAAACTACACCAACGCCAGTTATTAAATTCCGTAAGTCTTGCAAAGTCATTTTTAAAACAGGAAAAATAATTTTTGAAAAATCAAAATGACATAACAAAACGTGTAAAACTCAAACTGATCAATAGATTTTTTATGAGAGCTAGTTTTCAAAACCTTCTCCTGTATTTTGAAAGTGTTCATTGGTTGAGATGTTTTTTCAATCTGATTAACCAACATCTTCATTAAAAGAAACACCCAAGATGCAATTTTTTCAAGGTCTTCCACGAAACGAATTTGTCAAGATTTAATCAAATTTTTTTGAATGACATATTTTTATTCACTATTTAATCTACACACATACTTTCTACAATATAAATCCCTATTATTTTTCAAAAAACGAAACAAATAAAAATTGTTGCACCAAAAACCACAATAATCAAATTATCCCTCACAACCAACCAAACTAAATTTTGCAGTCAATCAAAACGACGAGAAGAAAAAGTCTGTCGAATTTTTTGGACCACCACAAACCTATAAATAGTCAAACACAACAACGGATAATAATAATAATTGTTATTGTTTTTCATGCATGCATATTTTGTTCATCTCATTTGCTCGATTCTCAAGAGAGAGCATTTTTCAATCAAAAATTAAATTTATTATACCTGCAATTTGTAAATATGATAGGGTTGGGTTGTGTGGAAGGAAAAACAAGAAAGATACATATTTGGAATGAGAATATTTTCAAAATTAAAAAAAATTATGCGATTACAGTAGTTGCAATTGCTCCGTGCTCACATGATCCAATGTTAACAACAGTGTCAAAACCAGTTGTGCTTGATGTATTTGTTCCATCATCTGAAATTTGAATAAGAATAATAGTAGAAATTCAATATTGATTAAGAGGTAGTGAAAAACACTTGGTCTGTAGGCATCAGAATTTCACTAGTCAATAAAGGTCCCACCGAAGCTTCATATAAAAATGGACATTTTTTCTAAAACAACAGAATTCCCATCCCCCTCCTCAAGGAGAAGCTCTCTTTTAATACCCACCCCATCTACAAATCATTACTAACCAGAATTTTCTTTCTGCTGACCTTTGCTATTTTGTCGATCAATAATACTTCCCATATTTCTTCGTCTCACACCAGTTTGTGGTTCACTTCCAGATGGTTCTAGAACTGCAGCATGTCTTCGAGCTTGCAGTCTTATTTGTTCTACTGGCAAAACTCTTCTTCGTCTTTTTGGAAGTTTTTCTCTTGCCTGATTATGAGAATAGAACATTGCGAAATTTGAAACAATAACAGGAACAGGAAGTGCAATTGTTAATACACCCATAACTGCACAAAGTGATCCAACTAATCTACCAAATGATGTGTGTGGTGTCATATCGCCATATCCAACTGTTGTCATTGTACAAATTGCCCACCAAAGTCCCAGAGGAATTGATTGAAATTGATTGTTTGGATTGACTTCCATTTTTTCGGCATAATAAACAAGTGCGGCAAAAATTACAATACCCAGGATTAGGAAAAATACGAGTAGTATCAATTCTTTTGCACTTGCTCTGAATGTATGAATCAAAATTTGTAATCCTTGGTGATGTTGGGTTAATTTGAATAATCGGAAAATTCTGATCATTGACAAAAACTCGATCACATCTTTCGACTCTTCTACATTGTTTAATTTTGAAATAATACCATCTGCATAAAATGACAAAGTAGCAACCTAAAACAAACAAAACATGAAAAGATATGATACAAGATTCCTTACCAAGTCAATAATATTTAAAGGACTTCGGAAAAATCGAACTTTTGATGGGCAGAACAAAAATCGAATAATAATTTCTATAGTGAACCAAATGTTACAAATCAACTCAATATGAGAGAAAATAGGCAATGCTTCTGTACTTTTACGTTCCAGCAGAATATCCATTTTTCCGCTGAAAAAAATGTTATTAGGAAAACCGTGGTAACCAGTCATTTCAATCTTTCAAAGAAAATGGAATTCTTTTCATAATTTACTCGAATTTTGTATGAGAAAACAAATACAAAAACAAAGTTGTTTCAGTATTTTTTGCATAAATATTTCAGTTTTAAATTTTGAATATCTGATTTTTAGTAATTCACAACTTCCAAAAATTTCCAACTCACTCGCTTATAGTAATATTTGATAAGATATTCGGGATCCTGAAACTTGGATGCGTCTTCATACAAAATGAGAAAATACTAATAAAAATGAAGCAGACTGAAATTCCAGCTATATATTTTGCATATTGTGAACTGTATGGTTCATCAAACAATGCCCATATCCTTGGTTTTAAATACATCCACTTTGTCCGTTTTCCTTGAAAAAAATCCTCTTCCCATCCAAATTTTTTCATTGTATCTTGCTCTCGAAGTGTTGGATCATCTTCTTTATCAACATCCATCCGATCGAGAACTGCTAACGTTTCCTGTGTGTCTCTGAAAAAAAAAATTTTTTTCTAGAAAAATTAAATATTTCTGAACTCACTTTGCATGAAGTAGTTGCATCCAACAACATGGTTCTGTATCTGAAGCATCTAATCCCCAATATTGTAATTCTTCTTCAAAAAGTGGACCACACACATCAGTTGGATAGTGGAGTTTTCCAGTTCGGTAATAATTTAGCACCTGCGCAAAAACTGCTGGATGTCGATCAAAAAAGTATTCATTTAATAACGGGTCGAAATTTGCTAGTGATGGTGTTAATCTGGAATAAAGAGAGTTGAAAAAAAAGTTGGATTTTAAAATGAATTTTTATAATAGAGAAAACATATTGTGAAATCGGTTGAAAAATCTAATTCATTTTTATAGAATTCAAGTAGTTTTCTAGCCGATTCTAACGATAAAAACTCTTGAGAAAAAAAAAACACCTTCACTCTTGACACAATTTTTTCGAATTCGGCTCAACAATTTATTAGTAAAAAAGAAGAACAAAAATGATCACCTTGATGAATTTCAATTTTTTGTTTTTTTCAATTTCATAAACATCAAAATCAGAACTAACCTGCTAAGTCTTGTTGCTGGGATCTTTTTCAGCGTCGCTTGATATGTTTCGTGCCTCACTCCACCGACATTCAAAACAACCCGTTCATCCATGGCTATACCTAGAAAAACAGTAATATTTCCGACTGACAAAAACAAAAAGAAATCAAGCTTCTGTGCTTTTTTTTCAGCCTACTAGAAGAAAATGTAATTTCTTCTTTTTTTCAGCATGCTTTGCTACATTTTTTTATTTCTCTCACAAGAATAATCAAAATCCGAAGAAAAAAGAAAAAACATGAAAATGTTGAGAGAAGTTGTTGGACAGAAATAAATTGAATTGACATTCTCAAATTGTATTCATTCATAGTTTCTTATTCATGAGGCTCTTGACACGTTGCTCAGGTTAGTTGGTTTGGCGCCAAAAAAGAAATATGGGAGTTTTTCGGGTTCATAAATGATTTCATTTTTGCTAGACATTTTTTGACGGAGGCTAAATCAATAAAAAATTGATATCAAAATAATTTCAGGCAGCTGACATCGAACACCTAATTGTTCATCAAAATAAAATGTTGTAATGTGAATTTTTTTTATTTCCGAGTTTTTTTTCAGCTGGAAAAAAATTCTTGAGTGAGTGCAAGACAGAAATAAAAAGATAAATATAAAATGAAATGAAATTGAATCGGTATCGGAAATTCTTCAAATTTCACGCCAATCTCGAAGAAAAAAATCAGGGTTACCAAACAACCGCCCAACCAGAAAAAAAGGGGATGCAAAAATGTGCTTTTTTGTTTTGATTTAGGGATCTCCAAATTCAGAATTATTTATGATTCTTTGTTGGTTTTACTATTTGTTTTCTCCAGTGTCTGTTGGGATTTTTCAATTTGATCGGAACAATAAAATTGTGAGTGAATAAAAAACATTTGAAAAACGATTCCCAAGATATAAAAAAAAGTGAAAAAATATGTCATAAACACATGCGAGTTTTTCGAAGTCACTCAAAAAAATATAAATAGTTCAGTTCCACCTGCTATCGGGTTTACAGATTAAACTACGCTCTTAAAATTGCGGTTATTTTAAATCTTACCTGTCGTTGTAGTTGTACGAAACTCATCAACAAGTATGCTAGTTGTTGAATATCTTGGCGCCGTGTGCATTGGTATAAATTCAACATTCATTCGGGTAACATATTTTTCGCTCACTTTTTATGGCTCTCGTGATTTTTTTTTGACGCAAAAAAGTCTCGAAAAAACGACATTCAAATGAAAATGTTATGCGAAAACGTATAAAAAGAACATTGATAATGGGCTAGAACTTTTTTGCTTTGACGGAAATAGGGATTATTGGACAAACTTGCGGTACCTTTTTTGATATATAGGCATGCTTAGAAAGTTATAGAATTGGGAAAAGGAGATCGGAGATGGACATAGAAATTGAAAAAGTGTGGAAATGTGAGAGAGAGAGTCAGAGAAAATAGAGAGAAAAAAGAAACTAGACATTTATACAAGTTTAACAGGAAGTTCGGTTGAGATGCGAACCTTGAATAAAGGTTACATGGAATTCAGAAAACGATATGTTGTTGAGTTTTCAAAGATCAAAGTTTTCTTTGGTCTGATAAAAAATAAGAAAAAGATTCAAGAATGTTCCCAAGATTTGTAAAAATGTTGGATTGTCCAGAACAAACTCATACATTAATTCTGCAAAATGTAGTTATCGTAATCTCATGAAGATTTTTCGCATAACTTCGAAACACAAAACATTTTATTTTTCCAAAAAATAACAACAAAGTCAATTAGCACAAACTTTCCGTTTTTGAATATTAAAATATATTATTTTGCGGTACGTCTCAACGCGAATGAAATTGTTCAACTGGAAAATTGGTGGAAGTGCTCACAAAGCGCGAAAAAATAGGAGAAAACGGATGGCGAGCAAAAAAAAAAACACATAAAGTTGGAAGAAAAAAGTGGAAACCCGATTTTATCAGAAACGAAAATGAAAAAACGTATTCACGAAAAACGAAAAGAAGAACATTTTGGATCGAATTTCTTTGAAAAACACATGTTCTTTTGGTGCACTTTCTTCATAAGATCAAAGTTGTTGAATGAAAAATACAATTTAATTTGGGGAAAAAACTTTTTTGCATTTCTGAAAAAAATTTAACGTGACACTATACTTAATTAAATAAGATTTCTAGTTTGTTTGAGTAAGAATTCGGAAATTAGTAAAGTGACTGGAAGTTTTTTTTCCTTTCTGTTGGTCTGCTGGCTGGAAAAAATGAGTTGTGAATTAAAACAGAGAAGATGGTGTAACGTTTCTTGAAAGACTTATCGGATTTCAAAAATTTCACAGATATTATTATAAAAAGAGAATATGTATGGATAGCATGAAAGTGGAATTTTCAGAACTAAAAGGAACTTTTTATGAGATGCTGTTTATTTTGACGCAAAACATCAAAAAACATATGTTTGATATTCTGATGAAGTTACATTTCCAAAAATTTTCAAATTTATCCTTAGTTTTGCCGTTTGATAGACTGGCTCAAAATATGTGCTCAAAGTGTTTTCGAAAATGTTTAGGTTCAAAAATTAAAAAATAGACAACTGAAAGGTGATGATACTTCGAATTCAGATTTTTTTAGGTTAGCGAAGACGATAGGTTAAATAATACTTAATTCAATATTAGCTACTATTTTTTCATTTTGAAATAGTACTGTAGATGAGAAACCATAATCCTTCAGGTTATTTCTGAGATAAAATGATGTCACGTAATGATTTTTCAAATCATTTTTGTATTCATAAACATAAAAGAAAACTAGTTTCAAATGGTATAATCTCCTAAAAACATGTTCCACCAAAACACAATCAAAAATTTGGGAAAAAATCCAGCCAAGCAAATACCCTAACATGATTTCGTTTTACATTTATGTAGAAAAAAAGCTCGAATCTTCATCTCATCAAGAACGAAAACCAAACAAACCATGAGCAAAAGAAATAACGAAAAAAAAAATAATTTGTGTGTCAAAGAATGAAAAAGGGCACCAAAAAAGGAAACAAATTCACGTTTTTTCTTTAGCCTACATTTCTAGATGTACGCCATTTTTCACATCTTGATGCCAATTTTTCTTTGCTTTTTGACACTTGTTTTTTCCTTTTTGAATTAATCACAGAATTAGTTAAAAGATCTTAGTAGATGAATGTGACGAATATGAATACGCATAAATACATACATTTTTTGCTGTTTCATCGAACACTCTTTCTTTTTTCTTAGACTTGGGTTTGATCGACTAAAAAAACTAGAATTAATTTCTGCAAATTATATGAGTTTTGATCTACTTTTTCATGAATATTAAATAACAGACTTTGGTTTGGTTTTTGAATTCAGAAGAATAAGAAGAAGAAGAAAAACATTGTTTTTGAAACATTGAAAACTCATAAAACCCCTGATGATTACTTCCTTTGAAATACCCTTTTTTGTTTGAATACTCATAGAAAAAGCCAAAAAAAGTGCATTGTACTTTTATTGTTCAAACAGGCAGAATGTAAAATCTATATTTGGAGAGAGCAATAATAAAAACAAAGTGAAATTTTAGAATCATTTTTTTCTGGTGTTTTTGGTTTTGGTTCAGTTTTCAGATTGGGCGGAGCAAAATTGCCTTATTCGAGAATAGAAAACAAACACATCCGTGTTTCACTTTCTAATTGAATTTTTTTATTTGGGAAAAATCAGAAAGTCAAATAAAATTGTATATGATATTGTTAAAGTTCAATTTTTTTTATTTTTCAGAACATGTCATCATTTGTTTCGACCTTACATATCGTCACGAGCTTGTTTGATAAAACCGAAGGAAATCTACTCAAAACTTGACCTTGCGTTTTCAGTTTTGAGAGCCTCAAAAATCAAAAATAAATTTGATGAAAAAGCCCCCTCAAAATGTTTTTCTCAGAATTAGAATTTTATTTTTTAATCGAAAAATTAAAATATGATCAGACTAATTATAATATCAAGTTTAAAAATTATTCAACTAGAAATTTTTTGATCCTAATTAAAAATATCAAAAATCTAACCACACTTTCCACCAACATTGTTTTTGTTGAACAACACTGTGAGATATCTAAGAAACATTTTACAGACAGAATTTTCAGTTTGATATTTTCCACAAGATTTTGATAAACATTTCGAGTCATTTGAAACGAAACCTTGTCGATTTTCACAACATGTTTTTTGACAAACGGCCCAAAGAGAACCCAACCAGTAAAACTCACCATGATCACTTCCACGCCTTGAAAGTCGCCTAGAAAAACTGCGATTTGAATCGAAACGATGAAAACTGCACGCGTCCAACATTTTCGCATCGAGTCTTGAAAATAAAAATGAGCTTCAGTTTTGAGACAATCATATGTTTCAAGAATATTGTTTAGCAAAATAAATAATAACAATAATAATATTATTTTAAAATAAATAAAATTTTGTTTTTGCATAACACAAACTTATATATCAAATTTCAAAAAAGTCACTCATTCACTTCCAAAGGAAAAATGGAACCAACCAAAAAATATATGGAATGGAATGGCAAAAAAACACAACAAAAACATATATCTCACTATTTTCTTCTAATAATCGTATTTCCCGTTCAACTCTGACTTGCCAAACGACGCCGATTATTATTTTTTCTGTGAGCTTCTTTTTTTTCCGAAACGGATTTCACCAATTTTCAAAAGGTGAACGAACAATTTTTATTTTATTTTATGGGCTAAAAAAGAAGAAAGAAAATAACATCATTTTTACATGAATGATTTTTTTTTGAAAAAATAACAACTTTTCAAAGTCAGTCTTCCAAACAAATTTGCCAAGTTATTTTTTTGTAGAGAAGCAAAAAAAGAAAAATGAGTTGAAAAATAAATATGGCTTTATAAATTGTTGACACGGTCTTCTAGATAGAATAAAAATGATTTTTAAAATATAAGATGGAACAAAACTTCAAAAAATAGAATAAAATAATGCAGTTCACCTTAGCGACTAATTTATGGATCATAAAAATCAAGTGAGACTTTTATGATGACAGAAAACCCCACCCAATAAAAGCTCAAGCTTAAGCTCAAAAAAGGCGGCAATGCAAAAGTCCTTGACATTTTCAGTCAGCCAAAATAAAAAAAAACGAAAAAAAACCGAAACGTATTTCTAGTGCCATTTTTGTGCCCTACTTGTTCTCGAAAATTGCAACTACTTGAAATATCTTATTTTATTTTATTCTATTTTTTTACATTGCCCTTTTTTGGAGAGTGACTGAATGAATGAAATGTACGTACGTACATACGCTTGAAATAAAAACATGTCTATGAAAAATGTGACAGACGACGGGAAGTTGTATGTTGAAGAACTGCACAAAATAACAGCACAACACAACAATTTTGGCTCGATTCAAACATTTTTTTTGTGATTCAATAATATGTGTCAGTCAGTCACTAGAAGTTGAACAAATTATATAACATTTGAAAAAATTGGGCTTTTTTTGCACACTCTGGCAGTGTAGAAATGCAGATTTTGACAAAAAGTACATTTAATTGTAGATTTCAGCTATATGGGTTTGCTATCTGCTCTCGGATAATAATATGTTTCAAAAAGCTCATGTTGAATGGGTTGAAACCAGACAAAAAAAAGAAAAAATTAGTTTTCAACGGTAGCATTTTCAAATTATTGAATCATTCTTAATTCAAAAGTCAGAAAAAAACGAGTTAAAATTCAAAATATGCAAACAATACTTCATTTTTTGGTTCGAAAAAATTGGTGCTCCAATATTTTCCAATTTTCTTTTTTAATAGGGCGACTCATTGATATTCATTTCAGAAAGAGCATTTTTCTGAAATTTTCAATTTTTTCAAAAGTGTAATTCACAAGAAGTTCATATTTCTAAATTGTAAAAATATTCAGAAAGGTAATTAATTAATGCCTTGAAAAATGATGCAGTGATTTTCTGAATTATAGAAACAAAGATGTTTTAAAAAATTTTAAATTGCTAATTATTTTTTGAAATTTTGTAGTTTTTGGTTGAGAAAACAACGTAAATATTGTGAATAAATTTTTAAAACTTGGTACAAAACTAATTTATTGAATTTTTAGTAACCATTTTCCAAACGATGACAGAATTTTTAAAACTCCGGAAAATTCAGAACCAACAACAATTATTTGTAATGTATTTATTTTTATTCATTATTACTATGAAAGCAAAAAATTAGAGTATATTAAAGAGGAGTGAAAAGAATAGAGCAGATAAATGACTCAAAACAACACAAAATGAACCGGCCTACTTGAAAGAGAAACAAATATATTCTCATTTAAAAAAACATAGATTTTGACCCGAAAAAGTATGAATGGAAGGAAAAGGAGAAAAATAGAAGAAGCATCAATTATTACAATTATAATTATCATAAACCAAAATATTATCAATAATAATTACATGCGTGAAAATGAAAATGAAGGTATTCTATCTAACAACTATCTACAAGTTCCACTTCGCTTTCAGTGTCCTTCTGAAAAAACAATGATTTTGTTTGGAAAAATTGTAATTTGAAACCTTTAATAAAATTTACTCACCGAAATATCCAAAGGTTCTTCCGTTGAAGCATATTGATCAGTTAGAGTCATGTGACTATTTCCATTTGTGTCCATTTGACTGAAAAATGTAAAATTTTGATTCTTCTGTTATCGCAAAAAGCCAAAAAAAAAATTTACCTGTCTCCACTATTTGAATCTCTAGTACTGCTCGAGCATGAGCTTTCATTTGATACCGTACTCGCCCAACTTTCCGGTCGTTGTTGGCGATTTTCATATGTGGAAAATGTTTCATTGTTGCTTCCAACTGTTTTGCTCAAACGATCAATCCATTTTTGACGAGAGGCTGAATCGATTGATTCAATGACATAGGCATCCACTTTTGCCTCATCCCATAATTCAAAACGAGAAGCGCCAGTTCGAGAAGTTTCAGCAAAGCCAAGTGAAAGAATCTGAAAAAGACGATGATGTTTGTAATTTTTGATAATGAAAAGAATCAGAATCAAGATCGTTGAGGTATCAAGACAACACCTTCAAATCTAAAAATCGCTGGCTATTTTGAAAAACTTACAGGTATACAAATTTTATGTTCATAATATTCAGGATCCATTGTTGATGGTTGAGTAGAAGATGGTGTACGCTTTTTGCAAAACATAACTCCGCCATCAAATAAAAATAAGAATCTTCGTTGAACTCGCGAAAGTTTTGCCTTTTTCTTGCGGTTATATGAGTATACGTCGCATTCTGATTGGAGTCGCAGAGGTCCAAGAACTCGTAAGTCACCCTAAAAATTTCCAGATACAATTGAATTGTTTTTTTCAATTAATCATTCTTACATTAAATCCAGAGATGTGCAATTGGTGGATAGCTGCATTGATTTGTGTCAAAAGTTCCAACATTGTTCTCAAAGCATCATTTACAATATCTTTGACATTTGGTTGACAATATCGTTCCAATTCTCGGAGTAATAATTGATATTTGGTGATTCTTTGAACTGGTTTCAATAAATATGCACCAAGTGGCAATGGATGTGACGCACGTTTCTGACATTCATTGAAAAACGAATTGGCTTCTGTGTACTCTTTTCGTAATGCTTCACTCGTCGCTTTATATTGACAATATGTGCGGTAGAGTTTCAAGAAACTGAAAAAATTGTATTCATTATCGATAAAATTATCTTTAAAAAATAAGAAAAAAGTACTTACTCATTACGATGTTGTAAGAAAATTCGGCAAATTCCAGCAAGCGAAAATTCATTAGCTTGAAGATCTGTCAACACGTATCGCGAATGAAAATTGAGAAGATCTCGCAAGTTTCCAAATACAATGTCTGATTTTCCTCGAATTTGCGAAGGGATTAGTGATTGATATTCCGGTGATTCGAATGGATCAACATAGAATTCGATGAGAGATGCGAGCTCAGCAACATATGATCTTTCAGTATTTAGCTAAAAAAAATAGGAGTAGTTTTTGAAAATTTAAATGTAGGTTCCAAAAATTTCAAGATCAAATTTTGGTCAAGTACTCTTACTGGGAACATTTTTCAGATAACTTGCACTATAGTAATTTGAAATTTATCCAAATTTATTCTAACCAACCCCTCATTTTTCAACAGATAAATAATCATATTTTTTTTTCAGAAATGTTTGTTGTTTTCTCCCAAAAATATGTATGTACATAACATATCTCTTCTCCCGTTCTTCGTAAAAAAAAAGCTCTTACCAATTCTGCAATAACAAAAGTTTCCATGGAAGATGTGTTGTTTGTGATGATCGGTTGTGTTGTGGGAGTTGATTGTTGACTTGTTGAACTTCCTTCAGTCGGATATCGATCCCCAAAACAACAATCATTGTCTTTTGAATCCATATCAATTTGCTGCTGTTGCTGAAAAAATGAACGAAGTGATAAGATGCATGAATCCCTCAATTTTGTTTTGAATTTATTTTTTTTGAAACCCTGCCTACTTTTGCAGATCAAAAATCAAAACTTACAACTTTTTTAATTCCTTTTATCTTCATTGCAATTTGAAAAAAGCTATAAGTTGTCAAAATTTTACTCCAAAAATGAAATGGTAAAATTGGTGAAACTGTCTTTTTTCCCACCATTTGTCAGAAAAAAAACAAATTTATTTAGAAAATAATGGAGGAAAGAATAGGGTGAGTGAGTGGAAAGAATCCTAAAATTCCAAACGCAAACAGTTTTTTTTCTGTTGTTTCGTTTTTGTGTTCGGAGTTTTTTTGAAAGTTCAGCTTAATTTAGGTTTAGTTTTTTTCTTATGTTTTTTTCTAGAAAAACAAGGCATCTTTGCTCTTACGTACGTATGAGCAACAAATTTGTTATTTTTTTTGTTGGCAACTAGTTTCTAAGTGGCCCTGCTTGCTTCCACTTGACGGACGCAAAACATTGTGTAGATATGCAATCGCAAAAAAGAGTATGTGAAAAAAAGTTACAATTTCACTACAATTACATTCCGCACCATTTCATTAAACCAGGTCATTTAGCTTGACATAAACTGGACCGGACTTGATTCAAAAAATTTTCGAAAAAGTTTTCGAATAAAAAATCAAATCTTACCATTTCCTCATCAATATCATTATGATTATTGTTCATTGTTATCAACGGCAAAGAAATTGATGTAACAAGGCGGCGTTTGGATTTTCGAAACGACAAAAAACGCGGAATTGAACGTTTCATTTTGATCTACTAAACAGGAATTCTTTTATTTTTTGTTGTTTTCAACGAGTTCCAGAACGATAATTATGTAGAACAAAAAATTAATTAGAAAAAAAGACAAAGCTTTATAAATCATCTTAGAAAAAATGAGAAGAAAGCAATTGTTAAAAGTAGTAGGTTTGGCAAGTTGCCAGATGTGTGTTCCATATGGGAAGAGAAAGAAAAAGAGTACTTATGTTAACGCGCTCATAACAAGTTTTCATAAACAATTCAGAGAAATATTTTTGACGGATTTTGGGATTTTTGAGATATGCATAGATACATAAATAATTATTAGTTTTGACTATGAAAGGAAGAACATTTGGATTAGAAATCACTTTTTCGAAATGATAGCTAATAAAAGATTTTTCAGAAAATTAAGAGTTTGGTAGAATTGAAAAATAAAGTGTTTTCAAAAAATAGCCAGTTTAATTTTCAGAAAAAAATCCGAGATTTCAGGTTGAAAAAAATGATTTTCAGAAAATCAAAAAGATACAATAAAACGGGTTTATGTCTTTTCTCTCTCTATTTTTTTCTGAAATCAAAAAATACATTTCCCTACAGAGCATAACAGAAAATATTGTTAGACAACAATGATTGTTGATATTTTCTCACATAGAAATCAAAAGTCAAAAAGATTTTTCGGACAAAAGGAAAAATCTATCTACGCAATGGGAACAGAAAAAACCCAACTCTCAAGAGGTCAACAAAAACGGTTCAACAACATTTGAAAGGGAACCTTTTTTCTCATTACAAACAATGAGCAAATTAAATTTTTTGCTCAATCTTTGTATTTACAAAAAGGCGCATTAATGATGTTGAAAAGTTGAAAAGTAAACTGCGCGAAAAAATGCAAGAGATGAGAAAAAAAAAGAGAAACTAGATATTATCAAGACAAAAAATTGAATCAAAATGAAACTAAACTAAAACTATGTGGAGTTTTATGATGTTTACTTATTTATCTTCGATGATAATATCACTATAAAACAAAAGAAGACCGTTTTGTCTCAAATATTATAGGGAATAAATGAATAAATAAATATATAAAATCAAATAACGGCGCTAAGAATAAGAAGGGCATTGCACAGCCTTTTAAAAAACTATGTATAAGGACTAGGAAAAGGAAAAGAGAAGGAGTGGTGTGAAGACAAAGCAGAAACAATAAAACAACACATGAAATGAAGGAGGAGAATAAGGAGGAAGAGTGCAGAGATGCAAAAAAACAGCTAAACTATATGGCGAAGGTGTTTTTTTTTGGTTTTGGGCGTTGGGTGAGAACTATCATCTTTTTTATGTGCTGGGTCATTTTTGGCGGGAAGAGAGAAATGAGGTTGTTTGTTTTTATATATGGCTTGGGAAAAACAACTTGCTTTCGAATAAATTTTGGAAAATATGTGTGTTCCGGAAGTTTTGATAAAATAAGTTTGTTATTCAAAAAACAACTATCATGGGTTTTTCATAATGGTTTTGTTTTGAAAAAATTAAAAAAAAAACTAAATTGAAATAATTAGGGAAACGAATACTTGGGAAAAATTTAATTTTTTTCGAATTTTTGAAACAAATACTTTTGATTTGTGTTTTTTCTCAATTAGCTTTCTTATTTTCAAAAAGCAATTGCCTTGTTTCTTTTTTGATAGTCCCTGTTTTCTGAGTAGTTAACAAACCATTTTAATTATATTTCAACAAAAATTTTTATCATATGCTTATCATATTCTGAAAATAACGAAAATAATTATAGAGAACAATTGAAGCCTTGGATTTTCAGTCAACCTTAAAAATTGAAAAAAATGACATCATGAAAGGATGTACTTAACTAATTGAAAAGTCCTGATTTAATTTCAATAAATTCGAAAACCAAAAAAAAACACAATTTTTTTTCCACAATTTGAACGTCAGAGTTTCACAGATGTTTCTTATATTATATATAATAAAAATAGATTGAATTGAATTAGAGGGTTCAGAGAATCTTTTTTTCCTCCTCCTACATATTTTTTTGTTGAAACTCACTTCTCAATTAACTAAAAAGGAATTTTGAAGACAAAAATATACAGCTCCGTCAAAAAAGAGGGACCATTCACATTTGGAAAGAAACAAGGAAATTAGAGTAATTATTCATTGAAAATGAGAAAAAGCGGCAAAATTTAAATAATTGAGAAAATATACTAATCAAAGTGCATGCTCTTCTTAATGAGATTCGGGGGTTTTTCGAATACAAAAAATTGTGTTTTTAGAGAATTAGAATTAGAATTACGGTATGAAATCGAATCATGTTAGTATAATTCTTGCAAATCGAAAAAAAAAAAGTCACTGAACATCTGGATCAAATCAACCGCAATTTAAAATTTCGTTCCGTTTCTTCTCAAAAAAGGATTTCGTACACGAAAATAACACAATTTGAAACTTGTTTTTTCCCACTCACTTCTCCTCTAAAATATTGCCTCTATCTATAAATGAAAACACATTATCGGACAGGTGAACGGAATAAGAAAAAACCAAAAATAATAAAAAAAACGATGAATAGATGAGAATAAGGAAAAAGAAGATTTTTGTAATCAGATCTTCTCTTTCAGGGTTATTGATCCGTTCAATTATATACTACTACTACTATATATGCAATTATACGGCCGTTTTGACAGCGCAAAAATTTTACAATAGATTTTATCATCCCAACAAAATTTCCATAACTGGAATATTTCGATTTCTAATTCTAATTAAAACTTTTCATTTTCATTTTCATCATTGAAAATGCAACATTTTCAAGGGAAAACTTATGTTGCCCAAAAAAAAGCGAAAAATAATAATATTCAAGTGGATTGGAGAAAAACGAAATGAAATAAGAAAAGGATTATTTTTCAGTGGTCCGTCGTAGTGAGAAAAAAAAAACAAAAATTGAAAATGAAAATGAAAATGGAAATGGAAAGAAAAAATCAATTTTTTCGACTAAATTTTGTGACGTTCTTTCTCCTTTATTATTATTAATGTTTTTTCGACGCCTCGCAAGCAAATTTTCAATAAAGGCCCCCGAAAATTTTTTTGTTTTTTTTTTTGAAAAACAAAACAAAAACTGAACTAACCTCCAAATTTTTGCCGTTTTTTGTTTTCTTCTTTTCAGGTGTCACCACCTGGATGGGTGGTTGCGGTTTTTTTGCATCACACATTTTTGAGAGCGCATTTCGACGAGCGACGGACATACGACGAATATCATCGATTCTTTCGGCAACCTGGATAAAATATGATTTTTTTTTGGGTTGAGATAATAAATTAAATAGGGAGCCTTTTGGAGACTTTTTGAAAAATTATCCTTTTGAAAATTTGAGAATCATATAAACGTAGATCTTTCACATATCTCTCATTTTCTTGCGTTTCAGATTGAAAACTGTAACTGATCAATGCCTTAAGACTAAAATTACAAATTGGTTTAAATTCCTTGATCAAACCACATATTCTTCATCATTATTTGCATTTTCTAGAACGCTTTAATGATTTCCGGTCACACCTACTTCAAACTTTTTTCGACGTTCATTCAAAAATGCTTCATGAAAACTTGTAACATTCAAAACAAATAGAATTTTCAGAATTTGAAATGTATGAAAATATATAATTTTTCAGAAACATAAGTTGTATAGTTCAAATTACGAGCTCAGGTTTGTTTTTTTTTTGCGAAAAATGTCCCTATTGAACTATGATACCATTAAAAAGTATAGTGATACAAAAAGAAATAGAATCAGAAAAATCCGAAAATAAAACAGAATGTCGTTTGAAAAATCAGATAAAAATGGCAAAATAAATTGTCACAAAAACATCGGAATAACAATTTGTTGTTATTTTTCAGATAAACTTTTCGGGATTTTTATACGAATTTCATAGCTAGGTTTTAAATGAAATATCTAAAACTCAAATTCTTGAACTTATGATAAATTCCAAAGTATCTTCAAATCTTCTCACATTCAGAATTCCTGTTTTTAACATCAATCGGTTTTTTCTCACATCCGATTTTCTATTTTTTTTTCCAAGAATATCGCAAGTTTTTTTCCCGTCATCTATCAAAAATCAAGCTAGATTGATTGGTTTTTGACACCTATTTCCCGATGCGCGATTTATTTGTTCTAAACAGAAAAAAAATCTTTTGCAATCAGAAAAAAAACAATAAAAAGTTTTTTATGCGATCAGTGATCCTTTACAATAGGAAAATCTCAAACAAAAACCCCACTTGGAAAAGTCTAACCGTTTTCACGCTCGATGTAGCATTTCTATTCAATGAAAACATAGTTTGTTTCTCTTTTGATGAAATATGTAGTAAAAAAGGAAATATTCAGGGATTTTTTGTTTAGAAAAGCATAGAATGGAGAATGAAAGAACAAAACGAAATAGGGGTGCAAAAATATGTGAATCATATCGCTTTTTGAGTCAACAACAAAATATTTTTATTCCTTTTTTTCCGATGTTTGGAAATCATGATTGGAAAAAAAACAAGTACGAACTGTGTGTTTAGATATAGTTCATAAATTTTCTGGTAAGAAAACTTGTGTTTGAGGGAATCTGGAATAAAAGGTATAAGTTTGTGAAATTTCTTTAGAAAAATTTTGCAAATGAAAGGTTGGTTTTATGAAAACTTCGACTTTCAATAAACCATTCCATGTTTTTGAAAAAGTGTTTCTAATCTGTTTTCCGAAGAAGAATTTTGAAAACATTAACAATCTGGATTTTCTCTGAAAAGTTATAACAACATTCAAAAAATAAGTGTTGGAAAAAATTGTTGAATTAACAACGATTAACGATTGACCAGAAATATATTTCGAATCAGAAAAATGCTGGCCTTAATATCGAAATTAGGAAGTTACAAAATTTAATTCTTTCGAAATTGCCGCTAAAAATTTGAGAGCCCTTAGGCAGTGATTCAAAATTTTCAAAAACACGATTTTTTAAAATCTATTAAAAAAGTTATCAACTTACAACATTATCATTACCAATAATATAGCAAAAATGCATTGGAATAATGGGTTGATAGATAAATCGAAAACTAGCGCGTTTATAATTCATGTTCTTTTTCTTGCCTCTTCTTCTCCAAATTCTTATCCGATTTCAAAAAACGATATGAGACAAAAATTTTATAAATTAATCGAGGAAAACTTTTTTTGCGCGTATTAATTGTCAATAATCTTTTAGCATGGGTTATGTTTACTCTGTCTCATGGCGGCGATATTTTTTTCTCGCTGCGCGGAAGATTATCCCAATTCTCACCTGTGCGAGCAAGGTTGAAGTTTCAGTTGTCGTCATTAAAATCAAGTTATTCCAGGAGGTCGGGTTATCAAGAGCGTCCAAACAGAATTTCAAGTTTGAACCCTCTTCGAGAAATTCATCCATTTTATTGATTGATGCATTGATGTTTGATGTATGTGGTTCAGGTGGAAGTGATGATGTCAAAATATCTACACCTGCTTTACACCAGCTGTTTGCCTAAAATATTCATATTTTGCTATATATAGTTTTCCACAAAATGAATATTTTCTCTATTTTGGGAAATGTGGGGAAAACATTTTTATTTTTAATGACGTTTTATTCAAAATAAAATCACACACCTTCAAAATCTGTTCATGCATCGATTTGCTCATGTTAAGAACAGTGCTTCGTCTTTCTAAAGCTCCTGTTAGAGCATCAGCCATTCTTTCGAGTTCTTCACATTTCGGCAAAAGACTTCCGCAAAGTTCAGCTTCGTTCAAAGAGATCATTTGCTCACCAGTTTTCTTTAAATCAATGGCGCCGGTAATGTCTTCCTGAAAAAAAACTCGCAATTTTACTAGGAAAAAAAATACTAGAAATGAGAAACTTTAATTTAAAAATTAACATCTTCAGATTTTTTAACGTTTTTAATTTTTTAACGTGGGATTTCATTTTTCTGTTATCTCTTTGATATTCAATTTCAAAAGTTCGTGTCTCTCTTCACAAGAATCGCACTAACCTTTGCTCTTTCTGCATAAACTCGATGTTGCTCAGCGAGTTGAACAGCTTTATCACAACCATCTCCAATTTCTCGATGTTCTTCCAAATATAGCATATGTCTGGCAAACGCAGCTTGTAACTGTAATAAAATGTCTGTTCTATTATATACATTTTTCATAGCGCCGCTCGAAAAAATTTCTCACTGGTAAGAAAAACAAAAGTTGTCAAATGCAAAAAGTGAGTGAATGAAAGACAAATGCGTTTTTGATGAAAGGCGACGAAAGCACATTTGTTCCAGCAGCAAAAAAACAGAAAAAAAAACAAATAACTAATTTTATTATATGTGTTCTGTTCCTAACTTTTCTTCATAGATATTTATTGAAACAGAGAAATATTGTATTGTACATCAATCTAGCTATCTATATACATATATTTAATCAGAAACAATGATAGTGATACTTTTCCTTATTCATTAGAAAACACATACAAAAAAACGAAGAAGAAGAAAAAAGAAACTGGTTTGTTTGAAACATTAGAAAATAATATGTATCACCTTGTATTTTTTTTCATAAAAGGGCGTGAAAAGCTTCGAAAAAACAATAGGTTTTCTTTTAATATTGAAAAACCAACCTTTCTGAATTTTTCCTCAAATTGTCGAAGTTGTAAACAATTGCTAAGTCGAGTTTCGTGTTTTGCCCAAAATGCATCAAATGATTTTTCAGTTTCTTCTGGAAAAACACAATTTTATTATTCATTTTTCTCAAATCAAAAGTTGACAAGTTTTCTTTTTTTTCTTTTTATTTTTTTTCTAAGTCGGTTTACAGATCTTCTGCAGGTGTTCCGGATATGAACAGATGTGATGTGAAAATGTAGAAAAAAACTAATTTTTTTGAGGGAAATCTTGCATTTTGATCCCAGGTGCGGATTAGGTTTTTTCTGAAGATACTCGCAGATGTGTTAGAATTCATTTTTTTTCAGAACCACTACGCAGCTGTGAAAAACACTCGTGGATATTAGAAAAAAAGGGAGAAAACACATTTTTTTGTTGAAAAAATGTGATGCACTAACAGAAAAAACATTGATTTGATCAGAAGAAAAAACGGAAGAGAATGAAAAGTTATAGGGATAGATAACTCAACTGATAAAAATTTTCTGAAAAATTGAATTCCATAAGTCATTTCGAAAAAATTCCAATTTTAGAAACTAGGAACTAATTTTACAGTTTCAAAGAAACTGGCAAAGAAAACTTCATTTTCAAATCCGAGAAAAAATTTTCTGTTTTCGTATAAAGCCACATTTTTCAGGGAAAAAAAAAGAAAACTACTAATTTTCATGTAAGGTGCTTGGAAATTCGATTTTCCGGTTCATAAATTTTTCAAAAGTTTTTTTTTTGTTGAATTTTGTCTATGGAGCTGGACATTGTCCACAACAAAACTATTTTTGTTTAAAAAATCTAATAACAAATAAAAAACCAGAAACTCACCCAATTGAATCAACATTCTCTCAATCGATGTAACATTATGTAGTCTAGTTGGTGATAATTGTTCAGCAGTCGGTTTTCGATCCAATTGTCTAACCGATCGTAAAAGTGCAGTGCCTTTTCGAACCGATATTCGAAAATCTTCCTAAAAATCAAAACAAATATTATGCATATTGCGCAATGTTTGGCGAAATGTGAGAAGATAATCTTAGCCTCTCAAGGACCTATCTCTCCAAAAATAAAATAAAAATTATACCTTTATCGCATCTTTTTCTGCAGTCTGTGCTTCCAAAATTCGTGCAGTTGTATCAACATCATTCGGAAGTTCAGTTTCTCGAAGTGTTCTTCCAAATTCACTCAAAGCTGTCGCAATCGCCGTTGCTGATGATTTCATTCGCTCGATATCCTGAGAATATACCGCACCCATTATAAAATAGGAAATATAATGGAAATGAGGCAAATGGCAAAACCTCTAACCGACCCGATAGAAAAAAAAACAGAGAGCGGGAAAAAAAGTGTCCAGATGTTTTTGCTTTCGGAAAGCGGTAATTGCGGATCGGGTTTTGTGTCTTCACTCACACTCACATCTGAGAGTGGACAATTGAGTCAAAAAGAGTCAGAAGACAATATGTTTGTCGTAGTGTGTTTTGATTGATTTATATCAAAATTTTGAAATATTCAGTCGGAACAATAGAAAAGCTTCTTTGGCGGTTTTTTTGATTCATGAAATATTATTAAAATTTTCTTAAATTTTCCGATGAAAATATGTGGGTCAAAAATGACAAATGTGTTCAAAAAAATCAGGGAATTTTTCGATTGAGCTAATTTTTCAATTTTGCACTGGGGGTCCAGACATATTTTAACTTGTTAAAAACCATTAACACCGTTTTGGGGAAGCAACAGTAAAGTTATTGGGAAAAATCAAAACTTGAAAATGAAATTCTGTGTGTGAATATTGAAATTGTTCTGATTTTTGAATGAAGAAAAAATGTAAATCAACAAGTTTACAAGAACCAGATATGAAAAATATCCCATTGGAAACCCATGCCCGCTTGAAAATCTCACCATCCGATGTTGTACCCATTCCAAATGATTATATTTGATAATTCCACCAACATCCATCGTCAATTGTTCAGCTCGAAAATATTTTCGGAGCTCAACAGATGATTCAAGTTGTACTATCTGGAAAAAATATATAAATTTTTACTGATAGCTCATTTTATAAAGCTCAACATTTTTAGAATTGGTGAAATAAATAAATTTCTGGTCAATTTCCTTTGTCCACACACATACATGGCAAAAAATTGGATTATACGTATTGAAAAAAGAAAATTGGGGGGGGGGTTCCTAGGGAGTCAGGGAGAAAAAGGGAGGAATTGCTCCGGAAGGAAATGTGGTCAAGCTAACATAAAAAAATATTTTAAAAAAAATTAATTTCAATATCTGACAAAATACAAAGTTTTTGTGATTTGTATAGGTCAAGGGTCCTTAAAAGTTTCTCACACTTATTAAATCATAAAATATAGAATTGCTTAAAAACAAAAAAAAGAATAGAAGAAGACTATAAAATTTGCATATTGAATGAAAAAATGGGGAAAATATATCAAATTTCAAACGAACCTCAAAATTGCAAGTTCCAGCAATTCCACGATATCCAACTTCTAATGCTCGTTGAAGTACTCCCTCGGGTTTGATGATGTAAACAACTTGAATTGTTCCAGGAAAAAATGACTGAAAAATCATACATTATAATTTTTTCTGGAAAAAAACAAGAAAATATTGATTTTTTGATCTGAATCAATCCGAACAGCTATATAAAAATGGTTTTTGCTTGAAATTGTGTTACGCGCAAAGTTTTTTGACATTTTCATATTCCGCGCAAAAAAATCGAGGCAAACATTACGGTGGTCATGTGTATCCGGAAATGAAATGATATATGTGAGGCGAGGTGCGATTTTGAAGAGAAAATGAGAGAGATGCGTAAATTGTTGCGCACTTTTTTTTTCAAAAATATCATGGAAAGATGATTTTTGACCAACATATTTTAATACAAAATTTTTTACAATATAAAAATAATTTTCAATTCAAAAAACTAAATTTTCTTATTTGAAATTGTTATATATTTATTTACAAGCGTTCCGAACTCAGATGACTTACAGAACTTGTACAATATATGCATTTTCAGACTTTTCTTATTTTTTGAATAGTCCTTTCAACTAATTGCATTATTAAGGTTTGTTCAATTGAAAAATTAAAAAAAAACAGTATTTCAGAAAGAACTTCCATTCAAAACTCTCGACACAAGTGTTACTTTTTTGCGGAAATTAAAATTTTAACATTATTAAATATATTTCAAAATGTTCAGATTCAACACATTTCCGGTTGACATTTCCCATAAAAAAATACAGAATAATCCAGTTATCTTTTAATCTTTAACCTACCGTAATTTGAAGGAGCAACGTTCGAACCGATGACCATTTATCACTTCTTCGATCAACAATCACTACGAAACTTCGATTATTTCCTTCTAATGGAATTGATTGTAACATATATACAATCAATAATGAATAATCTTCAAAAGACAGTGTAGTTCGAGAATCGGGAAATGTCACAATAGATAACCCATCGTTTGTCCGAGCACCAGACAAAATTGCATAACGGGTTGCCAGAATATCAGACATATCTTTGATTTTTATACGATCCGAACCAACTGTCAAATAACCATCTGAAAAACATTTTTGTGGATCAAAAGTAAGCACAAATCTTACCCCATTGATCATCTTGTTCATCATCCTCTGAATCAAAAGTGTTTCTTTCATTCAACACTGAACTTGTCATAAAAGGATGTCGAGATCGCTCAACTATTGATTGATAACCGAAGTCATTGAGAAGATTAACACATTCCAGGTCGTTCTGAAACGTTTATATTGAAAATTTGATAAGCTTTCGATGAAGAAAATCTAATTTTTTTCAGTTTTCAAGAAAATTCTAACTTTAAAAAAGGAAACCTGCTGTGATGTGAATCTCAAATTTTCAAATATACAATTTCCAATTCTTTTCCCAGAAAAATATTATTATTTTTCTTCCGTTCCTCCAAAAGTCAAAGCAATTATTACAATTCTATATTTTTATTCACACACTTGTTGAAATATTCATAAAATGCTCAATTATTCCAGCTTCAACGCATAAATTATTGAACATTGTTTTCATTTTATTTTTGATCGCTCCCTCATTTTTCAACTTACACGAAGTTGTTTGAAGTCAGTGTCCATATCATAGAAAAATGCTGGAGCTTCGATGAATTGCTCATTCGTACTTGAACACCTGTAATGTTTCTATTGTTGTTAGAATTTTCCCGATAAGAAAAAAACTTACATAATGGGTGGCCCATCTGATGTGCTCGCTATATCGCAGATTTGATTCTGCATTTCAAAAACAAGATTTGAAACAGCCTTCACTTCTGGAAAAAAATGAGAGTTATGGGAAAAACTTTGGAAAAAATCGAATGTGAAAAGAAAATCCTTGAAGCCGGATTAGAAAGGATTGAAACCAAACAATCAAAAAAATGAAAAATAAATATAAATATTTATTTTTTCTATATAATTTCTTTGGAACATAAAAAAGTATAAAAGTTGTGAAAATAAGAATGAAAACACTAAATCAAATTGATAAAGTGTTTTGACCTTTTCCAAAAGTATATTTGTTCTTGATAATTTTTGGACACACAACATGGAAAAATAAAAATGAGAAAAAATTTCAGCGAAAAAACCAGAAAAATTGAGGAAAATCCGATTAGTGACTGAAATTTTTCTCTTCATTTTCAAAATGTTTACAATTTTTTCGAGGAAAGAACGTCATATGGTTTTTTTCTTTGGAAAAATGTTTCGAACGTCCTTTGACGTACAGAACATTTTTCCACAAAATAATAACAATAGTACAATAAAATGAGGAAATTGTGTCAAAAATTCAAAAAAAAAATTGGGGAACTAATGGAAGAGTTTAGGAATCAATAATTTATAATTATCAGTTTCAGGGTCAAGCGAATAACAATTTCAAAGACGGATGGAAAAAATCAAACGAAAGAATCAATGTTCAGAATTTTAAGATTTTTTAAAAGTAAACATAATTCAAAAAATCTTGCTGAAATTTGATATAGAATTACAACAAACTTCAAATGAAAATTCAGAAGCACAGCAGAATAAAAAATAGGGCATAGAATAGTGAGGATCAATTTTTTTCAAGAAAAATGAAAAAAATAACAATTTAATTTCGAAATGATTGAAAAACATAAATGAACTCGATACGAAACGAAAATGAATCAAATATAATGGTGAAGTCAGGGAAAGCGAGTTCTAGATTTTTTACAATTAATTTTTTGACTAGTGATCTACCAAAAAATCTTATGAATTTCTGATGCATTTTTCCTGTGTTCCTGAAGAAAACAAACAAAAAATCAACATTTTCCCAGAAGAAAATGTTCTGAAAAATGTTGGTCTAGAACAAAAAATGAATTCTTTTTGACAGAGAAGAGAAAACTATTTATAATTTAAATCTAAACATCTAAAATTTGTCTAGTGAAGTTTCAAAAAAAAATTGATCTACTGTGAACTGTTTAACTTATTTCAGTTTCAAGTGAATTTTCATAGTCTCCCTATACAAAACCACAGAATGCAACATTTTCCAAAAATAAAAAACATCTCAAAAAATTTGATCGAGCACTAAAGAAATGTCAAGCGCACTAAAACTATCAAATTTCTCAGCTTTTTTTCAGTTTTCAGCTTTCAGAAATCGAATATTTCAGTAAACAATCATGAAAATCATTTTCTCATAAGCGAAAAAAAAGGGATCCGCCTAACTATAAACACTTTCAATTATATGTTGACTTCATTTAGTCTTTCGTTATTTCACCGAATGGCCTACTTGAAGAAGTGCATTAGAAAATAGACATGTTTCTTCATCTTTTCTTCGTTTTTTTTTTCTATCGTGGCTGACTATATATTCAATTATTCTCTATAGTTTAGTAGTAGCCCTTTTTTCGTTTCCCTTTTTTTCATACACAATTATACATTATTCGGCCAATTATCCAGATTTTTGCTTTGCTTTGACTTCTCACAAAATGTCCACCTATGAATTGAGAAAATGTGAGAAAAATAGGCGAAAACAAAATGAAATGAAATAAAATGAAAACAAAACATGAAATGTGTGAACAAGAAGAAAAAAGGAAGAATTTTTGCATATTTACATGCATATATATTGACCGAAAAGCACAATAGAAAATGCTGTGCATATATGATTTTTTGCTTTGTTTTTCTGCCGAAACAACAAGATTTAAGAGAAAGAGAGGCTTCTCTCAAAGACTGGAAACAAGTGAATTTCGAAATTCCTAAAGCAAAAGAGGCAAACGGACAGACAACAAAACTAATACAATAAAAGTTCTCTTTTTGGGCTTGTTAATTGAAAAATGTTTCATGCTGGAATTTTTTCATTTTTTTCGGAGAAGAGAAGTGAAGAGGAAAAAAGAATGAATGGAAAATAACATTTTTAGGAACACAGATTGGAGTTTTAGATAAGAGGTTGTGCATGAAAAATGTGAGATTTTCGGTGTTTTCGCGGTGAGCTGTGGGGGCGATTTTTGAAGTAACTTTTTCTAGAGAAATTTTTTTCAGAACATTTATCATTCAGGAATTCCTTAGAGAAGTGGAACGGGTTTTTTGGAAGGAGAAAAAACTGACAAAGAGTAATATATTTTTTAAAAAATGTTTGCAACTTGTAGGTTTTTTTATGGTAAAAGAAAGCTTGGAGAGATAGAGAAATGGATCCGTTAGAATTTTTTCAAAATGAGGAAATAATATCGGAAAAAAACTTATTTACTAGAAATTCTCAATTTTTGGGGGAAAATCGAAAGAATAATCTCACAGCTAAAAATAAAAAAATCACAAGAAAAATACAAAAAACAATCACAGAGCTCAAAAAGCATAATTCAATATTTCGGCAAAACAGTATGACATGAGCAATAAAACAACCAACTTACTCTAACTATTTGATTTCACCTCAAAGTTCAAAATTTTTTTTACAAAAAAATCTCGCAGTTTCTCTCGAAAATTTGATCAGCTTTCTTTTTTCCCTCTCAATCATAAATCCTACAGTATGTTTTCTCGAAAATTTTATTTACACAAGAAAATGAAAAATTATTGGTGACCCCAAGTGAGAATGACAAAAAATACATGCATGTATGTCCTCGGAGGGAAAAACGGGAAAATTTCGTTTTTTTTTGAGTAGTAGTATAACTAGATTTGGCTAGCATTTTTTTCTATTTTTTATCGAAATTTGTGACCTCAAAATCAGAGAATGAAGAATTCTGGAATTTTGTAACTGACAAGACAAAAACAGAAAAAAGAAAAAACGATACATGTTTGAAGAGAGGAGCAGAAGCATAATTAAAAGAAAAAAAAGCATGCAGAAAAACATAGAAAAAAAGTGATGGAAAAGGATGAATACAACTGACTCGACTGACTCGTCCTCCATCTATCCTTTTTTGGTTGGTTTCGAGGGAGCAAGCCTTTTTCTCTAGGCATTCATTGCCAACCAAAAAAAGAAGGAATATATGTACACAGACACGCAGCAAAATGAGTTGAAATGAGCCTGGCAAAGGCAAAAAGAAAAAATATATTGGATGGAATTGGAGACGAGTATGAGTAGCCAGTGTTGGAATTAATTTTAAAGTGTGTTTTTTATTTGGGAAGTAGAACTCGAAAATTTATGGGCGGCTTTTGGAATGAAAATAAATAAAAAATGGATTATTTTTAATTTGAATTTTATGACTTTGTTTTTTTTGGTAGCAAGGGAATTGGAATAAAAAGTTTTGGTCTCATTGGATTTTCATTATTTTTTCCGAATTTTTCATTAAAAAGAAAAATCTACGAAAAACGGAAGAGCTAAATAATTGGAAAAATCAGAATGTTCGAAAAACATTCCACAAAAAATTAATAGGAATTGATTATTTTTATTTGTATTTTATGATTTTGTTTTTCGCGATGTTTATAAGATTACTGTAAAGTTTACAATTGATTCAAAAAATTCTGAAAGTTTGCAAAATATAAGGAAAACTGATCCTCAACCTAGAAAGCAAATAGTAAGAATTTTTACAAGTGTATGTAGCAAAGGAAAGAAGAATTATGTTATTCTAAAATTCTAAAATTTTTTGGTTTTTGAACATAATAATAATTTCTGTTTTCAAAAATTCATCCAGAAGCACTTATGAAAAAGAAAAATCAGAAAGTAAAAAGGAACATTCTACAAAACATTAATAGGAATTGATTATTTTTATTATGGTTTTGGTTTTTACCATGTTTATAAGATTACTGTATACCTTGTCATAGACAATTGTGTTCTGTTAAAAAAATAATTCATTGGAAAAAAAGAAACTGATTCTGAAATTATCCACAAAAAATTCATATTTTTTTAACATACAAAATTTATTTTTTAAAAATTATGGCAACAAAAATCAGACGCGACTCAAAACACAGACATACAAATATAATCGGCAAAAGGTATTTCCGGGTTTCCCAAAAAGACAAGAAGATTCCATCAAACAATAGTTTTTAGGTATTCAACAATCTATTTGGTTGTCAAATAAAGATGAAAAAACAACAAAACAACCGGGAAATGAGAATCCGAAAATAAAAATGCGCGGAACACACAAATACACAAAAAAACGTTGAAGGCTAGCAAACATTCCGCGCAAAAACGGAAGGTTCTCAAATGACAGAAATAAAAATGGCAAAGCAGAAACAAGGAGCAGAAAAAAGAAAAAACGCGGGCCGCCGGAAAACAACACATTTAAACCGGAGCATTTTGTTGTCTTTTTTGTTTGGTTTTGAAATGTTGAAGACACGTTTCAAGAGGAGAGAGACTTTTGTATTTTGACATTCTCAAAGAAAGAGTAAACAAGTTCAGTTTGACCAAAACAATCCATGAATTTTCTGAATTGTTTTGCAGACCTGTCTCGATTCTGAGCTTTTCAAATATAATCCTGGTTTTGTGAGAGGAAAGATGACTTGAAAAATAAATTTTGAATTTTGAAAAGATAGTTTTTTTCGAATAAGTTATAAATTTCGAACTTCTCACCTTCTATTTGAATATCTGATGTGCACTCCTCCATTATCATCTTCATTGTTCGAATATTTTTTCAGCTTAATACTTTTCCTAAAAAAAATTATCAATTCTGTTTGGAATTGAAAAAAAAAGCTCAAATTTTTTACCGAAAATCAAACACTCCAAATTCGCTTCAACCCGAATTGTAAAAATGTTTGAATTGTGTTTCTCTGAAATTTTGATTTATCAAAGCAATACAAGATATATATATCACATATTTTATGAAATAAATCAAATACGACAGGAAAAAAACGACACTTCAAGTAACATAATTTTTGGAATTTCCAAATTTTTTACAAAACAGTTACTAAATGTAAACAAATACAAGAAACAGATATTCAAGCGTAAATATCATTATTATTATTGCTATTGGTATCGACTGGAAGAATCATCAAAGTTGTATGAAGCTCATCAGGATCAATCAAAAATCGGATCATCACTTGATCGCCATATATGATATTAGTGACTTCTTCCAAATATTCATTAACTAAATCGATTTGAGTCAATGATGGAATTGAGTTGAAACGAATGTGCCAATATGGAAGATGTTGAGTTTTTCCGATGAGTTGCTGAAAAAGAGAACAATGAATAGTTGTTTCTTATTTTTCTATTTCAAAAAACACTTACAGCTAATCTGTGGACGGAGTGAACAAAATGTGACCAATGCAAATCAATTGCAATTGTTGGAACAGATTTCATTGATTCAATAATATCATCCATAAAATTGATATAATGGATACCAATCCGCGAGACTTTTGAGAGCCCAGTTAGTTTTGGATCCCATGAATCGACCGTGATTCTTATATCATTTGACACAAAAGCGGACAACCGATCGAGACTGTCTTGATGAATCGGGCCTCCAAAAAATTCGGTTCTCATTATTGTTTCACAACATAAAATTTCCTCCATAAAAACTGCTGGAATTTCTTGATCGCTTTCAATTATCATTTCTTGACATTTCGCATTTCGGAAAACACTGTTCCAGTCTTCCAGTGATACTGATCTTGGTTCCTCTTCCTCGTTGATTACAGTGATCCAGAGGCTGAGATCATTTTCAATGTATATCACTCTGGCATTACATACTAGCCCAGGAGTGACTTCTTCCTCTCCGTGTTGGTTTGAAAATTTGAAAGTTCTTGCAGGCATATTTTCGTTCCGTACCTGAAAAATTGAGATATTAAAATACATTTAAAGAAACATTTCGGAAAATTTAAAAAAGGGTTTCGATGAATTTTCATCGTAGTTGCGGAGTTTTTCAAAAAATATTGATTCAGTACTCATAGATTTATGAGATTACAAATTCAAACATTTTGGATCGCGATATTAAAAGTTTGAAATAGGCCTAAATCAATAAAAAATTTTTTTATGGTAAATTTTGTTAACATAAGTGACCCAGAACATAATTAATCAACTTTTGCATTTCACCCAAATATTAAAAAACCCACCTCAACATCTCCAACAACATCAATATGTTCATCTTGAACTTGTGAAGAACATCCGGCTTGGTTGACATTCATAATTGATTCCGGTCTAGAAATAAAAATAAAATAAGTAAGCACAAAGCGGATGAAGAATTATAACTGACTAATTAGTTGAGCAACAAGTATCGTTACCTAAGCCCCGCCTTTTTTTGACCCATATGTCACTTTCTCATCAACTGAGCCGACTATTGAGGTGTTAGGGGTCTGTTGTGCACATGTCTATGGACCAAAATGTGTCAAAAAACAACTTATGGGAAGTTTGTTTATTGTTTATGTTCCGTGTTATGGGAATATTTGAATATTTTGGGAATCAAAAAATCGTTTTGAAAATATCGAGAACGTGATTGAAAGGAATCCAAATGAGAGATAACAGTTTTGAAAAAATCAGCTCTATCTGTCATTACACTTGCCGAGACAAATTTTCAGAAAATTTTCAGAGATTCTACCGGACAGGACAATATTGAAAAGAATGGAAGATTGTTTATCTTTATTTAAAAATACAAAAAAGACCGAAATTCAGATCCATACCAAATCGGTAACCAACAATGTTTTGAAAAAACGTTCTGATTATATGTTAAATTTCAAATTTTACAATGTTTTAAAATAACCAATCAAATAGAAGAATCCCTCGAACTATGGAAAACAACCGAAAAAAACGTTGTTTTCGAAAATCACATCTTTTCTTTATTTTGTGATAAGTATTACCAGTTATCAAACTTTGTAAAACATATTTTTTTCAGATCTTCGAAGATTCCCTGTGTGTCAATTATTTGGTTTATTGTTTCTTCTCAAGTTTTGTGCTTATTTCACACCTGGGGAAAATTGTTTCGATTATCCATACATTTTTTAACAGAAAATAATACAATAGAAAAACATATTATTTTGCCGCCACGCGATTAAAAACCGAGAAAGAGAGACAAGATTTCTGGGCGGATAGTGAAATGACCCAGAAAAATGAAAGCCAAAATGTTTGTGAGCGTCGGAAGAACTAGGACACACTTCTTCTTCTTCTTCTTCTTCTCATCTTTTCCTTCTTCTTGAATACTATCATTCGTTGATGTCACCATTTTCATATATCCGACCATTTCGTATCTCATCCATAATTTTCCTTTTTTTTTCGATTTCCCTTCCCTTCAAATCCTTCATTTTTTCTGACAAGATCTTTGCAATTATGTATAATCCAATTCTGAAACCAGTTTATGTTTGTTAATCACTCTTGTTTAATCATCAATTAATTAGTCAGATTATTGAATGAATGTTGCTTCTTTCTGAAATCGAATCGAATGGATTGGGATTAAACAAGATTCTGTGTTGACCTCATTGTGAAGGCAATAAAATTCGTCATACTCTTTTTTTGGTCGACCAAACTGATGTGAGAAAAATGCCAAGAAATCTGTCGACTGTATCCGATTTGTTGTACTTTTTAATGGGTTTTCGATTCTCGAAAAAGGATTTAAATTGTTTGTTTGGTTTCAAGGATAGATGATTTCAAGATCAACATCTTTTTTCTACTTGTCTTTGGTTTCGAAAAACACTTTTTTGTATATTTAAAGAGGGTTACAGTGAATGATTGCTTTATTGATTAGATATTCTAAAAGAAGTTTCTAAAAAATCAAAGATCAAACCATTAGCTAATCCAATACATTAAATTTCTGTAGATGAAAAAGTTTTGAATTAACGATATTTCGTAACTGTTTTTGTGGAAATGAAAGTTCTCGAAACTCTTCAGGAAGGTTCAGTTAGATTTTTGATTTCATAATAGTAGATTTTCCAAGAAAATGTGTGGACAGTCAAAAGTTGAACTAATGACTGTTCAAATTATCTGTGAATCAAATAATCAAAAATTAACAATGCTTTTAATGAGTTTTTTCTATCGAAAGCATGTGATCTGGTTCCAATCTTCAGAAAATCAAAAACTAGACAATTAGTTAGTCTGACACACATTTTTCAGATCAAATAGATTTACGAGGTTTCGACAATGTTTATTTTTTGATATGAGGAAAAAAGTCAAAATTATTGTTGTTGAAAAAATTTTGGGTGACAGTTTGTGAATTTATGCGTTTCTATTTTAATTTCAGAATTCCTGAAATTAACATGAAGATCTCACATTCAAATTTTTCACAAAAATATGAATTAGACTATTTTAAAAAATGATTTTCGACATAAACTTCATTTCTAACAGTCTCTTATCCTCGACAATAGTTTTTGAACTTAATTTTTTTCTGTCCTAAATTATGAAAAGTTCAATTATGAAACCAAATTTGATCTTTTCGATCCTCTTCGAAAAAAACCTTATCTCCGCTCATCATTTCTCCAACAGTTTCTTTCTCCCACTTGAACGCCAAGTTCAAAAGCCAAAACTACTTGTCATCCAAGAAAAATCCGGATGAAAAGAGAAACCATTTTGTGTGTGTGGTCAGTTGAAACTTTTTTAACGACATCCAGTTTTTGCGTTTGATTCGATTGCAATTTGACGCATGAATAAATGAAATATTTTCTTTCTTGTATTAGAGATGATGTACTTTTTGCTGTTTAGTCTGTCTCGGAGAAAAGATGATTATTGTTTTTCTCGGTATTTTATTTCATTTTATTATCAACGTCAACGTCAAAGTCGTGGATGGCGCGAGAAATGAACGAAGGAGATAAATGTCTTTCGAATTAAGTAAAACGAAATGACCTTCACTTATACAACCTCCTTCTCCTCCGATCTTTTTCTCTCGTTTTTCATCCCGACCCTATCCAATAGTCATATTATTTACAAACATTCTTCTCAATCTTCTTCATCTTTTTGTCATATAATTATCCGGATTCCGACATACCTATGTGTTAATGATATTAATATTCACCTTTTCTATACATTCATAATTTTTAGGTATCCAATATGTATATAAATATAAATAATTTGGGGCGACGTACTTAATGCCAGTGTTCATCTTTTTCTTTTTTTTCTTCCTGTAGTCAAGAGAGGAGGAGTGAAGCTATGCCGGTTTTTTGTCTTCGATTCACTTCTTTTTTCTATATTATTATTATTCTTGTTATTATTGTTATTATGAATATGATGCTTTTGTATCCAAATTTTTATTTTTATTTTTCTGATTTTTGAACTTCTTCAATTGTTTTTCAATTTTTTTCGGTCGATAGATCTTTGTTACATTTTTAATATTACCCTATTTTTTGTTATAGTCAAAAAGTTTTTTTTGGAGAAAAACATCCTTGAGTTCGATAATTACGGCTGAATCACATTAAATTTACATAGGTTTTCCAAGTCAAGACTTTTTTCTGAACTACCAATCTTCATTTGACATTTTTTGAACAGAAATCATATATTTTTATTTTTATTTTTCAGACATTGGGTGATGAGGATACAATTTTCATTGCTCCTGCTCATAGGAGCCGCCTTATTGGCAAACACCCAAGAAATTAAACCAAAACCAGAATTATTGCCAGCCGACGAAGCGCCAAAAGATCCAGAAGTCTCATTTTCTGAAGGCGAACCATTTGAGCTCACCGATTCTGGTCTTGATAGTTCAAAGAATGCCACAATTCCAGTTGCCGAGCCAGCTCCAGAGCCAGAACCAGAACCAGAAGTTGCACCAACTCCAGAACCAGAACCAGCTATCAAGTTTGATAATATTGAATCGGAAGATTATGGAGATGTTGCTGAAGCAGTGAATGTTCAACCAGATGAGTTGAATACTGAAGTTATTGAACAACTTGTTGATCGATTTTTGAACACTGGATCTATTGAGGTAATTTTCATTGTGAAAAAATGCAAAATTAATTTATCAATTTTTTGTGCAGAACAAAGATAAGAAGGGACCAACTTACGCTAACCCAGTTGCTCAAGCTCTTGTTGGAAGCAGTGATTACTGGAAAACCGATCTTCTTCAAGAAGCTGGATCGATCAAAGATGAAGAACGTATTAAAACTTGGTTGGCTGGTTACGAAGTCGAGGCAATTAAAGTGTTGAGAGAAGTTGCGCTTTCCGGATGGCGTTATTTTAATAATGCGTCACCATCGGCTAAAATGGCTCTTGATGAGGCCGAAGATGTTCTCTCCAAATTTGTTCGTTCTACTTCAATGCAAGCTAAACAATTTGATGTTGCATCGGTTTCCGATGAAAATACTAAACGTCAATTAGGATATATTGCTTTTGAAGGAATGTCGGCTTTGGCACCAAGCAGATTCGAAGAATTCGGACAAGCTCAAGCTACTATCAATCGTGATTTGAAGGACTCAACTGTTTGTGATAAGGATGTTCCACCACCATGTGCGCTTCAGTGAGTGAAATGAAATAAAATTTTCAGAAAAATTATGGAAAAATGTGTGTATTTTTTTCTTCAAAACATTTTTAAAATTTTATTAATTTTAGGCACCTTTCCAAATACTTGCTTTTTCAGAAAAATTGATATGGATTCAATTTTCCGCAACGAAAAAGATCCATCCCGCCTTCAACATCTCTGGGTTTCATACGTCACATCAATCGCCAAATCCAAACAAGCCTACAGTAATCTCATTCAAATCTCAAACGAAGGAGCTAAACTCAACGGTTTCTCTGATGCTGGAGCCATGTGGAGAAGCGCTTTCGATATGTCATCAAAAAACAAAAAACCAGTATTTGATTTGAAAAAGCAAATTGATAAAATCTACAGTACTATTCAACCATTCTACCAACTTGTGAGTTGTTTTTTTCTTAATTTTTCGAATATCAATGTGATTATTTGTAGCTCCACGCATACATTCGTCGTCAATTGTCTGGAATTTATTCAAATCCAGCTGGATTGAGTAAAGATGGAGCTATTCCAGCACATTTATTCGGATCTTTGGAAGGAGGTGACTGGGCTGCCCATTATGAGCAAACTAAACCATTCGATGAAGAATCTGAAACACCAGAAGCTATGCTTGCTGCATTCAACAGTCAAAATTACACCACAAAGCAAATGTTTGTTAATGTGAGTTTACTCAAAACCCGATTATAAATTACAACTTTTCCTAAAATTCAGGCTTACCGTTATTTCAAATCTGCTGGTTTCCCAAAACTTCCAAAAACTTTCTGGACATCATCAATTTTTGCCAGAGTTTGGAGTAAAGATATGATTTGTCAACCAGCTGCTGCTTTAGATATGCGCGCTGCCAATGACTTCAGAGTTAAAGCTTGTGCTCAACTCGGAGAGCCAGATTTCGAATTGGCTCACTCACTTCTCATCCAAACTTATTATCAATTCTTGTACAAGGATCAAAGCTTGTTGTTCAGAGAGCCAGCTTCGCCAGTTATTAGTGAAGCAATTGCTGACGCTTTTGCTCATCTTTCAACAAATCCACATTATTTGTATTCTCACAAACTTGTTCCATCTGAACATTTGGAAATCAAGGATTCCGTGATTATCAATAAACTTTACAAGTGAGTGTTTTTTCTTCAGAATGTTTCTTTTTGAAAAAAAAATCTATAGTATTTTATTCGTATTTTTAATATTTTCAGAGAATCTCTTGAAACATTCGCTAAACTTCCATTCACCATCGCTGCTGATAACTGGCGCTACGAACTTTTTGAAGGAAAAGTTCCAGCTGCTAAAATGAACGACCGTTGGTGGGAAATCCGTTCTCAATACGAAGGAATCCGCTCCCCTCAACCATACAATAACTCGAATTTGGATGCTTTGATCCACACTGCCGTTTCACAAGTTCACTCGCCAGCCACTAAAACTTTGATCAGTTATGTTCTCAAATTCCAAATCTTGAAGGCACTTTGCCCAGAAGGAACTATCTTGGTATGTTTCTACATATTTTGAATTAGAAAAACAAATATATTAATAATATTGAATTCAGAGCGAGGGATGTATTTTGTCAGAAGATACCACTGAAAAACTCAGAGAAACAATGAAACTCGGATCATCAATCACTTGGTTGAAAGCATTGGAAATGATCTCTGGAAAAGGAGAACTCGATGCAGAGCCACTTTTGGAATATTACGAGCCACTTATTAATTGGCTCAGAAATACCAATGAAATTGATCAAGTTGTTATTGGATGGGATGGACAAGGAACACCATTCACAGCGTTAGTTTTTTTTTGACATAGAAACATAAAGCAGAAAAAAGGAGAAGAAAAGGGAGAAGAGAACGCACATGAAAAATGTGTTGGGAAAGGGAAGCGAGAGATAATGTCAGCAGCGTGGCGCAGTGGAAGCGTGCTGGGCCCATAACCCAGAGGTCGGTGGATCGAAACCACTCGCTGCTAATCTTTTTTGTGTTTCCTTTAATATTTTGATGTTTTTTGAAAAAACATGACCTCACACACTTTCTTTAAAATTATTTGACCTACCAGAAAAAAAAGTCCCGAAAAACTGAGGTTTAGAAATTCTAGGCAGTAAACTACAAGCTGTGTTTGACGTGATGATTCAAAAAAAATAGATCAAAAAGATTAGCAGCGAGTGGTTTCGATCCACCGACCTCTGGGTTATGGGCCCAGCACGCTTCCACTGCGCCACGCTGCTGACAATATCTTTCCTTTTCTTTCCTTTCTCTATTCTTTGTTCACACAAGCAAATCATGTTCCCTCTTGCACAGTGTGTAATACTAGCCCAAACCGCTATCCCTGAAATTTTTTAAAACTTTTTCTATTATATTAATCTCCCAATAACACAAAACAAAATTTTCAGCGAAGAGATTCCAAAAACTCGTCAACCAGGAGATGGTGGAAACGGACTTCCAAGCGAAGATCGTGTCGCTTTCCCAGGTGGAGAATGTGTCAATGGTCAAGAATGTCTTCTCGATTCTCATTGTAATGGAACTATTTGTGTTTGTAACGATGGATTGTACACTTTGGAAATTGGAAATACTTTCAATTGTGTTCCATCAAATCCAGCTGACAGTGGTTTCGGAGATGGAAAGGGAGGACTTGTTATTGGACTTTTCAATAACGAAAAAGAAACTACACCTGAGCCAGAACCAGAACCAACTGCCAAAACAACAACAACTTCATCAAAAGTTCCACGTGTCAGAGCATCATCAACATCTTCAAGATATATTCTTGCACTTATTTGCTCAATCTTCGCTGTTCTCTTCTTATAAGATAATTCCGTTTTTTGCCATACAATAATTTATTTATTTATTTTAATTTTTATTCATTTTCTTTCTTTTACTTATTTTTCACACCCACCCATCCTAAAAAATGACGGTTACATGCATAATTATACATTTTTCATTATCCCATTTTTTGCAATAGTACAGTGTCACAGAAAAATTGTAATTGTATACAAAAATTGTCAAATAAAAAATTTATATATAACAATTTGAACAAAACAATGACGGGGGGGTAAGATATATTTTTTAAAGCTACAAAAAGGCAAAATATATTTTAGTTAAGTGAATAAATTGAACACCTGTTACATTTTTGATAAAATAATATCTTCGTTGATGATATCATTTGGATCACACGTCTCGTTTAGTTTGGGCAAACCCGCGTAAAGTCGGTCATTTGTACCGTCATCGAGTTTGAAAACGACACTAAACATTTGACCATTTAGGCGATCCGCAAGCCATTTGGTTTTGATGACCGCGACCTGTAATAAATGAATTTTTCCGGTTTCAAATTGTTTGCAGACAAAAAAATCAAAAATATTTGTTAACACTTTCCGGTTCAACTCACCTTTAAAGCATCACATTTGAATTCAAGATGGAAGTTTGTATGAAGAGCTCTTCCCATTCCTTCAATTATAATCAAATCCACGTGATTCTTCATTAATGTGTAACTCAAATGATTATGTACACGTCGCAAATCCATACACGGTGAACCTTGACCAGATTGTGTGAAAAGAAGTTGTCCAGATTTCAAAAACCTGTCAAGATCCGAATCAATATTTCGAAGAGGTTTGATCAATCCAATCATTTCTTTGTATGTCAAATCATTAAGAGCTGGAGCCGAATTTGCACAGATTATCACACGTTTTCCTTTTCTCAGAAGTTCTCTGGCAAATGGAATAACACCAAGTAGATAATCACAACCACTGTTGTCAACAAATATCAAAATTGATCGATAAGTTGGAAGGCGAGAGTTGAACTTTTCAAAATCATCAAACAACCAAGGACGAGCTGAAAACAATCATTTTTCAGGTTTTAAGCTGGAAATGAGTCAGAACTCACGCTCAACACTTTCAATAGCTTGTGAAAAACTCAATCCTCCTGGTCTATTCATCATTTTTACCACTTCTTTTGCTCCCCAATCAAAAACATTTCCAGCCAAAAGTCCACGACAAACATATTCGAAATGTTGAGTTTTGTCTAGTTCATTTTTCAAATTATCAATTGTCGATAGAACTTGGGGAAGTTCGTGAAGAGCAAACTCATTCTCTTTTTGTTTTTGTTGAAGATAAATATCATCAAAACCGTATTGTCGCAAGATTTGTTCACGAAGTTCAAGAATATTGCGAGCATTTGAATTTCCGTATGCGCTACAAAAAATCGAAGTTAAAATAACAAAAAACGAAGAAACTTACAATGGATGTTCACTAATGACCCTTAATTGAGCTTTGAAAGATTCAACAAAACCATCAGCTCTTTCAACCAAATCTTTTTGATCTTCAACATTTTGTTGAGATTCAATTGCAATTTTTCGAATTCCCAGAATTGTTTCTTCCATCACATTCAACCAAAATTCTCTTGCAGCATCATCTCGATTAAAATCAACAGTATCAGGTGGAGCATCTGCATTTGCTAAAATATATAATGGTCCAGCTTCATATTCATAACAATCTAATTCAAAAGTTTGTGGTTTGAACCCAACTGTTAATGGAAGAACTGGAACAAATCTACCAAGAGCTGTAGAACCATTATAATGTTCTTTCCAATGATAATTTGCAAGTTGACGATATTTCAAATCATCACTTTCAATAAGCGATGAATAAAATGCACCAATTGATGAGGTATAATTTTCATGTCGTAAGAAAAATGCGTGAAGTTTTCCACCCGACCAATAATTAAATGCATATGAAAGTGTTTTCATAACAATTGGTCGATTTCGAACAAGAAAACCATTGAAATATACAGTTTCGATACCTTCTCTATTTGAATAAAGGTAGGCCATTTGAGCAATATTATAGATAATCATTCGGAGAAGGCTGCTTGCCATATTTTCTTTTGACGAAGTTGATAGACGTTCAAGGTCAGTTTTATGGTTGAAATCTCCAGATTTTGCAAAACTTGCTGCCAATAAATGTCCAGGCAAACCAAGGTTGTTCGCTCTGAAAATTTCAGAAATTATATCATTTTTTCTCAGAAAAGGTTAAAAAAAATAAAGCGTTAGAAAATTCAGAACTAAAAACTCACTTATCCCCATAAACATCGGATATCAATTTATCAAATTCAGACGGATCTCCAACTTCTGCCATCGCCATAATCTTCTCTAAATCCTCTTCACTCATCAACAAATTTGATAATCCGAGGAAACTCCCTCCTCCAATCGAGCTTCCACCAATTCTTTTGAACTCATTCTCACTGTCAACCTGAAAATTTTGTTTAAATTATCGCGAAACAAACAAAAAAAAAGAAAAACTCACTCTTATGATGCTCACACCAGTTCTAATATTCACAAGAATATATGGAAAAATTGTGACGGGATTCAAAGTTTTGAATTCATATTCTTTATCGATTTGAAATGAATAAGTATAAGCTTCAGCTTCAATGTTTTGAAGAAGAAATGTTGTTCCACGACCAATACATTCAAAAACATCGTGGCAAACTAATCTGTAACGGATTATTATTTTTTTTGAATGACGGAACTTGCAGAAGAAGACAATTTTTGTAGTTTAATCAAAATCAAAGTACAAATAAAGTGTAATAAGAATGTTTATTTACGTTTTATTGTAGATAGACATTGCATCAGATATTATTAACAATATGATAGGAATTTGAAATTCTTTTGACCCAATTTCAAACTTTTTAATGTAAAAGAAAACAAACTGAGAGATTTTTCTCAAAAAAAACTGTTCCAAGAAAAGGGCTTCCCCGAAAACAAACACAACTTACACACATCCCAATTTTTCCTCAATCATTTTTTCGACAGCAACAATTCTTGTTGTGTGTCCATAATGTGCAAAAGTATTTCGTAAATTGGCATTTTTTGAAATATATTCGAGAATTCGAGGAAAATCGTCATAATTTACTTGAATACAATGCAAACGTTGAAATGTTTTTCCAGTTTTCTCGATCTGAAAATATTCAAAAATGAATAAAAATTCTGAAACGAACTCACTGTTCTTTGAAGTGTTGTCCTGGTCACTGGAATTTCCGAAATGTACGAGATTTTGATGCTCTTCGAGCCAATATCAAAAAAGATTCTGGTAATTCCCGAAACATTACGCAGAAAATTCTCCATAATATTTCAGGAAGATTGCCCAATCTGTAAACCTAATAAAAATAAATGAGGAAATTTTCAAAGGAAAAATGAGACAAATAATGAAAAAATAGAAAAAAGTCCTCGCTATGTCTGCTTCGTCAGCCCATTTTGTTATCTCAATTTTCTCTATTTCTCTAACTCTCGGTTGTGTGCCCTTGTGTTTTTTGATGTGAGAAGGAGGAAAAAACATAAATAATATTACTTAACACAGTGACCGTTAGACAACATAAGATTTTTTTATGATTTTGTGATTTACACGGTTTCTTTTGAAATGGAGAAACAAGTGATTTATGAAACTGAAAACAATATGTCAAATATTTGTGTATAACAAAGAACATTTTTCATTAAAAATAACACGATGATAAACATTTTTGTAATAGACACGGTTTCCATACACCTTTTTATTAAATTCCGTGGAAAATAATATTATCATCAACTTTTTATACCTACAGTAAAAGATGTGGAAGAAGTTCTGAAGTTATCTTTCGATGAAAAAAAATGCAAACAATTCGAAAAAAATTCCCTTATGAAAATAATAAAATGTGTTAGCCTACCGAATTTCAGTTTCCCGAGGTTCCGCGCGCTTGAACGTCTGTGTTTCTGTCTGAAAATGTGCCGAGAGTATTGGAGAATGAATTGATCGGTGTAATTTATCACGAATAAAAATCCAAAAATGGGCAAAAAATCAAACGTTTGAAGCTATAAAAATGAACATATGTTTTCGAAATATTTTCCACACGTTTCACATTGAAAAAAAAACAAAAAAAATAAATTTGAAAAATGATATAAAAACAATTTTTCGAAATTCATTCGAACGACTAACCAACACATTGTTTTGTTTTATTTCTGCGAAAAGCGAAAATATCTAAACAAATGTCCGTATCTCACCTGTCGCCCTTATAGCTCAGTGGTAGAGCGTTGGTCTTGTAAACCAAAGGCCCGTAGTTCGATCCTGCGTGAGGGCAGATTTTTTGTCTATTTTAAAGTTCCGCAATTAGTGAACTAGAAAAATCATAGGCCAGAAATCGGGAAACCGTCATTCTTTAGCCAGTTTTTTTGTTGTACTATAATCAAATCATTACGTATGTATGATAAACTTTTTCTATATTTTTTTTGTATTTGTTTTCAATTTAAATCTTCTCCGTTATTCTGAAATTTATGCAATTTATTCCAATGTTCCAAGCAGATATACAAACAATGTTTTGTGACGTGAAAAACCACATAAATGTTGATTTCAGAATCAGATTATTTCTTTTTTTTGTTTATTAGAACTTGTTCATATTTCCAAATTTTGGATACGAAAAAACTTCTGGTAAGAACGAACAAATACGACATAAATATATTTCGGGATGCATTTTTATTGTTGTTTTGTATTATTTGCATTTTTATGAATTTCGACATATTTTCATATTAATTTATATATACATACATATATTTGTGTTCTGGGAGTAGTAGAAACGGGTATCGAATAAAGAGAAAAAGTGGCGCCGGCCGAAACGCGTGCGCAATGTCAAGTGACCACTGTGACACACGGGCAGAAGAATAACTCTACACTCACACACACACATAAAATGTTTTGCTCCAGTTCTATCTACAAATATTTTGATGTTGATGATGATCTCTGAGTTCGGCAAGATTTATTTGAAAGTTTGAGTTTGTTTGAATTATTTGGACGAACTTTTGAGAATTAAGATATTGTGTTTTTAACACTTTGAAAATCTTGACCCTCAACGCATGATTTTCAGTTCAGAAAATGAAGTTGAGCCACTTTTTGCCATAAGAACAGTTTTTTGTGAGTTTAAAAATGGCAGTTGTTCATAAAATTCTTGTGTTTTAATCTTTGTGTTTCTTGAATAGAATTCAATTTCAGTTTGGCTTACAAAATTTGCTCAATACTCAGAAAAACAGAACAAAAATTATGGACTCATTGAACAACTTTCCTGAAAATTCTTTATCATTTTAAAACCAGTTTTTAGAATTTTGAACCTTGATTTGTTCAAATTTGAAAAACCAAAACTCAACAATCAAATCTATAAATCAGTTGTCTCCAAAATATTTTGCAACTTTTAATTACAAGATAAGATATCTCATGTCTATATCTATTTTTCCAAAAAAAAGTAATCATCACTGTTTTTCTCCACAAAAAATAGAGTTCCCGAAAATAGCCATTGCCCTCTGTGGTCAAGTTCGACGCACTTGCAATTGTTTATATAAATATTTGTTGATGGTGAAAAAAAAACATTTTTGCTGTTTCATTTCATATGAATGTGAGCCAAACGCCGAAAAGAGAGGAATTGGAATTCTTGTTCGGTTGGCCAGGGCTCAAATTTTTTTGTCTTGTTGTTGGTTATTCAATTAACAACAAAAAATGGATGAAAAATTGAATTACAAGTACACACATCTTCTCTGTCTTTTGGTCCATTTTTCTTTGTTATCTAGAAAAAAAACCATTTTTTTATTTCGCGTTGTTTTTGTTGTAAAGTTCATCAACCGAAAGATAGATTGTTTCAGAAATTTCTTGTTTTTTCTATTTTTCACCGATCTTTTCATTTTTCTTGTATTATCGTTTTTCATGTTTACGTGTATTTTGAATCAATAAAGATCAATCGGTTCGGCTGTGTAGAAAAATAAAATATGATAAGATTGTTCTGTGAAACTTAACAGATGACACTTTTTCTGAAACTTTACATTTTCTCATATGATTGTTTCATTTTTTATATACATAGGCTTAAAGTATGAAAGTGACTAAGCTTTTCATTGTCAGATTTATTTTTGTTCAACAGGTTTTTCAAACAATTTTATTTTATTTCAGATTTCATTTTCGTTCTAGAAAAACTGATTTCTTTGACCAAAAAAGTGTTTATATTCAAACAGGTCATCAAAAAACTATTTCATTTCTAAAACTGGCCCATATGTAGATTTATGTGTAAAGCAACTAACTTTTTCACTTTTTTGTGTTATGTTTTTCACAAGGTTCCAGTTGATCTTTTTTCTTTCATTTTATTTTATTTCATTTCTTGCAAAAACAGACACACTTGTTCTTTTATTTTTAGTGTGTTGTTATTTGTCACACGTGTCCTATAATCTTTGAAATTCGGATTTCATTTTTTTCATTTCAGACCAGAAAGCAATGATTCTTCTATATTTTCTTTCAATTTTGGTGTATTCAGTGATTGGTGAAGTTGCTGATTATGGAGTGTTACCAGATTTCAAATTAACACCCTTGTATTTAAAAGAGGACAAGTGAGTTTCTCTGAAAAAAACCCTGCAAAAAAAAACAAATACATATTGTTTCAAGAGTTCTTCAACTCGACAACGCAACATTTGATGATACAATTTTCGGCGTCGAGTCCGGTCAAGCGGGTTATCTTGTTGAGGTGAGGAGAGATAGATGAAAAATGTATTGGATAGTTTTCCCCAACAAAAATGTGGCCGCCATAGCTCAGTCGGTTAGAGCGTGGGTCTAATAAGCCCAAGGTCGCAGGTTCGACCCCTGCTGGCGGCAAATATTTTTGCAAATTTATATTCATTTTTTCAACAAAAAAAGTAACAAAAACGCGCATGTTTGCCCTATTGACTAATGTTTTTTTCTCCTACTGTCTCTCAAATATTCCGTCGTTGTCGTTGCGGAAGAGTGTGTAACCGACTAAACTATTTTTTTTCTACAGTTTTATGCTTCTTGGTGTGGACATTGTCGAGAATTCTACCCAGTGTACAAAAATTTGGGAAATGATGTTTATGGATGGAGAAATATTGTGAAAATTGCCGCTATTAACTGTGCTGATCCAGTGAATTTGGATGTTTGTAGAACTCATGGAATCTTTTTCTACCCAGTCATTAAGGTTTGTATTTATCTTTAATTGAATATCATTTGAAAATTTAAGTATTTCCCACGTGCTGCGATTGATTCAACTGGAGGGCTCCCAATTAGCGTGAAAAACAGTGTTAGTGAAATGAGAGAGCAATTGACAAAAGCGGTTATGGATGATTATGCACTTCATAGATATCCAGATTGGCCCGTTTTTGATTTCCTTAATGAGTTAGTTGTTTTCAAATTTTTCTCCAAAATCTAAAACTTGTTACAGTGTTGTTTCCTACAATGAACTCTGGAATACAACAGCTCTGTCAGCAAGTTATATCGCTCTTATTTTTGAGCAAAGTCAAGCATCAATTACTGGAGCTCAATTATTATTAGATTTGAGCAGCAATCGACAAACTCTTGTTGCTCGCCGTGCATTGAAATCTCATCCACTTGTTGATAAACTCAAACTTACTGATTTCCCAACTTTTGCAATTTTCAAAAAGGAAAGCAAAGAACCAGTATTTGTTGCAGAGTAAGTTTTCTTTTCTATATTTTTGTTTGGAAAACCAGCAATAAATTTTAGGGTTCGACGATTGCTTTTCCGCGAAATCGAAACATTTTTGGGTAAACCTTATTATCATTTCACTGATGTTAATCGTAACAATCAAAAGAAGAACTTCACTGATTGTTTCAAATTCCCTGAATTGTGCAAGCCAAATTATTTTGTGTCAGAAGTTGATTTGTTGAAAGCTTCAAGATATGCGCTTTTCAGAGAAACTGCTAGAAAAAGTAAGTGTTTTCATTGTTATTTTTAAAACAACATATGTTTATGAAACAGATAGTTATTGAATTCCAGTAATTTGAAACTTGAAAAAGTATTTTTAGAAAATTTATAAACTATTAAAAATGTGATAGCGGCCTTTTTTGAAACAGTTTTTTTTGCAAAGGGTTTGAAAAATATCTCTCCCGTCAGGTTAATTTTTGAAATTTTCATCAATTTCTTCAGGTGCTCCGCTTCGCACCGCCAATTTGTCTGCTCTCTATGAGTTCACATCACTTCTAGCTGATAATTTCCCAACAACCACAATTGATGGAGCTGAAAATGATGTATGTTCTAGGAATAAAAATACAAAATCCCCAAGCTCCTCACTTACCATTTTTCCAGACCCTCGTCCACCTTGACAGATCTTCTCGAGCTGTTCGAGTATTCTCAAGACTTCGTGATTTCCTCGCTGATCATGGATTGGACAACGAATTGAGTATTGCTGATTGGCAAAAAGCATTCGTCGATGCTGAAACTGAAGCTGGAAATCCATTCCCATTGAACACCCCGTGGGATCATTGTGCTGGTTCTTCTCACGAATTCCGTGGTTATACATGTGGTCTTTGGACAACGTTCCATACATTAACTGTGAATGCATATAGAAATTATGTGACAAATATGACAAGTGGGTTTTTATATAAAACATTTTTGATGTTATGTGGTTTTTTTTAGATGTGACTCTTCCACTTCCACCATTACAAGCAATCCGAGATTGGGTTGGATCATTCTTTGGTTGTGATACTTGTAGAAATCACTTTTTGAAAATGACAACTGATACTTTTAAGTTGGAAGCTAATGTGAGTTTTATATTTTTAAATATTCAAAAGAAGACATGTTTGTCTTTTGAAAAAAATCAAAACTTCTGAAAAAAATGTACATATGAATTTAAAATTCAATAAGTTTTACAAAAAAAGTTCTGCAGGTCCGTGATCCAGAAGATGTTTTCATGTATCTCTGGAAAGCACACAATCGTGTCAATGCCCGACTTCACGGACAAAAAACAGAAGATCCAAAATTCCCCAAATATCAATTCCCTCCAAAATTCTTATGCGAGGATTGCAATAATAAAGGAGCTTTAAATGAAACAGCCACTGAAGAATTTTTATTAGATTATTATAGTCGAGTCAAACCATTTCATCAACCAACACCAGGACCCATCTAAATTTTGATATTCAATTTGGAGAAAAAAAACATTCCTGACATTTCCCAAAACCTCATATTTCGGGATTCTTGTGTGTTTATTTTATTTTGTTTTTGAAATTTATGTGTTTGTGTGTGTGACTTACTTTTTGTATTATTTTTCAAATATGATATTTTTCATTGTTTCTTGCCGGCTTATTTATTCAAAATAAAACATTTACTTTGATATTTCTAGCATATGGTGATAATTGTGGAAAAATTGATTGCAATTCTGTCCTTTTTCTTATCAGCGGGTTGATACATTTTTTCGCGAAAAATTCTCGTCACTTTTTTTTTTTAGAATTTTCAACTCTCACTTCTACTGACAAAAATTCTTAAAACTGCAAATTATTTTTCAAAATAAACTGTTTTTGTTTTCAAGTCATTCTTCCTAAATAAATTTTATTATGAACCTTTTCACATCTAAAAAAAACAACGCAGAAAGTTCATTAAGAAAATGAATGATGACTAGGAAAATTTATCTTGTAAAGCTTTCAAAGCTAAAAAATCCTCAATATTCCCACACAATTAACTATGTAATTAATTTCGGATATTGTCAGAGAGATTTTCGAAATCCTTGCATTTTCATCTTTCGGGAAAAACCGGTGGAACTCGTCATTTATGTATGAGCTGTCTTTTTTCTCCTCGTTTTCTTCGCGCGTTTCCAATCGCAAACCGCAGACAAAAACTGTGTGTGTGTGTGTGTTGTATTGGCTTCCGTTTTCCTCATTTTGCTGATGAAATCAAATTTTTCATTGGATACGATATTATGTTTTTGTTTTATTGAGCTTTGACATGTTTGTTTTTTTTATTTCTTTTGAAATGGATTTGAATTTTGATCTGGCTCTTGGACTCTGCTCATTTTTTGTTTGAAACAGTGAGAATGAATAAGAAGATGTATAATAGAATAATAAGAATAATAATTTCATAATCGGGTGCAAACACTAAAAAGAGCCGAAAGTATTGGTTTACCTATCCAATTACCCATTTTCATGTTCTTTTATTCCAATATTATTGTTTTATTTTGCTCCGGAATAGTTTTTGTTTTTTTTTGCTTGCTAATCTTCATCGTTTATAAAAAAAATTGTTCAAAATTCATAATGTTTTTTCTCCTGAAACATTTTTTCACCATCTGAAAAAAAATTTGACAATTTTTTAAATATAGTTTCTTAACCTTAAATATTCTCACTCTATCGTTTAATTTTGAATTTAAAATTTTTGTTTTGTTTTTCAACAAATCATGTGATATATATTTTGATACGCATGTATATAAGTGAATGAGTATACAAGGAGTGCGAAACGGGTTATTTTTGTGTGTATGTGTGTGCATTTGTGTATGTCCACTTATATGGGAGCACAAAAAGAAGCTTCTGTTTTCTTTGCCCTCTTTTTCTTCTTTTTTTTCTCATCAAACAACAGTTTTCTTGTCTTTTGGTCGACTGTTTTGTTTTTCTTACATCCTGTCATCGCGCCAGATTTGTTGTGCCACAAATTTTTTTGTCGTTCGTTTTATAAAAATGCTCCAAACTAAAGTTTACCCTAAACATATCGTGTCAACAAGAAATATCAAATTTCTGATTTCTTAATCCTCCCCCATTCTTTTTTCACCTCTAAATCTCCAAAAAAATTGTTGTCGTTTTTTCTTTTGTTCACAAAAGTGTTTCACTCAGATTTTCCGGCAAAAAGTGAAACAACAGAAGATGACGAAAAAACACAATTGTTAAGTATTTAGTCAAGTTGTTCTTTTTACAATACAAATTGCGATAAAATCTGGTATTAGTTAGTTTTGTGAAGAATATGAAAAAGCTTATCGCATTTTGTCATTTGACGCAATTATGTGACCCAGATTATATAAATGTAAATAACTATGTGAAAACATTATAAGTGGGATTTGTAATCGAGATTGATTGAGATTCTAGATTTTTCCTTCTTTTTTTATTGAAGATGATGTTTCGAGATTTGGTTATTGTGGTTTAGAGAATTTCCTGGTTAATTTTTCGAGATGAATCAAAGTTGAGCATTTTTTATGAGTCTGATTTTATCGAAATCTGAAAGATATGCTGAAATATCTAAAACTCTGAAAATTATGTGAATTACCTTCGAAATGTTTTCTTTGTAATGAGCCTAAAAATCCTTCTGATTAAAAATGAATAGAAACATTTTTTCATTGAATTTTTTCTCACATCTTTAGTTTTCATGTCCACCTTTCGCAATCCAAAACTAATTTTATTGAATAATCAAAACTAATCCTATTCTTATGTATGTTTCAAAACGTTTTCCCTTTCGCCACTCCCGAAAATGTATCTAATTCGAAATTGCGCGCATTTTTCTCTTTATCGCAAAAACAATAACAAGAATAACCAAAATCACTGATAACTCGAATCAGCCTAATTTGAATTTTATTGTAAACTATCTTTTCTGTCCGCGCGCGCGCGCGACAAAACAAAACTATGTTGACCTGATTTCCACATCTACTACTCGGGCAGCCGTCGGGCGTCTGTGGTTGACTGGCTAGTTAATGTGTATGGAATGAATGAAGAAAAGAGAACAATGGATAAATGATCATGTCTTTTTGTTGTTGTTATTGTGGTTTTCCTTCGGGCGGGAGAGGAAAAAAGTTTGTGAAAATTAGAGAAATAAAATGACCATACCATATAGAATAATTTTATGATGCGATTTTTCTGCCATATTTACCTTCCGACTTTTTCTATCATCCTCCACATATTTGGCAACAAATGTTTGTTTATTTGTCTCGCAGATGTACCGTTTCCCCTTTTATTCATCATAAATATATAATTTTTTTCTCCCAATAAATTTCCAAATTTTCTGAAACATTTTTCTTCTTCTTCTTTTACTGCCCACTTATTACATATATTTTATTATTATTTATATATTATTCAAGTACTACCCGTTATGTAAAGATAGATTTTGTATTTATCTCTATATTTGATCTATTTTTGGAACACTCAAACACTTGTCACCGTCTGCTAGTTAACTCAAAAATATTTACCTTTTTTTTCAAATATACATATGTTTTTCGTTTTTTTTTCAGATACAGATATTTTTTATTTGGAGTATGAACTTTGACAATGGTTTTAGTTACTAAAGTAAGTTTTTTGATGTGGAGTGCGAAATAAATTTGGTAAAATTCAACATTTGAATTTGAAATTGACAGTTTCGGAAAAAAAAACATTTTTTTTTTCAGGGAGACTTCATTTGGATAGAACCTGGTAAATCCGAAGGTTCTATTCCGATCGGAGCACGTGTTATTGATCAAGATCATGGACGGTTGAAAGTAATTGATGATTTGGGAAAAGAACAATGGCTGTCTGCAGATCGACGAGTTCGAATTATGCATCCAACATCAGTACAAGGTGTTGAGGATATGTGTCAACTCGGAGATTTTCACGAAAGTGCTATCCTTCGAAATTTATTCATTCGATATCGCGAGAAATTGATTTATGTAAGTTTCTATTGCCTTGAGAGAGTTCCGTGTTCTGTAATTTCTTGTTTTTAAAGTTCAAATGAGAAACTATTACCTTCGTTTCTTCAAAAAAAATGAATTTGTTCCAGGCATATACTGGATCAATTTTGATAGCTGTGAATCCTTACATGGATATTGCAATTTATACAGCTGATGAGATTCGAATGTACAAACGAAAACGAATTGGAGAATTGCCTCCACATATTTTTGCGATCGCAGATAATGCATACACAAATATGCGAAGAGAAAAACGAAATCAATCAGTAATTATCAGCGGAGAATCTGGAGCTGGAAAAACTGAATCAACCAAACTTGTCCTTCAATTTTTGGCAACAATTAGTGGACAACATAGTTGGATTGAACAACAGGTTCTTGAAGCAAATCCTGTTTTGGAAGCATTTGGTAATGCGAAAACTATCAGAAATGATAATTCATCAAGATTCGGAAAATATATTGATGTTCATTTTAATGAGAGTGGAAGTATTGAGGGCGCAAGAATTGAACAATATCTTCTCGAAAAATCAAGAATTGTAACACAATCTGAAAATGAAAGAAATTATCATATTTTTTATTGTTTACTGGCTGGATTGAGTCGCGAAGAAAAAGCTGAACTTGAATTGGGAAATGCGGCTGATTATTTTTATTTGATTCAAGGAAAAACATTAACTGCTGAAGGTAGAGATGATGCTGCAGATCTTGCTGAAATTAGAAGTGCAATGCGGGTTTTGATGATGAATGAACAAGAAATATGGAGTATTTTCAAGTTGTTAGCCGCGCTTTTGCATATCGGAAATATCAGATTCCGTGTTAATAGCAATGATAACATTGAGAGTGTTGATGTATCTGATTTTTCAACATTGGTCAGAATTTCGAAACTTTTACAACTTCGTGAGCAAGATGTTTTAGATGCTATTACCACAAAAAGTTTGGTTACTCGAGAAGAAAGAGTTATCTCAAGATTAAATGGTGAGTTAGAATGACCGAAAAATTTTATGAAATAAATTAACACCATACACTTGAAAACCTAGAGAATGTGTTCATAAATCTTGTTTTTTTTCAGGACAACAAGCAATTGATGCTAGAGATGCCTTAGCTAAAGCAATTTATGGTAAACTATTCGTTCATATTGTTCGAAGAATCAATGATGCGATTTACAAGTAAGAATTTTCTAACCCATTCTATTTCGTTCCAATCAAAAAAACAAACAACTTTTAGACCATCACAAGTTAAACGAACTTCGATAGGAATCCTTGATATTTTTGGTTTTGAAAACTTTGAAACAAACAGTTTTGAACAATTATGTATCAACTATGCTAATGAATCATTGCAACAATTCTTTGTGCAACACATTTTCAAAATGGAGCAAAAAGAATATGATGAAGAAAACATTAATTGGCGACACATTAAATTTGTGGATAATCAAGCGACAGTTGACCTAATCGCTCAAAAACCATTAAACATCTTATCATTGATTGATGAGGAGAGTATATTCCCGAAAGCAACAGATAAGACAATGTTGCTAAAATTGCACGCAACACACGGAAAGAATGATTTATATCTTCAACCGAAATCTGAACTTCAGCGAGCTTTTGGTATCACTCATTTTGCTGGAAATGTGTTTTACAATACTCGAGGTTTTTTGGAAAAAAATCGAGATTCGTTCTCTACAGATTTATCAGCATTGATTTCCTCAACAAAAATGCCGTTCCTTTCAAGATTATTTGATGAAGATACTTATGATACAGTAGGATCACGGAAAAAGTTTACTGTTGGAAATCAATTCAGAAAATCATTAGAACAATTAATGGGACAATTAACACATACTCATCCATTTTTCATCAGATGTATCAAACCAAATGAGCTAAAACGAGCATTAGTTATGGATCGAGATTTAGTTTTGAGACAGTTGAGATACAGTGGAATGATGGAAACTATTAAAATTAGAAGAAGTGGTTATCCAATTCGACACGATTATTATCCATTTGTGTTTAGATATCGCGTTTTGGTACCATCTTTGTGTGAGTGAAACTTATTTTACATAAATTAAAAAAAAATAAATTAAATGAGTAGAAAAAAAAAAGTTGGAAGAAAAACGCTCTGGCCTAGTAAACCAATTTTTTATTATTCTCTTCCAACTGCCTAATTTTTTTTTTCGCATAGTGCGTCTCCAAACTTTTTCCTCAATAAAAAATTGTTTTAGATGGTCCAATCAAACGTCTTAATCTCCATGAAGCCGCCAAACATATCTGTCACAAAGTTCTCGGACAAAATGCTGATTATCAATTGGGTAAAACCAAAGTTTTCCTAAAAGATCGTCATGATTTGATCCTCGAACAAGAATACTATCAAACTCTTGAAGACAAAGCAATTACAATTCAGAAAAATGTTAAAAAATGGTTGGCCAAAAGAGATTTTGATAGACAAAGAGAAGCTGCAATTGTTATTCAAACTACTTGGAGAGGCTATGATCAAAGAAGACGCTATAAACAGGTAATTTTTTTTTAATTTTTTAATAGAAAAAACGAGAAATATTTAAACATTTCTATTAAAGATTATTGCTGGATTTGCTCGACTTCAAGCTCTTCTCAGAAGTCGTCAACTTGTTCAACATTACCAAAACATGCGAAACACAATCATTCAATTCCAAGCAATTTGCAGAGGAACACTTGTTAGACGAAAAGTTGTTGAAATGCGAAGAAGAGGAGTTCAAAAAGCTCCGATTATTGTCGCGGAAACATCTTCCATCGATTCAGTCATTTCAGACACACACGAAGAAGAATTAGTGAGTTTTCCGAATAGTTTTTCTTTGAACTTTTTTATTACCTGAAGGTCGATTTATTGGACGCCAGGAATTCAAAGGTGAACTAGTGTTGTGTGGTGACTTCTCTCACTTTTTTTTGAAATTGAATTTTTGACTTCTCTGGGTTCTCTACTCTACTTACTTACAATTACTATGGGTTTTCAATTCTATTTTTCTAATTATTTATTTTCAGGTCGGGCATTTGTTTGATTTCTTGCCATCGGATGGTAAAGATTCTGGAAATGAAAATGATTCAAACTACAGTAGTCGAAGAGGATCATATTCAAAGAGAAACGTGAGTTCCACAAAATCATAATTAAAAATTAAAACACAAAAAAACAAAAAAAGTTTCTAGCCATCACCCGTTTTACCAATTGCTATGACATCAAATGAAATAATCGTGGAAGATGATTTATCAAAATATCAATTTGGAAAATATGCCGCAACATTTTTCCAAGCTCAAGCCTCTGCTGTTCATGTTAAAAAACAAATTAAAGTTCCACTCCTGACTCATAATGATGCGAGTGCTCAACTTGGAGCATTGGCAGTTTGGACAACTATTTTGAGATTTATGGGTGATTTACCAGATGTTAAACCTGGCACCACACCTGGAACTGATGATTATGATAAAACACCAGTGATGAGTAGATTATATGCAACACTTGGAAGAAAATATTCAGCAAAAGATGTTGAAGAAGCATCAATTGCAAGTGAATATGGAACGGGAAATAAAACTTTGAAAAAAGGAATGGGTAAGAAATTGATCAGTATGACATTGAAACGAAAAAGTAAAATAACAACATCGGATACATCTTCAATGTCATCAGATAGCACATATTCTTCTGGATTCAACGCTCTTCTAGAAAACAAGCCAATGAGTAGTTTAGACAAGTTACATTATATCATTGGTCTTGGAATTCTTCGAGAAGATTTGCGAGATGAAATTTATTGTCAATTATGTAAACAGTTGAGTGCAAATCCATCAAAATTATCAGCAGCAAGAGGATGGATTTTGCTATCATTGTGTGTTGGATGTTTTGCGCCAAGCGAAAAATTCATCAAATATCTTTATTGTTTTATTCGAGAGCGTGGACCTGCTGGTACAGGATATTCTGCATATATTGAAGAACGTTTGAGAAGAACACAAATGAACGGAACGAGACATCAACCTCCAAGTTATGTTGAGTTGCAAGCAAATAAATCGCAAAAACCTGTGGTTCTTGCGGTAACATTTATGGATGGAAGTGTTAAAACATTATGTGCTGATAGTGCAACGACTGCTGCTGAACTTTGCAAACAATTATCTGAAAAAGTTGGACTTACAAATTCCTTTGGTTTCAGTTTATATATCGCACTTTTTGATAAAGTATCTTCTCTCGGAAGTGGAACTGATCATGTTATGGATGCTATTTCTCAATGTGAACAATATGCAAAAGAACAAGGTCGACAAGAGAGAAACGCTCCGTGGCGATTATTCTTCCGAAAGGAAATATTCAGCCCATGGCATGATCCAAGAGATGATCAAGTTAGCACAAATTTGATATATCAACAAGTTATTCGTGGAATTAAATATGGTGAATATCGATATGATAAAGAGGAGGAACTTGCATCAATTTGTGCTCAACAATATTATATTGATGAAGGATCTATGGATGTTACAAAATTAGAAAATCATCTTCCGAATTATCTTCCAGATTTTGAAATGACTGGAAAAGAGATGGGATTGGAACGATGGACACAAACTGTGATGCATCAATATCGCAAAAAATTCACTGGTCGACTTCCAACTCCTACTGAAGTGAAAGAAGATGTTGTATCATCTGCAAAATCGAAATGGCCATTGTTGTTTTCAAGATTCTATGAAGCTTTGAAGTTTGCTGGTCCACCTCTACCTAAAAATGAAGTTATAATTGCTGTCAACTGGACTGGTGTCTATGTTGTTGATGATCGAGAACACGTTATGTTAGAATTCAGTTTTCCAGAAATTTCAAACGCTGTCCACGGAAAGTATGTTTCATTATAAATATAGAAAATATATATTGAAAATTGATATTTTTCAGAGGCAAACGTAGTTCCACTGATACTTGCACAATTCGAAGTGTTGCTGGAGAAGAATACACTTTCCAATCACCAAATGCTGATGATATTACTAACTTGATCAATTCGTTTTTAGATGGCCTCAAAAAGCGAAGCCGATATTTGGTAGCTATCAAGTCACAGAAGGGAGATGGTAAGATTTATAGTTTCGAAATTCTCCCCTCACATGAAACATTACAGAATCTAATAACTTCCTGGAATTTGAGAAAGGAGATTTACTAACTTTGATCAATGATTTCACTGGAAGCACATTGTTAACTGAAAGTGTTGTTAGAGGTGAAAATGCTAGAACATGTCTCTTTGGTCTTATTCGATCCGAAAATGTCTATGTTCTTCCAACACTAGTGAAACCAACCAAAAACACTCTGCAAATATTCCCGAAAAATGCCGATCTTGCCCTAGATCTTTTGAACAACAACAATAAAATGGTTCATCATATAGATTACAATGCTGAACCTTACACACTTCAAAGTTTTGCAGAAGAAAATTTCAAGTGAGTTTTTGAGAAAAAAAATATTTCTGGAATGATTTGTTTTTTGTAGCATTCAAGTTCGTCGGGTTGGTTCACAATTATCTCTGATGACTCTCCGAAAAAAAGAGACTAGCGTGGAGAACTGGAGATTCTCTCGTGAACATATTGATCAACCACTTTTGAAAAAATTAAATGGACGAGATGATGCTTCTAGAGGAGCTGTCGAAATTTTCGCATCAATGATGAAATATATGGGAGATGAGCCATCGAAGCGAAATCGATTAGGAACTCATTTAACAGATCATATTTTCAAACTTCCAATTTCGATGGAAGTATTACGTGATGAATTATATTGTCAACTTGTCAAACAGTTGACTTATAATCCATCAATAATGTCAGAAGAAAGAGGCTGGGAATTGTTATGGATGGCTACTGGATTATTTGCACCAAGTGCCACGTTAGCAAAAGAAATATCGCATTTCCTTAAAAGTCGACCACATCCAATTGCATTAGATTGTCAAAATCGAATGCAAAAGTTGGCAAAGTAAGTTATCCTCATTACCATGACATACCTAAATGTTTCATTTTCAGAGGAGGAAATCGAAAATATCCACCACATCTTGTTGAAGTTGAAGCTATCCAACATAAAACTACTCAAATTTTCCACAAAGTATTCTTCCCTGATAACACTGATGAAGCAATTGAAGTCGATTCAGCAACAAGAGCTCGTGACTTTTGCCAAAAAATTGGTTATCGTTTGGGTTTGAAGAATTCGGAAGGATTCAGTTTGTTTGTGAAGATCAAGGATCGAGTCTTGGCTGTTCCAGAAGTCGAATTTTTCTTTGATTTTGTGAGACAACTTTCTGATTGGGTTCATACTAATCACACAATGCAGAAAGATTTGATCCCAATCAATTACCAAGTTTATTTTATGAGAAAATTATGGTTCAATGTAACACCTGGAAATGATCCACAAGCTGATTTGATATTCCATTATTATCAAGAATGTCCAAAATATTTGTTAGGATATCATAAGACAACTAAAAATGATGTGGTTGAATTAGCAGCTTTGATTCTTCGAGCGATGACAAAGGATAATAAACATGCACCTTTAGCACAAATACCTCAACTTATTGATGAATTAGTGCCTAAAGATTCATTAAAAATGTTCAGTGCTAGTGAATGGCGAAAAGTCATAAGTAATGCTTATGCGAGAGTTGAACATTTACGAATGGATCAAGCTAAACTCGAATTTCTTAATTATATCTGCCGCTGGCCAACTTTTGGATCCGCATTTTTCCCGGTAAGAATTGTTATGTTGAATTTTTTAAATTCAGTGATTTTTATAGGTTTCTCAATACTCTGACCTTAGTCTTCCTGATAGATTGCTCATTGCAATCAATCAAAATGGTGTCAATATTTATCATCCAGAAAATAAAAACCTGCTTGTTCAATATCCATTCAACGTGATATGCAATTGGACAAGTGGAAATACTTATTTCAATATGACTGTTGGAAATATGCTCAAAGGAAATGAGGGCAAAAAGTTATTACTGGACACTACTATGGTACATTATCAATATTTAGTTTTTACAATTCAAAAAAAATGATTTTTTTAGGGTTATAAAATGGACGATTTGCTTACCTCCTACATCTCATTGATGATATCGAATCAATCGCAAAATACACCAAAACATCGAGAGATGGCTCTATAAAACAGTGTCATTTTATTATCAATTATTGTTATTATTTGAAAATGCTGGTTTTCTTGCTCATTCTTTCGTTTTTTTTAATTTGTTTTTTTTTCAATTTTTTGTGTAAAAAGGTATTGGACAAAAAAGTATTTATTCAGTTAAACTCATAAACTTTTTCAATAGTCTGGATTTATCAAAAAAAATTTCAGATAAAATTATTTTTCAGACTTTTTTTTTTGAAATAAATACTATTTTCGTCAACAAAGTTTTGATGAACCTCTGGGATCGGAAAATATCGATCAAATTTTTCAACAATTTTTCTATAGTGAATTGAAACATCATGTTTGAAAACCTGAAATTCAAAACAATTGTCAAATTTTTTCTAGTCTATTTCCAACCTTGAATTGTTTCAGCAGACTATCTCAAAATCCCACACAAACGATAATAAGTATGCAAATCTTGTCAACATTGCCAGAGGGTTCGCTCGTCTGATGGCTAAGCTGTTTGTTCTCTTGTCGTAAGGTCGAGTCCGAACATTTTCACATTTCGAGAAAATATTTATATCATAAAATCAATTCAAGTCAAATCAAAAATAATATCATTAGGATGTGGATTCGTATAAATTATGTACAACCAAAAGGCACAACTCGATAAAAGAGTATAACCTGGGATTTTGTTTTAAAAAACAAACTAAATAACTACAATGAATTGGCAAGGAGACAACAACGGACAAAACTACAACGTAGGATGGGAACTTATAGAATAAATGAAAAAAAATGAACAATGATGGGAGAAAATATAAAAAGTATTAAAGCAGAACAAAAACAATTTTCGACAATTTTTGATACAATTATTTGCTCGACGAGCTGTCTGTTGATGATCTTTCATCAGTTGGTGTACGATTTCCAGATGAATGACAAGTTTGAAAATAGTTCAAAATATCCGAATAGCTTACTATTGCTTGAATTTGAAGCTTTGTATTTACAATTGGCTGAAATAACAATTATTTACTGATTTATTCCTAAAATGCTGTTCTCATTTCTTACCAAGCACTGTTTATCAGTATTTTCCATTTTTCTGATTGTCTCAAAAATCGTCATATCACAATGTCCAAAAATTGGGCGATTTTTCATTGTGGGAAGACTCTGAAAAAACAATAATGTTTTTTTATCGTCAAATATATGTTTTTGATTTACCTTAACCGGTTGGTCAAGAACAACACAGGTTGTTTGTTGGCACATGACTTCGTTGACTAGATCTTTACGACTGATCAATCCGACTAGTTGATCGAAATCATTCAAGACTGGCAGCGTCGAGAATTTTCGTTCGACGAATATTTTCACGGCATCTTTGATTGGAGTGTTATGATTGATCTGAAAATAACAATAATTTTTTAATGTTATTTTTTTACTGATATAATGGCGGTTGATTTGGAACGAAATCAAATCTCTATCAGAAATTGTTAACATATGGAGATATTTTTTTATTCTGACAAAAAACTGTTAAAAAAATATCGAAATTTGAGTAAAAATAGTTGAAAATACAGTTGGAATTGACCACTGTGAAAATCCGTTTTTTTTCAGATTTTCGAAATGTTATCCATTGGTGAACTTTATTTTAAAAACAAATCTTCCCGGAAATAAATTTTCCTTTAGTGAATTTGTTGGGAAAAGTTCCTTGTTTTTTCACCCTTATTTTCTCAAAGGACTTCATTTTATCAGTAGAACTTCCTTATTTTTATTTTTATGTTCATAGCTCACTCAAAAAATATTCCATAGTGATTTTCAAAAAAACATCTGTTAATCCCTAATCGTGAGATCTAATATTGTAATGAATGAAGAATGATTTCATTAATCATATTATTTCTTCCAAATCCCAAAATTAGTAACAAGAAACCAAAAAACACGTGTTTGTTGTTCATCACTAATCTACTCCAATACAATTCCCCCCCAAGTTTGGTGTCCTCCTTTTCTTCTTCTTCTTTCTCTGTCTTTCTATTTTTACAAAAAGAAAAATAGAAGACCACACTGCGAAATTGTGGCTTCCGACAATAACAAAATCTTGATATATATGTATGAGAAGAAAGCACATGAGAGAAATGCAGAGTTAGTTAGAGAAGAGAATAAAGAGACAGCCCGACAAAAAACCTCTATTTCAACAATAACAAAAAGTGCACACCGTGTGACCTTTCAGCAGAGTTGTTTTGAATAAAAAGAGACCGATGGTCAACTCTCTTTTCTCAATTCTTACCGTAACAAAATCACTCCATGTTCCCAATTTTTTCTGATCAATTGTTGCCATTCGAACTGGTAGAAGATTACCATCACAATGATCAGTCTGAAATGTGAAAAGTTTGAAATTTTTTAAATTTAAATGGCACACTGAAACTAACCAATCTGAGAACCGATTGATGAAGAATTAATTTGGCAGTGAGGAAAAACAATGGTGTCGCTGGTTTAGGTTCGACTGTGTCGAAGATTGGAATTGCGTGAAGGCGGTTTAATGAGAGAACTTTTCCTGCCTCCCAGATGCTGAAAATATAAGTATTAAGAAAACAAAACTAGCAAATTAGTACGAATTCTGAATTTTTTATTAGACAAAATCACTCTAGAAGTCTCACTAATTTCTCTTGTGACATCATTTGGATTTTTCACTTTACACTAGATCTGAAACTAACCTTTTTTCAACATCACTGCAAATCAACGCGCTAGACCCGTATTGCTTAACAAACTCGATAACAGTTTTTCCAGCTACTTCTTTGTCACCCGTTGCAACCATCATTATTGCAGTAAGACAATCGTTCATAGTGAATACACCTTCAGAAATTTGCTTCTCTGTATCCATAATGACACCATAACAATGCCCTTGAGCACACAAACCATTTACAGCTGATTTGACCTGAACGATTGTGTTTTGATTGGAAATCATGGGATTTTTCAATTTACCTTTGTTCTGCTATCAAAAACAATCAATGCGGCATGAGTTGGTTGAACATCATAACAAGTGAAAGCTTTCATATATGTTTGATAAGCATCAGTATTTTTGTCAAATCCAGACAACACTTCATAATTTCGATCTGTGAAAGCTCGAATTGGTCGAAGAATTGCAAAATCCTGAAATATATTTGAATGTATTTCATTGAATTTTTAAGAAACAAGAAAACTGTATCAACTAGCTATGGAATTGTTTGTCTAAACTTTCAAAAAATCAGATATCCTTTCAGTTTTAAGGAGGTACCACCAAATATTTTATGCAAAAACTCGATAGCAAGTTGATAAAAGCTTTCTTCTGAGTTTGACTAACACATTGTCTGAAAACATTTTCCGGAACACTCATTCTTCTTCTCGACATTCCAACTGCTCCGACATCCTCATCAGTTTCCATATTTTCTGGTGTTTGATGATAGGTATAGGATGTTTTTCGGTTTGGATCTGTTGGTTTTTGAAGTTGATTTCTCGATTGCATAGTGTACCGTCGCCGATTTGATGAAGATGTTGGCAATTGCAATTCGCGGATGCCAAACGAGCTGCGACGCGAATTCTCATTACTGGTCCCTGATTCATATCTACAAAACAACAAAAATCCCATTTTCACGGGTTGTGTTTTGGTCTTTTTCTCTCAGTTTTTTTTTGGTTTTTTTTTCAATTATTTGAAAACTTGTTTTGCTGTTGTTGATAAATGTTTTTTTATCACAAGATATTTATATCTGTGCCAATTGGATTATAAAAAAAATAAATGGGATTTTTTCGGCTGGAAAAATTTGTGAATATACGATTAAGGTGTTTTGGAAGAATTTTGCGAAAGCTGTACTTTTTAATCTGATTTTGAAAATAAGCTGATTCAAAAAAAAACTATCTATTTTAGTTTTAGAAACTTATATCGTTCAGATGAACTAACCCATGATCCATTGAGTTCCCGTAAATCACATTGTATGGTGTTGTATCCAACATTCTTGGATCACCTTGATGTTGTTGCTGAGGCTGTTGTCTCGAACCAATCTGGAATAAAAACAAATCAAATAAAAATCCCAAAAAAATGTTATCACCCAGGTAACGCTAAAAATTCTGCACTTTTTTAATTGGCTGGCGAAAAAAACAACTAGGTATCTTTTCAAGATGAAACAGAGAAAATCAAAGATTGATTGGTAGACATGAAGAGAAGAGAGTGAGTGAGGGAATACAATGAAAATGTTCTGAAAGTGCATGACGTTTTCAAAAAAAAATTGTTATAAGAAGGGACAAAGATTATTGAAAAGGGAAGGAAAACATTTTTTTTTCTTCTTCTGGTATCGAGAATGAATATAACAATAATGATGATGATGATCCGCTGAAAAAGGGGGAGTGGTCGAGATGTGGAACAAGAAAGAGAACTAGAAAGAGAGATAAATAAAAATTCAATTTCATATGTTTCAGAGTGCAAAAAACATTGCCAGAGGAAAACATTTCGTCATTAAAAATTCCCGAGCTTCAAAAGTTTTGCAGAAAACTCTAGAGTCGTCAGAGATATGTTGGAATAATTTGTGAGAAAATTATATAGTGTTATTAAAAGTGCATTCGGGGAAAAATCTAAAAGTACATTTAAAAATCTGTTTTGCAGCTGTTCCTTTAATGGGTAAACGTCTGGGGTTAGACATTGGACATTTTTCGTATCCTCAACTTTAGATGATGTGGAGAATTTTAATTTTATGGGAAATCTCCAAGTAAAAGATATTGTTAAGTTGCTAGTTATCAAGATCTCGCAAATTAACTTTTGAAAGTCCGACCATGAAATTACTAACTTGAAGGAATCACTTACTTCACCTTTTCGCCTTTCCCACCGTGTACAGTAGTTCTAAACTAACTAGGAAGCGATAGAAAATTTGGTCAAAAAGTGCACCCAACTGCAAAATTCAGAATAATAACTCCACCCCTTACTATACGAATTTCCAGCCCTTTTTCTCAACGAATTTATGTAGTCAGATTACCGTAAGATTTTTGCGATAACTACAAAATGATTTTATTATAACTATACAGAACTCTTGAAAGTGCGTGTTTTTGCAAATCTTTTCTAAGTCTCTTTCAAAAAAATTATATGAGATAAGAATGTTTTCAACAAAATATGAGAAAAATTTTGAAAACTGATAAAAACTAAGCTCTCGATTGTTTCAAGAACCCTTCTGATTTTTCCGAAAAAAAAAACAAAACACTTGAAACGAGTGATATCATTTTTCAAGCATAAATGGAAAGATTTTTCGGAAAATGGAAAAAAAAACTGAAAACAGGAAATTTGCAAAATGGAAAAATAGCATAAAGATCGGAAAATGATAAAAATATTTTTGTTCGAACAGCAGCAGAAAAAATCACGATAACAAAAATGATGTAAAAAAAACAAAACAGTAAAAACTGTGTGTGTTTTTTTTGGCTGGATGGATGCGTCTGAAACAATTTGAGGACTGACACTCACCCACAGTCACTCTCTCTTTCTCTCTTTCAAATAATTCTTTCATTCATTCATTTTTTCTCTGACAAAAACAACAACTAACCCAATCCATCTAACCAAGCATTCAGTGTGTGTATGTGTATGTTCCTTTTTTCTTTCTCTCTCTCTTTTTCCTATGTTTATGTAGTTTTTTGCACGTGGTTTTCGGTTTTTCATGTTATTTTTTTCTATTTTGGCACCGCCCCAAGAATTTTTCTCTAACTAACAATAGGACGGATGGAATTTTGTTTTCAGTTACATCATAGGTCAAAAATCGTTTTTCATTGTTTCAGGGGAAAAATTGAAACATGAGGTTGTTTGGATAAAAACGGGCAGCTGGAAAAACAAGGAATGAGAAAAACTCTGAAAAATATTACACGGTATGAAAACAATGTTTACAAGAGATTTCCTTTGCTGAAAAAAAATTTCAAAATATTTTAACAACAAGATATAGGAGTTCACCTAAATGTGTATCAAACATTTATTTTGTAATGTTCCTAACGTTGTGTTTGAGCAATTTTCAGAAAATGGTTGAGTGAAAGTAAATATATTTTTCAAAAACCCAAAAAAAAACAGGAAAAATCAGAAGATCTTCCAACATAAAAATTACAAAAAAAATATTTTCATGCATGAAAAATCCAGTTTTTTCCACAGGTGTCAAAATTTCAAAGATCAAACAATCCCCTTTACTAGATTTTTTTGACAAAAAACAATTTTTTACTGTTTCAAAATCCATGTTTGCAGAATTTCTCTCTCGTGTTTTGTCACAAGAAAAGTAGCAAAACAATTTCAAGTTTCAAAAATCACATTTTTATTTGTATCTGTTTCAAACATCACGAAAAATGTGGAAAAAAGAGAACTAAATGTTTCAAAAAAACGTGAATGTGAATAAAAAATAGGAATTTGATGAATTGCAATTTTTGGGTACATTTTTTAAATGTTAATTAGAGCAAAATTTCAATGAAACTTGATTAGTTCAGAAAAAATAACTACCTAATTAAAAGCTCTATATTAATTAGTGAACCATTTTTTTTACTGGCTATTGTTTTTCAATTCTCACACACCAAACACCAAACATGAATAGAATATGTTTATGCAACATACACATTTGTACCCAGAATGTCACGCGGATGGATTTCATTTCTTTTTCGAAAAAAATAAAAAAAATAGAAAATAATGATGAATTTTTTCAACATTCATTCATTTGCGTAGGTGTGGTGGAGATTATCTTGCTAAATTTGAACATGTAAACAAGTTCTATTTTTTGAGATCGGAAACTTTTATTCAACAAAAATTCTTTAGGATCAGAAAATCGGAAAAAAAAATCAAGTGATGCCAAAAAAAATATCAAGTGATGCCAAAAAAAATATCAAGTGATGCCAAAAAAAATATCAAGTGATGCCAAAAATGAAAATAAATAATTTTTAGAATCTCAAGGAATAAGAAAAATGTTAATAAATTCAATGACTCTTAAAATCGTCCATATTTGTCTATATTTAATCAATTTCAGTCAATTTCCGGAAGTAATTTTTGTTGTTTTCTTTCCTATGAACTTTCCAGGAATAAATGTTTCCTGGAAAGGATTTATCAAATAGAAATTTAAAAAATTGTCATATTTGAAATAAAAAATTTCCGAAGTTCCTAACAATTTTTCAAATGTTTTGAAACTCAAAATTGGAACGAACTCACCACTTTTTTCATCAGAATTATTTTAAGCTACCAAAAAAAATTTTTGCGAGAGAGACAAGGAAAAGTGCATTTTCACATCGTCATGTGCGGATTTCCAAATGGGAATTTTCCTGGGAAAACTTGAAGAAGACTTTGTTTTTTTCTCATTAGAATTTCATGAAAAAAATTCCCCCAAAAAATAAATAAGAAGCATTTTCGTCTGTTCGGAAAAAATGAAATGAGAAAAAATGCCGGCAGAATTTCATCAAACTGATGTAATTTTGGTTGTTTTTCTGTTTTTCAAGAGCATTGCACTTGGTTACTAAAGAGGAAATTGTTTTGAATCACCCATTAACTTTACAAATATGCCAGGGTTGATTAACTCGAACAGTGCACCCAGAGACAAAACTTACAGTAACTCCTTGAAAACGAACAGAGAGAACATTTGTGGCAGGTTCGCTGTTTCGTCGCGCTTTTTGATGATGATTACGGTGAAATAGTCGTTCAAACATTTATATTTTGAAGTTCTGAAAATCAAACCTCGTGACAAAAAATGTATTAAAAAAAACAAATATTGAAACCGATGTTTCAAACATTTCAAAAAAGTGAATTTAATCCAAATTTTAATGGGTATTGAAAAATTGAAAAATGTTTCTGAGCAAGAGCAAATATAGGAACTTAAAAAAAGTGCAAAAATTTTGATTGAAGAAAATGGGCGGGATAGAGATGGTTCGCGCTGAAATAGAACAGAGAATATAAACGAATCGGAAATGAAAAAAACTGTGCACTTTTATGAAAACAAAATTTAGTTTTAAATGAAGTTTTTTTTTGAAAAATATTGGAAAAGAGGCAAATGAAAGCATCAGTCTTCATTTTTTGTAAGAAGCCTGCAATTATTATTTTTTGTATTTTTTTTTGGTGGAAAATTGATATTTGATATACTTCATCTTATTTTTGATTATAACATTTTGAAGCAACGAAAAAAAAAACAAAAATCCGTGGGCGCAAAATTTATGGTGTCGCCGACATGTTTCCGATTCATCCTCAAACAAGTAACATATAAATTGTTGGGAACAAAAAGCGAAAAGAACAAAGAAAATGGTGTTATTCATAAAAAAAGGAACTTTTTGGGTTTTGAACCACATGTTTGTTACTTGATAATGTTGTTCTGATGTTTGAAAAAAAAAACTTTTTTGTTGTTGCAAAAAATGAGAGATTCTTTCACGCAAGATATGAAAACAATATTATTTATTGTTTGTTTGTGAGAAAGTTTTTTAAGAAAAAATCTTTGGTTTATTTGAAATTTGCACTTTTTTGGAACTCCAGGTGGAACATTCAAAATTGTTTCAAGATTATTAAAAATAATTTGTGAGTGAAGATGAAGAAGTAATTTTTGAAGCAAAACTTCCAGTAATTTTTTTTAAAGCAAAACTTCAAGTGCATTTTGATTTTCGTGCTCAAACTGTAAAGTTGAACAATAATAACCTCAATTTTTCAGTTCGCAAAAATAGAATATAGTATTTTGTTTGAAAGCACGTGTTTCGAAGGTCCAGGTGGAACATTTCAAAATGTTTCAGATACTATACGAAAATAATTTTGGAATTCAATCTATTTTTAGGCTAACCCAAGTCAATTTTTTTTTTCAAAAATGAAACATTTGAGAGTTTTCGATCTCCAGAACCTATTGGTCTGAAAGTTCAAATATTAGTCATTTGTACTTCTGATAGACCACGAATGTTGTCTGGGAATTTTGTTGATCTCAATTCGTGCTGGTCACGATTTTTCTTGTGTTCATACTTTTCTGAATGATAAACTAAATGTAAGGAATTCGAAATAGTATAGATATTCAAACTCCCACGCAAAATGATGAGAAGAAAATACGCCTACATTTTTTCAGCTGCTTGGTAAATCCCAGGGGTTTTTTAAGAGTAAGTAGAAGTTCGGAGAATGTTTTGAAAATAGACTTTTTTATCTGACGAGAAGTTCTTTAGTGGTATATAAAAATTTGTCGATTTTCTGAGTTGAAGAATATCAAAATAGTTCCGAGTTGGATCAAAAAAATTCGTAGTAATAAATTTAATTGGAAATTTTTTGAAGTTTTTTTTAATACTACTTACACAAGATTGCAAACTTTCAAGGTATTTGATATGAAAAGTGTTTCACAAAAATCTATCAGAAGTCAATTCAAGTCTTTTCACTTACCTCCGAGGAAAAAATATATTTGAATCAACAAAACAACTTTTTTGATCTATCAAAAATAAACTGACAAAAAATTTAAAAAGTGACGAATGATTCTCGTAGAATTAAAAAATCCTATGAAAATCAGCCAAGCGTTTCTTAAAAAGTATAATGCAAATTCTTCAATGTTCTATTTTCTCGAAACATTTTTTTTCAATATCATGTTTATTTTTCGTTGAATCCAAAAACATACAAACATAGCTGGTAAAAGAATAGCGAATTTCTAGAATTGAAGAGTTCTTCCTAAAAGCCTAAATCTGACCAGCATTGTGAATAAATGGGATTTTACAAAAATAATGGGAATAAAAATGAAAAATGTAAGAAAAAGAAAAGAAAAGGAAAAAAACTCGAGATCTAAAGTATCAAAATAATAATGGAAAGACGATGATGTCAATGAGAAATTACAAAATACAGAAAAAATAAACATGGTTAGCCGTATGGTTATTTATAGATAGTTATGACGTTTTTGATCATTCTTCTGAAGCCACTTTTTTCCGACGTTTTATATCGAGTTTAGTTCGGAGAATACTGTAAAAATATGCATTTTTCATACTTTTGATGTTTTTCTGTAAAATTAACTCACTGATTTATACTACTTCTTGAAGGAGCATTTTCACGTGTACAAATACCATCTCGAATTAGTTGCTCACGAATTTCCGATTGACGACACATTCCAAGTCGACTTCTGAAAAATTACAACATGCTTTCTTTTTTCCCAGAAGAATATAATAAAAAGTATGATAAAATGTGAAAATAATTCTCGTATTCGAGGGTACCGATAGTCTCTGACTGCTAAAACTAGCGGTGATTCAGTTCGTCCTTCTTTTGCATCTTTTGGTTTGACTGATCCAGTTTGTCGATATCTATTTAGAATTTTGCTGACACAACTGTGTGTTACGCATAAACGTTTTGAAATGTCACATATCTTCCAACCACCCTGCAAAAATTGAGAAATTCTGCGAAAAGGGAAAATTAGACTAACCTGAAACAATTTGACAATTTCTTCACGTTCACACATTGATAAGGGCAGGCCAGGACTATAAGTTCGACCAAGTTGATTTCGACCTGGAAAAACTGAAATAACAATTTGTGAAAATATCAGAATTATTTGTATGAACAGAAGAGGATAGAAGTGAGTGGAGTATTTTAAGAATGAATACAATTTATTTGCTTTTGTGAATTATCGGTGTTTCAGATGTTATGAAACAATTCTCTAAAAAAGAGAAGTTTTTTTTAGAATTATTTTCGTCTGTAACTGTAATTTTTTTTCAATTTGAATTTTTAGAATTTTAGTAACTAATTTTTTTGATTCCATATTTTTGATAAGTCTCTTTCAATTTATCTCACCTGAACTTCTTGCAACATCTTTTTCATATTGTGGAGGTGGCGGAACATCATAATCCACAGAAGAACAAGATAATGATGATGGTGAACCGCTATCAGATGATTCCGTATATGGATAATATTGTGGATATTGATGACTGAATTCATTGATTTCCGTTTGAAAATACTGCTGCGGTGGTGGATCACTCTGTGAAATGTTGGATTTTGTGTAAATGTGTTCAATTTTTCAATTGGGGAAATTACGAAACTTACATTTAACCAAGCATAGAAATCTCTCTCAAGAGTTTCTGGCGTCGATAAATCAATGATTGGTACATCCATACCAATTCCTGTAAATATCTCATTTAGCCAAATGATATTAAATCATACAAAATGTAATTATGCTATAAAATGCGGCAAGATGATAAAACAAAACGGTTAAAAGAAGCGGGAAATGGATTTTTGTTGGTTTGGTTGGTTGAAATGAAATGAAATGATTCAATGAAAAAAAAAAACAAAACATGTATAGATAATTGATAACAGGGAGAGATTTTTGGCATCTGTGAAAGTTGGGAGGCAAAAATAAAAACAGAATAACAGAATGACAAAAACTAGAAACAAAACAAGATAATAATATTATACGAATAAAATTAGTGACCATCTAATTGCCAAAAATAATATTTTTGGGGGATTTTTGAAACAGTGAAACTTTTTGTGGACTTAAAATGAATCACTTATCAAGACAACGAATGAAAATGAAACTATTCATCAAATTTAGAAAAATGCTGAAAAATAACGATGGGAGGACAAAAGTGACCAATTGAATACAAACAATGGCTGAAAACGAGATTTGATAAAAAACAAAACAACAAAATACAGTATGACAAGTTTTATATACTTGTTAGAGACTATTTTGCAAAAAAATAAAAAAAACAAAAACAAATTTTTTGTTTTCTTTTTTTCATTATTTATCATATCATATAATTGAACTGAACTGTGTCATTGTTTAACTTTTTTGAAACAGTTGTGATCGAAAAATAAAAAATAAAACAGATGATATTAAAATATAGAAAAAAATAACATAATAAAATAATAATCAAAAATATCTAGTTTTTTATGGTTGAAGGAAATGTTATTGAGAGGTTCTCAATAGCTTTTCGGATGTTTCAAAGAATGCAAAATTTTGAAATAAAAAAAGTTTATTTCAAGTGCGATTGAAAAATGGTTTGTGATTATTATTATTGTGTTTTGTTTTGTTTCTTTTGGTCTCAAGTTTTTTTGCCGTGGGCAGAAAAATCGGCAAATTTTTTCGATGAAGAAGAGGAAGGAAAGAAAGAGATAGACAGATTACGTAATTATAAATAATAATCTTGAGAAGTTTCCAGAACAGTCCATTATAATTGCAATTTCAGAAAGTACTGGGTGTTTACAAAGGAAAATATAACAATTTAGAGCTCCTCAAACAATTTGAAAAAAAAAACACCTGTGTGAGGTTTTGAATGAGATCAAAAGATTAAACCAAAATATATGTTATCATCAACGAAAATCATACATTTTTTTAGAAATAATTAGAATCGGGGTACAACATTGTTTGTTGAACTAATATCAAAAGGGACCACTCATAAAGCGAGACAGACAGCTCGTTAAACAAAAATTCAAAAACCGCCAAAAAAGTCCAAAATTTCAGAAGTTCAATTTTCTTCAAAAAATTATTTTCAGACATCAAAAACCTATTCATAAAACTTCAAAATATTCTTACGTAATTTATTAAATGACCAAACGAGATAATAATCGAATATGAAAAAAGCCCGATGCCACAGAGAATTAGAAAAAAAAATGAAAATTCATTGGGGCCGGTATAAATCTAGATAATCATCATAATTAATATTATTTTCATAAGCAGGGTGGCAAATTTATGTATTATATTAGCCAAAACATAACAGATAAACACACCTGATATTCTTCTTCTTCTTTTCGGCATTGCGTGACCGACTGTCTGTTTTTTTTGGCGGCGGGGCAGTCTAATCTGAGACTGTGTGTGTGTATTTTTTTTAGCTTGTCGTTTCATTTTCATTTTCTGCCTGACTGAGTGCGTGAAAGTGATGAGAAGTGAAAACGAAACGAGATTTGTTATGATTAGGCGGATTTATTAGATGGCATTAATTATTTTTTATTTGTTTAGATATTTATCTGTTTATGTTAGAAATTAATGCTTACGGCAAAGAAAAGGGTTGAATTTATGATGATGATTATATGTGTTTTAGAAAAGTGATTTGAGAGAAAGGTGTTTGATATTTTGATACTTGGGAAGGGGAATCTAAAAGATTCTAGAGATACGTTGATTGAGAAAAATAGCTTCAGGTTTACATTTTTCCAATAAAAGTTTGTTAAAAAAAACTCAGTTCATGAAAAAATTTCATTATGTTTCAGAAATGAAAATCGGGATTTATTTCGGTTTTAACAAGCATTTTCAATTTCAGATATATGCAGTTCTTGTTTTCTTTTTGAGAAAGAGTAGATTTATTGAATTGTAAGACTTATTTCAAAAATTTAAAATAACAAGGCTTATACAAGTTCCAAAATATAATATTTCAAGCTTTGGAAACTATTTTAAAAAATTCAAACACTCGAAAAATATTTTCTCGCAGTTAAATTCAAAAAAGTCTCAAAAGTCAATGAAAAAGCGGATCTAAGCAACTGGTAGATGAAGCACAAGAGGATTAGAAGTTTAGGAAGCCTAGAAAGGAGGGAGGAGTGAGGAGGGTTCCCGTTTTAACCGGTGGCCAATCGGCTAATTGTCCTTTATCCTTGTCTTGATCCTTCGCCATGACCAACATCGTTTTACTATATTTTATATGAAATGTTCAGAAAAAAACTTGGTTTTTTTCTGTCTGTGAGACATAGTTAAAATTGTGTCGTTATGATATAGTTCGTTTATTTTGTTTTGTTTCATTAATAAAGTAAAAGTCAAAAAAAGTCCAGTCGAAAAACCAGATTACAGTAGTCTCATTTTTATATGTGGTTGATGGATTATTGTATAATTAGAAAACACAACTGTTTTAGTGGTGATTGGAAATTAATTTGATTGTTTCAAATGTTTTGGGAATGCTTTTTGGAGATGAAGCGATGATAATTTGCTCAAAAATTGAAGGAAAAAATTCAATTTTTGATATTTTCAGCTCAAAGTTAGACATTTCAGCTCAAAGTTAGACACTTGAAAAATGAGTTATGAAAATATATCATAATTGTGAAAACAAAAAATATGTATTATTATTGGATACCCGAAAGCATGTTCATTTCAATTTTAAAACTATAACTTTAAGCAGAATATTGAATTTTAAATATTATAATATTTACTTCAAAGTGTAAGATAGAAAAAGCAAGATCAATTTTATTCTAGCTAATTAATTTCAAAAAATCCGAATGTGAGATATAAAATATAGAAGTTGTCGAAAATCGAGACTAATTGAAATTCTCAAACTCCGGAAAACAAGTACATATAAACGTACAGGAAAACATCAAAGTTTTCCAACGAATTTGAAAATACTCACATCAATATTGATTTCAGTCCAGCCAATTAAATTTTCATAATAAGAGAAACTAAAATTACTTAAATTTATTTCTAGAATTTTAATTAGATTTTTAAAATTCTGAGAATTTGTGAATAGCGCACGAAAAGGGCAACATTTGTAGTTTGATTCCTCTTGAATAAATTAAAAACCAAAACTTTGGAAAGTTGAGATATTTTTAAAATTAAGAAAAAAGGGAAAAAAGTACAGCAGCGCAGAAGAAGATTAGAAAAAATGTTTATAAAAAATTGCCTCATAGAATCTGAACTTATGACTCATTCATTTCTTACATATAATAAACAAAAAACTAAAGTGAAGTCTTTTTTCTAAAGTGCTTGAAAGTATGACATAACAGTTTTTTCTTTTTAATAAAACTTCCTTATTCATTGTCTGTTTTTCTCACCAAACTACACAAGCAGGCTGAATAGAATACGGTAAATGGATATGTAAAATATGTCGATTATGTAATACATAATATAAAAAATGAAAGATGAACAAGAAAATGAAAAGAAAACATATATGTACAACTAGTTTCAATTTCGATTAAAAATAACAACGAATATCCAATCCACAAAATTATTTCATCCGTATATGTAATCTATACAGTCAGTTATGTAATTTTAAGGAAATTGCAAGTATATGAAGTGTGAAAGTGGAGATCATACTAATAATAACAATAATTATTATTATTTTCATTTTTTCCAGTGAAAGCCAAGATTTTTGGATGCTTGTTGAAATTGAAAGTGTTAGGCACTTTTCCATTTCATCTTGCCAACCTTTTCGGGAAGACTAAGACAAAACTTGTTATTTTATTGAAGAGAGACAAAAAATCGTGGCTTGATCGTGGATTAACCTAATTGTTAATGGCAGCGATTTAAATTATTTAGCCGTTGATCATTCTTAAGAGGAACTAGGAAGTTTTATTTTCTGCAATAATGAGTGCAGGTCTATGAAATGATTCTTGGAAAATATGCTGCAAAATTGAGGTAATTTTCAGGTTGTTTACCAGAAAAAAGAAAAAGAACACCAACAGTTATCAACCCTTTGAGTAAAATACGAGAATAGAATGAAATATAAATAAAAACCCAAATTGGGGTAGTTTTACAAGAATGAGATAATGTCAGATTCCAAATATATCAAATATTTGTGGGAAGTTCTGATTTTCGAAGTCGAAATAAATTTCTTTCTGAATTATTTTATTGAAACACAAGAACACAGGAATTCTTGATATTTTTTCTATTAAAATTGGAGAGATTTTATGCAGAAGATGTTTGAAAAGATTTCTCAGAATCTTAAAGTTATTTTCTAAATGTTCAAACATATCCACACCTAAATTCACTAAACCCACGCATCCAATCCGAATCAATCACGCGGTAATCTATCTTTTAAGAAAAAATAGTTTTGCAAAAGTTTGCAGGCAACAAAAACTGGAAAACTCATCCTGCAACCCATCTAAAACTACCAAAAAGATTACAAAATATAAACCAAAAATAGCTCATTGGAGAAAAGTTCAAAAAAGGCAAAAAATAAAAAGCGATAGAATAAGCGATAAGAATGTGATAAATAAATAAAGTACAATGCCGACAGGTTGATGGCAATAAAAAATCGGATAAATAATCATAATAATAAGAAAAATCATAATAAGCGACAAAAATCGGAGAAACAGAATGCAAAGAGAAGAAACGCTATGAAAAGATAGAATATACGGCAGGCTGGTTCAGAACGGGATTCGCGCAATGGCAGAAAAGGTGTGAACAGTATGTTCGTCCTCAT